CGAGCTGTACGATTCTGATTTTATATCATGAGCGTCAGGGATGGGCGGCTATGCTCACCGTCTTCTGTACACCTCCCGTCAAGGACTGGCAAGTCTTGGCCTCTGGATTTCAAACGGTTACTCTAGCACGGAATGTGGTTGCTCTCGCAACGAATACAGTGGATAAGGCCGTCGTGGGCGAGGCCAGCCCAGGAGAGGGAGTGCCTGTAGAAGTCGTATACGGCTTCTGTGCTATCCATCTTGGTATACGAACGTAGCTGCTCGGCCTCGAACACGGTTCCGGTTGAAACAGGATAATACATATCAGGCGGGATCAGGACACCCAAGGAGGAAAGACGACGAGGGTTCAACGTCAGTACCGGCTCTGCCCGTGGTTCCTGGGGAGAATCATGGACAGCGAATCTACATGTGTCGTACCGACGGTTCGATCCGTGCAGCATCAGGTTGATGTCATCCCCGATGGGAATGGAAGTTTGACCATTGCTGCTTCTGAGAAACGCGCGGAGAAGTCACATGAACTCGGGGACGATTTCTGATCTAGGACAGGAATGCTCTAAGATGGCAAAGATCTCCTGAATGGTAACGATGTCAATGGCTTGCAGGGAGGAGTGGGGGGGGGGGGGGGGGGGGGGGGGGGGGGGGGGAGCGATTGCCATGTGATTTTCAACTATGCCATCAGGTGCTGAGCCATAGCGTTGCGGAGGTATGACCTTGTCCATCGTCTTCGTCTCTGCCGAAAACCATCATCGATCGCCTTTACAGGAGTCACCACCTCACTGCAGGAAACACCTTCAGAGATCTATCCTCTCAGACGTTCCAAAGCCCTCCCCGGATCCGTGAAGGTCCATATCAGACGTCACACCTGTCTCTTCTCATCCTTTGGATGATTACCCTGCCATTCTCTATCGCATACATCCGTCCGCGTGTTCCTTCCAAGCTCAATGTGTATACCCACCCTGTGTGGGAGGGACGACGCTTTTCTCGATACATATCATTCCGTTGGCAGCGCCCGCGCACACGGTGTCGGGATTGAAGTTGTAAGAGGTGAAGCCGATCATCCAAGCCGCATCGTATCCACTCCAGCGAACGAATTTCTGGTAGAAGAGGTAGACAGATAGCCTGCCGTCCGTGCAGATGAGGCGACGCAGCTCGTCGGTGCCGAAGCTGAAGCCGGTAGGCCGGTCGAAGTAGATGAGCTGGCTGTGAGGGCCTGCAGAGGGAGGGTTCACGGTTAGCAGCCTGTTTGTCGACCGTCGTTGCCGGCTGTGTGTGGAGAAGAGAGGTGGATGCTTACAGAAGCTCTGGTCGAGGATGACCTGGCATTGAAGCGCATTCAGGAGGACTCCCGAATCGATGAACTGGGCTCTCGAGTTGTAGCTCAGAAATTTGAGGAGGGTACGCTTGAAGGTGTAGACGAAGCCACTGCTGGCCGAACGGCACTCTATCATGCCGAGAATGTTCTCGACGGCAAGTAGCTGCTTCCCATGAACTCCGATCCTTGCCCCCTCCTGGCAGGATCTGAGGATATGCGCGTCGACCAGTAGGATCTCGTCGACCGAGTTTGGGGGCATCGAGCTCATCTTGAGAGTGGGTGTGACGATGATGTCCTGGTTGGAGGTTTGGATGCTCTGTGGAGGAGGAATATGGATATGATGAATGGGTATGTGTTGTAAGGCTGAAGAAGGTGATGAGGGCTCGCCGAGGGGGCCAGAGGGGACCAGGCTGCATTATATAGATCCATCTTGACCAAGATTCTGCGTTGTCCAGGGGCAGGTTCGCCTTGAGCCACCGTTGTCGCAACGAACGCTGTCTATTGTGCACTTCTCACCTTACCCTTACCAAGGAGATAACATGGAGACATGCACGACGTACCTATATTTTGGTCGCTCTTGCTACGGTTGAGACTCATGAGTTACTATTGGCTGAGCGGTGAGATTGACAAAAGTTGTGCTCGCCTGTCGATGCGGGGAAATGGGGCCAGCTTTTACATTCCCCACATTGTTGTTACGGCCCGTTATGCGACCTTCACGTGCACCCCACATTTTTTCTTACTTATCAACACCCTCACTTACACGCGATTATACCGATTTAACGATAATCGCCACGAATTACCTCGAGGGGGCGATTACTACAATTACTAGTAAATCGCATTAATTGCTATAACCGATTAACACCACTACTCTATAATCGCCTAATATATAGTTAACCTTATTTCTATAGCCTAGTCACTCGTTACCTAGCTATTAATAACCAACACTTCTCTAACTACCCTATAGCTTAAGAGTCGTACTAACCGTTATATATTAATAGCTCTTATTTAGACCGTTACTATATTAAACGCTAAGTAATACCCGACACTATATCTTCCGCTATACCTACGTCTTCTAATATTAGAAATAATAATAATAATATCTAGAGGGATCTAGGTAAAACCCTTAAGCTTAGGAGCCCTAGACCTTTTAACGGTACTAGAGGAGAACTCTAAGGATTTATCACGTAACTTAAGACCTACTATAGGTTCTTCCTTAATAAGTTTAGGTTTACCTATATGTGACGGTTGGTACGACTCTATGCTATAGGGTAGTCAGAGAAGTGTCGGTTTTATATTAGCGAGGCTGTTAGGGCGTCGAACTAAGCAATAAGGCAGTTATAGTCGTAGGTACTAATTATAGAAGGAATTAGGGTTCTAGAAGAAGCGTTAATTATTATATTAATAGCTAGGTAAAGAGTGACTAGGCTATAGAAATAAGGTTAACTATATACTAGGCGATCTATTACGGCCCGTTATACGACCTTCACGTGCACCCTATAGTTTTCTTACTTATCACTGCCTTTCCCACTTATATATAATAAAAGCGATCACCTTAATTACCTAGCGATCGTAATGATCGCTCCTCACGATTATTATATCTACCTAGCGATCGCCTAGTATATAGTTAACCTCATTCTCTATAGCCTAGTCACTCTTTACCTAGCTATTAATATAATAGTTAACGCTTCTTTTAGAACCCTAGTTCCTTCTACAATTAGCACCTACGACTATAACTGCCTTATTGCTTAGTTAGACGCCCTAACGGCCTCGCTAACATAAAACCGACACTTCTCTGACTACCCTATAGCATAGAGTCGTACCAACCGTCATATTTCCACTAACTATAGATAACCTAAAATTAGATCGTACCTAGATAAGTCTATTATATTAAAAATAACTATATTATAATATCCTTAAGTAATTATAAAGAGTTAATTAGTCTCTTTATCTACCTTCCTATTATTATAGTCTAATGTTCCTCCTTTAATATTAAAAAGTTTATATAGTTTAATTTTCTAATTCTATAGTAGCTAATATTAGTTAACTATCGTTAGGGAAATATAGTTATCTATCGCACTACTATCTAATAGTACTCGTATATAATGTCCCTAGATCTAGACTTCTAATACCGTCTTTAGGTCTCTAATTGCCTAGTCGGCGCCTAGGGTTATTAGGTATTCCTAGTTATATTATAGCCCTATTATAGATAACGTTTATCGTTTTCTTAAATATTATTATAGTTTTTATCGTTAGTTTATATAGTAATACCGGCACCTTCTTATTTTATTTATATTATTCGCTAGTTAAACTCTTTTTCTTCCTTATAGTACTAGTATCCTTAATAGTTATCTATATAGGTTTCTTCGCATTATCTAATAAGGTTATTATTATTTTATAGGTATATATCCTTACCGTAGCGGAGTTATAGTCTATTTTACTTACTTCTTCTATTACCTAGGAGGGTATAGGGGTTCGTTTATTAGAAGACTTAAATAAGTTATTCTTAAATAATATAGTCTTATAGTCTATCCTTCTCGATATAGTATTTATAAAACGAGTTTATTTATCGATTAATCTATCTATTTCGAATGTAAGTAGGTGCTCTATCGTTATTAATAACTCTTAGTCCCTCTATTAGGGAGTCTTTAATTTTTTAAATATAGTTTAGTAGGTATCGATCCCTTATATATCGTTACTTTATTTCGTCCTATCCCTTAGTTCTTATTCCTTTAAGGGTATAGGGGTCGGTAGTCTAGAAAATCTTACTAATCTTATATAATACTCGGCTTTCTATCGTACTTTTATTATTATAGATATAGTGTTTATAGAGTTTATTTATTTATTATAAGATTTAATTACCTATTCTTTCTTTACTAGTCTAGACTAGTAGTTCGATTTCTTCTATTAGATTATTAGTATCCTATTTAAACTATTCGGCCTTACTTATTCCTATCGAGTTAGAAATAGAATAGTTAGCGAATTCTTTAAATATAGGCTATTCTTAAGGTTTATCCTTAATAATTACTTCGTTTAAGGTAGCGTCTTTACGTTAAATAGGTCGTCTTTCTATTATAGCGAGGGCTCGCTTTCCTCTTAGCTTTTATAGGTACTATCTACTTCTATCTTTATCGCTTATATAGATTATATAACTATCGTTATAGTATACTATCTATAAGAGGAGTTTATATTTTTTAATAGTAGTGTTATTACTACTTCGTGCCTAATTATTAATGGTATTAAGGTACTTCCCTTCCTATATAGGTTTCTATTCCTTTTTCTTCTATCGATATTCTTAGGCGTAGTATCCCTTTTTTCTATAGTTATAATAAGTCTCCTTTAACTTATCTCGCATTATATCTAGTTCTATAGGTCTAGTATAGGTTATTCCACTTTAAGAGGTACTCGCGTAGCGTTATAGTCTCCCTTAGTTAGCTTAATTATTATAGCGGTTCCCTTAATTAATATAGACTAGTCTTTAATTATAATTCTTATTTTAACGTTCTTTTTATCGTTTATACTAACGAGTATCGATCCTAATAGCTATAGCGATATACTTAAAGAGGCTATTAGGAGTGTTTTCCTTATAGAGTTCGTCCTTAACTTCTTCCTTAAGTCCTTAATAAAAGATACTTATAAGGGGTTCGTTATCCTATTTAGTCTTAAGAGCGATCTATTAAAAAATAGCGGCGTAGTCGGCGGTAGATCCTCGCTATTTAAGAGACTATATCTTCTATATAGCGTCCCTAGTGACGTCTATATTGCCGAAAGCGTCCTTAAGAGCTTCCTTAAATCCCTTAAAGGTAGTAAAGATAGTCTTAGTTTCATTATCGATCTATTAAAAAATAGCGGCGTAGTCGGCGGTAGATCCTCGCTATTTAAGAGACTATATCTTCTATATAGCGTCCCTAGTAATGTCTATATTGCCGAAAGCGTCCTTAAGAGCTTCCTTAAATCCCTTAAAGGTAGTAAAGATAGTCTTAGTTTTATTATCTCAATTATCGCTAGTTTTCTTAAGGAAATCTTATAGAATTAGTTTAAACTATAAGAGTGCTAGTCCTTCTAGGCAAGTCCCCGCGTATAGGACCTTATTATAGGCAAACCTAAGTTTATTAGGAAAGAACCTATAATAGGTTTTAAGTTACGTAATAAATCCCTAGAGTTCTCCTCTAATACCGTTAAAAGGTCTAGGGCTCTTAAGCTTAAGGGTTTTACCTAGATCCTTTTAGGTATAGTTATTATTATTTCTAATATTAGAGGACGTAGGTATAGCGGAAGATATAGTATTAGATATTACTTAGTGTTTAATATAGTAATGGTCTAAATAAGAGCTATTAATATATAACGGTTAGTACGACTCTATATTATAGGGTAGTTAGAGAAGTGTCGGTTTTATATTAGCGAGGCCGTTAGGGCGTCGAACTAAGCAATAAGGTAGTTATAGTTATAAGTGCTAATTATAGAAGGAACTAGGGTTCTAGAAGAAGCGTTAACTATTGTATTAATAGCTAGGTAAAGAGTAACTAGGCTATAGAAATAAGGTTAACTATATACTAGGCGATCGCTAGTATCCTTAAGGCGATCGCAATAATCGTCCTAGTGGTCGCTACGATCCTAAGGGCGATCGCAATAATCGTTACTTAAAACCGAATGATCGCGTTATAAGTGGAAATGCTAGTGATAAGTAAGAAAATTATAGGGTGCACGTGAAGGTCGCATAACGGGCCGTAACACTTTTAGGTCTTTTAATGGATGTGAGACTCCCCGAGGTCGCAACGTCCTTCCTATATATATATACCTGGACGTAGCTTTTAGTCGACTGCCTCCCGCCCGCTGACTGTACAAACGGGTATTCTCATATAATTTGCCTGGGGTGGGGGGGATATCCATTGTTTGTCCTGGCCTATGAGTGCACATTGGCGGACGGTGGGACTATATTAATGATGCGATACGTGGGGCGGAAATGATGCAATACTTCGCTTGTCCGCAATCGTTGTCGGGCTCGATCGCGTTTACCTCTTAATCTACGACTTTTGAACCCTCTGCCACTTTCCTTGGCTTATGGATATGGCAGACACTCGGAAAAACATTTTGCATCTCATTGCTGATGACCTAGGCAAATGCCTGGGCTGCTACGGCGCCAAGGGAGTCAAGACGCCCAACATAGACGCCTTGGCCAGAGGTTCTGTCGTCTTTGACAATGCCTTCACAAGTACTGCATCCTGCAGCCCAAGCCGTACTGTCATGTACACCGGCCTCCATCCTCATGAGACGGGCCAGTACGGTCTGCTCGGCGGTAATACTCACTTCCAATGTTTTGACCACATTCAGAGCGGTGTGCGCCTATTCAACTTTCTGGGATATCGCACTGGCATCATTGGAAAAGTCCATGTCGGCCCACCCGACGTGTTTCCTTGGCAGACCCGTGAAGAGAGCGAGACGAGGAACGTCGCATGGACAGCCGAGCGCGCCGAGGCCTTCTTCCAGGGCGCCAACGAATCCACTCAACCCTTCTACCTGACTGTGGGATACGTTGACCCTCATCGTGACATCTGGACCAGGGGGGAGTTTGGGAATAAAGAGAACTGCGATGGAAACTTTATTGCCTCAGACTTTCAGCCGAGCAATGTGGAAATACCATCTTGGCTTACGGATCTTGAGGAGACCCGCACCGAGTACGTCGAATATTACAAGGCGATAGAGCGGTTTGACTATGGTATCGGTCTGGTTCTCGACGCCCTAAATAGGCAAGGCCTCGTCGAATCCACGCTTGTGGTATTGTGTAGCGACAATGGGCCACCTTTTATCAACTCTAAGACAACACTATACGATGCTGGTGTTCGCCTACCGTTCCTTGTTAGAAAACCAGGGTCCTCTAAGCCGGGGATTCACAACCCCAACATGATCAGCTATATCGATATCCTCCCGACTTTTCTCGACTGGGCCGGCGCGCCTCTTGACTGTGCTGCGCCGGCTAAAACTGAAGGGGATCAGGTCTACACACGAGAGACTCGGCCTCCAGCTCATCCGCGTAGAGTTGGTAGGTCATTCCTGTCCATTATCGACCGTGCCGACATTCTTCCCGATACCCAGTGGGAGCAGCGGGTTCATGGGTCTCATACCGTTCACGAGATCGCGAACTACTGGCCGACCCGCTTCGTGCGTGATAGACGGTTCAAGTATCACCGAAACATTGCCTGGCGTTTGGACTTTCCATTCGCATCCGACCTCTACGCTAGCCGCGTTCTTGAGGGCATCCGCAGGAACCCGGAACGCACCACTGATGGCGACGTGAAGGTTGGCCAGCGAAGCCTCAAAAACTATATCAAGCGCCCTGCCGAGGAACTCTTTGATCTTGAGAAGGACCCGGACGAGCTGGTAAATCTTGCGGGCGAAGCGGAGTATAAAGATAAACTTCTCTCTATGAGGAAGGACATGGAGCTGTGGCAAGACGAGACCAAGGACCCTTGGCTTTTGAGGGATGGGCAAAGTGTACATGCACTATCGAGATACCGCAATGATGGGCTGGAGGTACCACAGTCTTGGGATTTCGTGGCCGATGCATTCGAGATGGATCGCATTACTAAGCTTAAGATCGATGCTGTCAAGCCACTGGAAAAAGATGACAAGACAAACTAAGTGGTATATTCACCAAAGTAGCTGTTGTTGCCGGGGGGGGGGGGGGGGGGGTTGAAATGGTAAAAATATGCCTTCGATCATCCCGTCATACCTTGCACATTGAGATGAGAGCAAATGGCCAGCTGCCCTCAGCCGCCCGTACCTATATGAACCGATTCCTATAATACCGTTTATGCCATTAAGATCCACGCCCACGTTTCCACTTGACGGTATTAATACATGTTGGGGCACAAGGTGGCACAAGATGCCGAAGGAATGAGGCTGATGATGATGATAGAAGCTAGCTAGCTACCTGATCAAAGGTGTGTGCCAAAAGGGTTGGCTAAACTATGTGACCTAGGTGGCCTAAGTATCAACGATGCATGTTGAAGAAGGAGACGCATGCAGAACCCCGTCTGGTGGATGAAGAACGTCATATAACCCGGGTTCATTGTGTATTCAATAAACGGAGTTCCACCGTTCCCACCAGCTACCTAGATCAGTACATTGGACAAATAACATGACACTCACAAGAGTTCTTAGGCTGTGGGGCCCAATATTGTATGACTAAGCAATCAGAGGCTGCTGCCGCATACACACATCTGTAGATAACCTCATAGATAGATTTCTTTCCTTTCCGGGGAAGCAAGCATCAAGATTCGCACTCATCGACCTAGGAGGTGCTAGTAGGCAGAGACCACTGTATTCACGTCTACGGGTCACCGTGTGCTGTCGCCAGCAGGAAGCACAAGGCCATTGACATAGGGTACAGGCAGTTGGGGAAGTCCTTCTACAACATACACGACAAAGTTGCAATGCCAGCTAGAGCCTACAATATGATGAGCATGTTGTCGCATTTCGACCGTGAAGGCTTCTCGATGACTAGACCATGTATTTTTCTTTTAGCCGTTTGAATAACCTTGACGGCATTGAACGGTCGAGACTTCAGCGAGACGAGGTATGCTGTCTGACTGCTGGATGCGAGCCAAGTGACCTTGGAAATACGCTCCAGCCGGTTGAGTTGACGTAATCATTCCGCCTCGGCGGCATAGCAGTCAGAGTCCTCAGTCTTTCCTAGAAGTTTACGGATCTAACGAATTAAATCGGCCACGTGAACAAGGTACACGTTAACAATGATAAATTGTACCCGTCGGCCCGTGGCCAGGGGTCTGGGGGGCTGATAGGGGGTCTAGCCAGTCTCCCGAATGATACGAATTCGAATCGGGCTCTACAAGGTCTTCGATAAAAATTTTTTACATCATTCAAATAGGCGGCAGTCTTTGAAGAAGGAAATCAAGACCAAGTTGTCTTTTAGTATTTATTAATCTTGAACTATTTGGAGTTAATGAGAGGCCGTATCCTGTTCATAAGGCTCTTCGTACTCCAGGTAGACGGGGAAGTGTAATCTACAATGTAGAAAGATATGGAAACGCCGCCGTTTTCAACAACGTATGTCTCTCCAGGAAGCGAGCAGTCGCCGTTGACGCAGGCATTGACGCCAGCCGCATAAGGTACAATGTTCTCCCAGGTGAAAATACCCTTTGACGGATCCAGAACAGCCTCGTTTACATGGGCGTTGCCCGTCATACGAGTCTGGACGAAATCAATCTTCGAGTGATCAGCTGTCAAGGGGGGTATGTTGACATTGGCGCCGTAGCCCAATGGGAATATCGGGGATCCTTGGGGGACACCTGCAATCAACGCTTTCACAGCCTTGATGCTCACTTCCGCAGCCCATGTTGCCGGGTTTGTTTTGTTGTGGATTTCGAAGTATGGAGTCTCGTCATTACTAGCTGATAGAGAGATGGCCGGAATACTGCGATGTGTCGCAGCGTAACTAGTTCATAAAGATCCATTAGTATAATATTCCGATCCCGTGAGAGTACCTCAGTATGTGTAAAGAAGGTATATAAATGGAAACAATAGTAAGTAGAGCCGTGGGAATGACGACTTAATCGAACTTACGCAGCACCGGCTGTTCCTGAAAGCGTCCAGACAAAGGGGCCCAAATTTGTTCCGTAATTGGGTCCAGTTAGAACAAGATCAGGGACTTTGAAATCAGCAAATCTGGGGAGGACATAGTCCAGGGCGACAAAGACGCAGGCTGCAGGCGTTCCATTATAATACCAGATGTGGCTATCGTGGGGGTCACTGCCAACCTGATGGATGGGAAAGTACAGTCAGATGAATTGTATGAAGAAAAGTGGAAAACAATAAAGGTATGTGTTGCGCGTTGAGATTTCTCAAGACGTACTGACGGAGCTCCCGCTGGGATGAGATCGTACTGAGAAGGTGCCGTGAGATTGCCCTCAGTGGTGAAGTCGGATCGTCCTCCTTGGCCACTTTGTTTTGTGGCGGGTGCAACGATCCACACTAGATTTGTTGTAAGCCCCCGAGCTTTTGAAGAGCACGCCATTTGGGGGCATGTTATTTATTTAGCCTCCTTTATTTACCATCGTGGTCGTCTTCCTTCAGTAGACGATACAATTCGCGCAGGTTACCGGAGCCGAAGCCGTCGTCGTTGCTGAGGAGAATGTTGAGGGCGTGAGAGGGCAAGGCAATGCACACAAGGATGTGGGCAACAAAGCTGGAGAAACGCATGCTGTAAAAGTGTGGGTGCAGTAGGCTCACCAAGTCGTCTTAGATAGAACTACTGGAGACTCTTCAGTATTTGTTTATTTCTGGTAATTGCCAATGCGGCTTCTTTATACGCGAAGCAGCTTTGGCTGCCAAGCGCATATTGCATATTGCTTGTCAATGAGTATTAATACAATTTACGGGGTGCACACGGAAATGGCAGCTCCCGCGTAGTCACCTTCCTACCGCAGTTAGTGTGACACCACAACCATGATAGGAAACCTCTGGGGCCCGATCTATATGATAAGTTTGCTCTCACGCAGCTATCAATAGCCGGGAAAACAGGGGTTTTTTCTTTTGAGCACCGCTGATCGATCGGGTGACATTTCGCGTGCCCAGCCTCGTTGCGGACTCGAGACATGCTCCGAGCTGACCGTTATCTTAGTCTGGTCTCATACGCAGGGATCCTAGATAACACCATGTGCTTATTGACCACGCAGTCTTGTACTCGTACATATCTATCGGATAATGTAAAGAAGGGTTTTTCGGCGATTTTATTGAAGAGTTCCAATTGTATCTGCACATAGACTCATTGCAAAAGTTTCGTTTCTATTCCAACCACTTCCGCGATGGCTCGGCGTGCTCCCTCCTTTACCCCTTCGCCTGGTCCTTCGTATGGATGCCTTGGCAGAAGCTTCTGCTCAGCATCCTCAATCCCTGCTAGTCTTGCCGTGGACTGGGAAACAGTGTACTTTGTGGCGGCAATTCCAGCCTTGCAAGGTCTCTCGGCAAGGGCCGCCTTCTGCTGAAGGTCCGTGGCTTCGGCGTACTTTCCCTCTTTATAGAGACGGTAGATTTCGCTGGTGAGCTTGGGGGAGACATTGGCAAAGGCAGCAATGCACCCAGCACTGCCAGCAGCGAGACCGCCAATGAGGAAGTCGGATTGGCCACCGTAGGTAGAGAATTCGGATGCGCTAAGCTCGGCGGCCAGTCTGGTGATCTTGCCCACGGACCCGCAGGTGAGCTTGACGCCAACAATGTTGGATATGCCGTTGGAGCTGGCAGCGGCGCTCTGTTTGACAATGGCGACAATGGTGTCTGAGTCGATATCGACGCCGTTGCAGACACCGGGGAAGTTGTAGATGACAACGGGAAGAGAAACACTGGCGGCGACCTTGGCGAAGAAGCTGCGGACGATGGCCATGCTGGTGGCCTTTCCAAAATAGGCTGGAGGCAGGATGAGAAGGTAGTTTGCGCCGGCCTTGGCAGCGTCCTGCGCAAGCTCGATGGTCTGCTTGGTCGAGTGGGCCCCGACGCCGGCCATGATGGGGAAGTCGGGACCGACAGAGGCACGGCAGTTGGCAATAAGCTGGTACCGCTCCTCACGGGTTAGGAGGAAGGCTTCTGAGTTGGTGCCCATGGCGACGATTCCCGTCAGGCCCGAGCGGGAGAGATGGGAAAAGTACTTGTTCTGCGCATTGAAATCTATCTCATCCTGACTCTGGTCGAAGAATGTAATGGCAGGGCACCACACGCCCGCGGCCGGCACATGAGGAAAATGCGACTGTGATCCCATGTTGCTGAGATGTAATATGTAGTAGTAAAAGAAACAAGCGAAGAAGCAAATGGTTCGCCAGCTACCAGAGTTGCGACTTCGAGTTCTCTCTGCGGGATGAAAGAAACGATTCACGACGAGATGATGATTTTAAACGACAATGGGACGTCGTTGATGACTCGCTTATCTGCGGGTTAGCATTGGAGACGTTAGGCGAAGCATCTGCGCGATATCGGTATCGGTACCGGTTGCCGGTCCCGACATTGCACCTCTAATGTGCTTGGGTACTCCACGAGGGGTATTATGAGGAACCCATACTAATCGTCACTTTCTTATTCAATAGACGTCTAACAGTGCCATTCTGGTCCTTTGAGTCCCCTTGCGCTATTCAAATGTTATAAGCTCTCATGCTTTCCAACATATATTATTATATGCATTTGCCTTTATAGCTAGATATAGATCAATCCACACTTAACAAGTGATTGAAAGCACCGAAATTGGCTGATAGCCTGAGCCGCAAATAGTCACGGAACAAGGTCTTACCTACGCGGCCATCGGGTGCCATTCCGAGGGCTGGCTACCGGGTATCATCCGAGGACGGGGCCACCGTCCGGTGCGGACAAAGAAACGCGGATAAAATACCACAGAGAAATGGTTGGTATCAGTACTCGGCTTTAAGGGGATAAGTTTTCATTTGTCTCCGTATTTACTCGAGTACTTCCTTCTCTCTTCCTCTATCATGGCGGGATGTGTTTTTATCATGTTGATGGGCTGAGGTCACGGAGGCTATGCGGGCCATGTGTTTTAGTTCTTTCTCTTCATAATCATCATCACCTTTATTTTCTGCATCTTGTGTGATACCCTTTTGGTGCCCAACATATTACTCGACACTATGCATCTGCTATGGTTGTGGCCCCATCTACCAATTTCGCGACGGTCATGAGATAGTAATACTTTCAGGTGCGGGATGATGCGGGGTCGAGCTTCCCCCCAAAATTTCTCCACCCCGCGGTCTGGGATACATACAATTACAAATAAAACGTACCCAGAAATAACCCAAACGAATATGGAGAAGGAAGCTGACGTCGGCGAAGCTTGGGGGATCCGGAGATCCGCAAACAGATTTTTGTCCTCAGTGGTATGCGCTTTTTTCTTTCTCTCTCCCTCCTAATCCACCTTGCGTCCCACCATTGCCTAACGGCTGGTGGCGTCTTCGGCAAAGAGGGGTAATGGTAGTTTATTTCTTAAGGAAGTACGAGCACTATTGATACTACATGAAACGCAAGAGTACAGAATATTATTATAAAGTGTGAGGGGTCCCGACCCATCCGATGGGAATGCGACGCTGTACCCAAACCCTTCGCAAAAAAGAGCCGCAAGAGTGCTACGTGTAACGCAGAGACCGGTTCAATGCGCCCGTGAAACTCAACCTATGGATCAACATGTCTAATTGCATCGCCGAATCGTGCGACGTCTGACACTGAACTGACACGACCATGATACGTGTCGCTTTGGGCGAAGAGGGCGTCACGGGAGCCGTTTGCGGTCTAGCAATTAATGAGGCTGTAGGTGAGCCTGCGCTTGGCCCCCACGGAGCCAGACCGCTAGGTCATCCCAGTTGTATGTTCCACTAGTATGCTGTATTCCCTTCGATTCTAACTACGTCGGCTTCCTTTGGAGTGGGATAAGGTTCGAAAGCATTATGAGCTATCACTCCAAGCGGAGGTTGGTGCGGGGTGAATCGGCATTAAATGGAGCCCACTATTAACATACTCTGGCTCTAGCTTGAGCTTGAGTTGCTGAGGTCATTGACACGTCCTCGGTCCTTTTTGCGTCTTTGCATTCGATGACATCAGTAAAGTATGCTGTCTCCGTTGCTTCACGACCTCGCTTTCTAGGTGCCGCGCCTCCCGGCCAGTTATTCCTTACAATTCCTTTGTCAGCATCTTAACTAGATCGCATGCAGCTCACCCGTTATTAATTGATGGCATTATTGGCTTGGTGGTTTTGAGTCATTTTTCCCTCCAATGTTTAAAAGGACCAGTATGTCCCTGTGACGTCCATCCTCTACCTGCTCGCTATTCCCATCGACTCCCCTCTTCTCCGTAAAGCAACAATTACCCTGCATTCTACAGCGTACACACCATATCACTTACGACATACACCAGAACAACCTGCAATCATGCCTGCTATTCCCCAAGCGAGCCGTCTGCTCGATCTCTTCAGCCTCAAGGGCAAGGTCGTGGTCGTCACCGGTGCCTCCGGTTCCCGCGGCATGGGAATTGAAGCAGCACGTGGCTGTGCCGAGCTGGGTGCCGATGTCGCCATCACATACTCGTCCCGCAAGGAGGGCGCTGAGAAGAACATCCAGGAGTTGACCAAGGAGTACGGCGTTAAGGCCAAGGCCTACAAGCTCAACGTTACCGACTACAACGATGTCGAAAAGGTCATCAACCAAATTGTTTCCGACTTTGGAAAGATTGACGGATTTGTCGCAAAGTAAGCTCGGACACTCTCCTTTCTTTCTAGGGACCACGTATATATTCCACCGAGGGATATGAAGAAGGCGGCACAGGAATAAAAAGATAGCCTCAGTATGCTGACATCTGAGTACTACAGCGCTGGCGCTACGGCCGACACGGGAGTCGTTGACGGGACCGCCGCCGCCTGGGACCACGTCATCCAGATTGATCTCAATGGAACAGCCTACTGTGCCAAGGCCGTGGGTGCTCATTTCAAGAAGCAGGGCCACGGTTCGTTTGTCATCACGGCCTCCATGTCGGGTCACATTGTCAACTACCCGCAGGAGCAGACGTCGTACAATGTGGCTAAGGCAGGCTGCATCCACCTGGCCCGCTCGCTCGCCAACGAATGGCGCGGCTTTGCGCGCGTGAACTCCATCTCCCCCGGCTACATCGACACGGGCCTCTCCGACTTCATCGACAAGGAAACCCAGGAGCTGTGGAGGAGCATGATTCCCCTCGGACGCAACGGTGACGCCAAGGAGCTCAAGGGAGCCTACGTCTACCTTCTCAGTGACGCTAGCACCTACACAACTGGCGCCGACATCGTAATTGATGGTGGCTACACCTGCCGGTAGAGGGACAATGCTTTCGACTATTTCGATCCGTGGTTCTTCGCGTGCCAGCATTACATACCAAAAATAAAATAAAAATAATGTGCAAATTTTCTAGCCATGATTACTTCTCGGCATGCGGCCAAGTGCAGTGAACATAATCAACAAATATCCTCCCGTGACAACCTTGCCTCCCTTGCTTTAAAGCGGCAGCAGACAACAACTACTCCCTCCGTCGTCTGTCTACGTCTCTCGACTCTCCTAGAGAATAGTGAAGCTGTGCATCAGCACAGATGAAGGCGTGGGCGGCCCCGACTATCTCCCACTAACTTTCGAAATGTTAATAAAATGAATAGGACCATGCGTCCTTTGTCCGTACACAAGGTGGAGTCTGTCGTCCGTCCTTCCTTCGCTCCTTCTTCGAGGCCGTGATCTAGCCTTCCATTCGACGCCAACTTGAGTGCCAACAAGATACAATCCACGTCGGGTGTTACCGCTATGTCTACAACATACAGCCATGAGAAACCATAAATAACGAATTTGATGACTAACAGACCTAAAGGGCAAACAACTATGCAATCGTGCCAGGGAGAGTCGATGCGTTGACCCGACACCAGGCTATATTCCCTTAACGATGAAATGTCTTATGGGTGTCAAATGCTTGACAAAGGACTTTCGTCAAGTGCTTAACAAAGGACAAAGGACAGTCAGGGAAGTGTTAAGCCACCAAATCACATCAAGCCACTAAGTCATATCAAGTCACATCAAGCTACATCAAGCTATATCTAAGAAGGATATCAGGAGATCATTAAGAAAGACTTAATTAAGATTTAAGGAAGTACAAAGATTATTATAAGTAAGTTAAAGGCATTAAAGATAATATCTGCCTGTAAAGCCAACCAATTCTCCTCCCGGACATACATATTGCGATCCACGTCGTTAGTGTCAGCGTGGCCCATCACTTATTCTAAGAAGCAAACAGGCCTTCGCTTGCTTGCCTACATTCTCCCAGGAAAGAAACGTTAAAGGCGGTTTCAAACCAAGCTTCTAACCGGGCTACACTCTGCTGTTGCTCTCGGCGTACACTGGCCACCTCGGCCATGATTTGGCATAGACTGTCTAAGACGTGCACTCCGTTATCTACCGACAGAAGGTTACCTACCAACACCACCTGACGAAAAATGCTGTCTAGTGACTGGGAGATTTCTACAAAGTCAGGTGATATCTGAGCCATACTGTCGCGGGAAATGGTGGATGCCGATGAACAGACGCGTGTCCGATTGTGACCACACCTTGTTGTTGCCCAAAAATAATCCGTGGCTTACGCGAAGTCAGCTGACCTGCCGACAAGTATGTATTATTAATACCTCAACAATCCTCACCCAGTAATATCACAATGTTCTTCCATAGATAATCTTCAGTCACCATACTACTGCCGTACAACAAGAAGACGCAAAACAATCCCTCCGTTGCCTGTCTCCGACTCACAATTTGCGGGCGTTCATTCGAAGAAGGCGAAGTGTTTGTATGAAAGAAATATACCCATCTTCTCCACTCCCGTGTCTCCCAGAGTCATCTGTCCATTGTCTTCAGAGACTGTGGAATCCTTCGCCCCTCCTTCCTCCGCCACCTTGTGTATACGGACAAAAGACACATGATACGGAGGGATACGAAAAGGGCTTCTTGTTTTTTTCTCTTGTTGGAAAACACTTTTCTAACTTTAAATCAACCCTCAAAGTGAAGCTGGAAAAATGATGACAAGAAGACGGATGTGAAAGACTGGCTCATTATCCAGACGGCGGGCCATATGCCCTGCTCGTGATCAGCGCTGCTGGCCCCGACGCCGACGGCCGACTCGGCCCGGGTTATATTACCGGTCGCAGGCGTCATTGTGTACTTGCTCTTGATGCGGGCCGACGTCCAACCCTCGGGGGCATTAGTGTTACACTTAGGTCCTAGGCACAATCTCCAGCGTGTCGAGTCCCATCAGCTGTAGAGTTTCTTTGCTTGTGGTCAAGCCTTGGAATCCATAGTGCTATTATATTGTCACGTTTCTTGTTGCTTGTTTCTTGCGCCCCGGTTTCCCTAATAACCTTGGACAAGGGTCCCTGTTCATTGCGCATGATATTGCTATTCTTAATTAAGCACAAGACCTGGGGTTCTTTACAGCCGCTTCGGTCAGGCCGATAGTGATATATCATTCCTGTGTTCAGCCGCACGTTTCATTCACCTGGAGACTGGAGCTGTTCTATCGTCAATCCCTTGCACATCCTACTCTTCACGCTTTAATACAAGCCTCTATGCATTTTCCTGTCCCATTTCCAATACTCGTCCCGTCTCTTCGGAAGTGTGCTCGTGTACCTAATATTACGAAATGAATAAGACGACAATGCAGGGAACACTAGCTTCCCAGATGGCTTAGAGGCTGGACTTTAGAGCATAGTGACAGACTTCAGGATTCATTCCTTACCTAGTAACAAGTATGAACTGCTTAACGGTTTATACTCGTTGTTGACCATTTCCTATATCTAATGCAAACTACTATTAATAACTAGCAGCAGTGTTGAACAGTACGGCTGGACTAGCCTGTACGTACGGGGTTGATTGCAGTATGCTACGCTCTCATGGAAATCTACCCGCCGTCGCGGTGTAACTACATACTAATAATAATAATACAAACTACCTGTATTACTTACCATTGTTATCAGCGCATGCTCTTTCGACGTAGCTGTACGAGTACTGTATTACAACATGTAGAAAGAATCTGCTTGTCAAGCATTACGGTATCCATTTGCGAGATGCCGGATATCAGATAGTACTATCACTTCGCAGAGCAATGCTTTGCCCAGACAGGCACCGTGCTGAGTAAGAATCTGTTTTTTTTTCACCAGCATCATCACATGTTGATCTGATCCATAGCCCAATCGGTACATGAGCGCAGCCACATCCTTCTTCTTTCCCTTCACACACGGGCTACGCCGTGCGTGCATTCCTATTCAGTGACTGTTAAATTGGTTGCGCACGTCACGTCCTTTGTGTCAATAATAGTGATGATGGTATATGAAAAAAATTACAGTATTTCAATACATGGAAGGGGAACAAGGTTGACCATTTAGCCTCGCTACTGTCTGTGCAGGTGTCAGGAAAGCATAAAGGTCGCTATAGCCGGGGCCCGCTCTCCATCCCCTTTGTAAGGAAATCCGCATATGACCCACGGAAATGGGGATGAGGGTTTTGCGGGTTATTAGCAGTTACGAATAATAGAGAAGGAAATGAGAATAGGGCAATCTTATTACCTACAGGGCCGCCGCTTGTGAGCACGAATATTACGTCGTCGTTTAGTGTTCATAATAGATTCTAGAACAACACGTCGCATACTACGGACACGTACTCATACATGCAAGCATATGCAACTACTCATACAGGTACGTATGTTGATGACGACCTACGACCCGGCCCAGTATTAAATGCACAGGGTGTGCCTAGGTATCGAGTTTCTGTTCCTATCTTTTCCTTCGCGTTTGTTCCTTCCCCGCCCATTTCAACAGTAGACATTATTCACGTAGGGCCTTGCGACGTCTCATACTACTTGAGCCCAAGGGTATACGACTCCGAGTGCTCTACAGTACTCCTATGTAATAAACATTTGTACTATGTAAGGCAACTAGCCAACTATTATCAAGTAGCCGCGGCTTCGAAACTAGGAGACACTCTTGTATACCTTAGCATCCCCTGGTATGTGAAGTGATGGGACTGTTAGGTGAAGGTATGCCCAGTCTTCACAGTAGGCAGCCGTCGCATATGCAATGACAGGTGAAACCTTTCTTTATCTAAAAATGTGGTGGGTCCAACAAAATGCGACATACGAAGCATTTAAGTATTTCGTAGTAGACAGTAACAAGATAAGGAAGGAGAAGACGCGGCGCGAGTTAACTATACTGGCGTCGGTCGGCCGTTTTCTTTCTCTTACCCGCCTCTTCTCTTGGCTTACCCACTTTCATCAAATAAGGAACGGTTTATTACACTACCCGTACTTCGTACTAGTGAGTAATACTCCGTGACCTAGTGTGAAGACCACAAGCCTCCTGGCGCTCTAAGGCTAGAACGGCTTCCAGGGAGAGCAAGATCTACGCTGGGTTCCTCACCTAGAGTTTGCCGGTTGTCTCGTCTTGACACTAATAAAGATGATATAATCATTCGGACAGTTATCAGGTACATATAAGAATTAATACATGTACATTTAATACTGGCATGGTCGTGTCTCTAGGAGTGAAAAGTACCGACGAGAGTGATACAGGTATTGATGAGTTATTATAGAATGAATTACACCGTGATGTCAAAAAGTATCAAAGCTAAGGTAGCAGTGCTATGTGGCACGAGCAGATCATAATAATGATATCTCACAATAGATCTCGCGAAACATGGAGGCATATCGGAGGAGTACAAGCATGGGGGTTGCCGGCGCTCTGGAAAGGCTATCTGACAGAAGGGAGAAGGGGCATGACATCCGTGGACCGTGATTTTCTACTAGTACGAGCTCGCACGCATACAGGTACAGTGAGTGTAGCTTAGAGTTATACGACGTACAACTAGTGCCTACGTACCTGTAGTGCGCTGTACTCCGAACTCGTAATAATGAATTGCGCTCTCAATGAATGATCTTGTATCGTAGATGGTAGGCTCATCCACCTCTTGGAATGCGGTCCCGTCCAAGTTGAGGACGTAGAGTCAGAGGACCAACTGAGATAATGTGAGGGGGAGAGGGGCGGAGTGAGAGGCCAAAAAAAAAAGTTGGCAGATTGGCAGAAACAAAGGGAGGACGTCCTGGAAAGAAGACTCGGCGGAGAGAAAAGCTAGGCTACAAGGATAACCATGCTTTATGACCAGACGACGTACAAACATTATTACGAACTTGCCAACTAAAGGCGTTCACCTCGCGCATCATCGTCCCTGTCTGTGGGTCATGTGGATCGGTAGAGATCACGGTTGCTGTCAGCCAATTATGTGACCTTCAGCCTCCCGAGCCAGGGGATGGGATGAATCCAAAATGGGTTTAGTGCCGCTCAGACTGGGCTACATGGTCCAAGATGGACTAGGGCCCCCTGCCAGCTGAAAAACTTCTGGTTCCGCACAGTGGATCGCCCACGAGTAGTTAGAATGGCAATGATTTCTTCATTTCTTGTCTTTTTCCCCTTCTTCAGATTGTAATACAGGTGTATTACGAGTAGTACATGTACTTTTAAACCATCCTCTCCCCATCTCTTTTTTGTATAGTACTACGGGGACGGTCAACGAGGAGGAAATACCCGCCGCTGAATGGCTGCCGTCCAACCAGTTCCTCGGCTCTCTTTCCCACTTTACTGGGCCCCGATCATAATTACCATTCTCCCGCCTTGACGACGTTTTTTGGTGGTCTGTGTGCCGTCGTGACTGGTGAGCGATAGTGCGACGGGACTTGTTGAAAGGCCACCTCTCCCCTCCCGTCTTCTCTCGCAACATACGCGTCCACCTGCGCCTTTTCATCCTCACCTTTCATTCTTTCTCTCTCTCTCATCTCATCCCCCCCCCCCTTCGGCTGCTGTGCATCTCCTGCGAGGTCATGCTAGGGCTACTGCTACGACCTCAGCTGTCGTCCGAGTCCTAGGCCTCGCTCGCTGTTTGCTGCTGGCCGATTTACCAAGAACCCTGCCGCCGACGTCATGGCCTCAGCCATGGCTTCTGCCAACGGCCTCGCCTCCAGAAGTCTACAGGATTTTATTGATAACCTCACAGTACGTTGCCCCCCCCCGTTTCTCCTAGATCACTACGCCTAACACCCTCTTATAGAAACAAAACTCAGACCCCCGAGTCGGTTCTGGCCGTGAAGGCTCTAGTGGCGGCACACTCAGCGGATCGAATGGCAGCAAGTCTGCGTCACTGTCAAAGCTGGGCTCGACATTTATCCCCGTCATAGTTTACGTTGCCGTTTGCCTCCTCGTCTTCATCGTCGCCCGTCGCCGATATCCTCGAGTCTACGCCCCTCGAACTATTTCCGCTCTTCGCAGTCCCGAAACCCCTGCTCCCGCCCTACCCCGCGGTTGGTTCAACTGGATTGTGCCGTTCTTCAAAGTTCCCGATACCTTCGTTCTCAACCACGGCTCTCTTGATGGCTTCTTCTTTCTTCGCTTTCTGAAAGTTTTGCGCAACGTCTGCTTCTTCGGCTGCCTTATCTCCTGGCCGATCCTCTTCCCCCTCCATGCGACCGGCGGGAATGGTGAGGAGCAGCTCGAGAAACTCACCATCGGCAACGTCAGCGATCCTGCCCGCCTCTATGCCAATGCTGTTGTTGCATGGCTGCTCTTTGGTCAGTACCACTACCCTTTGCGAGGCCCCTAGCCTAGCTTCTCGTCCTTCCTCATACTGCAATTGATGGCTCCGACTGACACTTTCCACTCTTTTACAGGCTTTGTCCTCTTCACCGTCTCGCGTGAAACCGTCTACTACATCAACATGCGCCAGGCCTACCTCTCCTCCCCGTACTACGCCAAGCGACTGTCATCACGTACCGTCATGTTCTCCAGCGTGCCCCGACGCTACCTTGACGAGGCGCGCATCCGCAAGCTCTTTGGGGATTCAGTCCGGCGAGTGTGGCTTCCGCGTACCTCCAAACACCTTGCCAACCTCGTCAAGGAGCGTGAGCAGACGGCCCTGAGGCTGGAAAAGGCCGAGATTGCCCTCATTAAGAAGGTCAATTCCGCACGAGCCAAGCAACTGCGCTCCGACCCGGATAGAAGCGCTTTAGTGAAACAGTGGGAGGGATCGACTAACCAACTAGCCAGAGCTGAGGAGGGCCACAGCACCGAGCACTATCGTTCGACAAGTTCCGAGGATCGGAACGTATCACGCACCGCCTCTGGATCGTATCCCTCTACTACCGGGGAGACAGCAGTCGAATCGATTGAGCTCGCCGAGGCAAACAAGGAAAAGGACCACATCATTGACTACAACAACAGCAACCACACAGATGAGTACGACGATGATGAGGCCATGTACATACACCCATACGGCCTCAACGTCGACATTCCCGACGTCCGCGGCTCCGTTGCCTCGCTGTACATAACAGCTCAGCAACGCCCCTACCACCGGCCCATTGCCAACTACGGTCGCCGCATCGATACCATCCGATGGACACGTCGCCGTCTTATCGAACTGAACCGAGACATTGCCCAGATGCGGAAGAAGCTTAAGAGCCCCAACTGCAAGACCTCCAACACCCTGCCTGCTGCCTTCGTCGAGTTCGACTCTCAAGAAGCCGCCCAGGCCGCCCACCAAAGCCTTACCCACCACCAGCCCCTGCACATGGCTCCCAGGCTGATTGGTGTGCGCCCTGACGAGGTGGTGTGGGAGACACTCCGCATGCGCTGGTGGGAGCGAATCATGCGTCGCTTCCTCGTCCAGGGCTTCATTGTTGCCGCCATCATCTTCTGGTCAATCCCTTCGGCTGTTGTTGGTATCATATCCAATGTCGAGTCTCTCAGCAGCATGTTCCCCTGGCTCAACTGGATTCTTGATCTTCCCAGCCTCATCCTTGGCCTTCTGACTGGTTTCGTACCTGCCCTCGCCCTGTCCTTCTTCATGGCCTTAGTGCCTGTCATAATGCGAAGTATGACATCTAACCCCCTTATGCGACTCTGCTGCGCCCCCCTTCCTGTGATAGTTGCGCTGACTTTTAGCTTGTTCAGAATGCGCTCGTGCTGCTGGTGTACCGGTTCACAGCATGGTAGAGCTCTTCACCCAGACGGCCTACTTTGCCTTCCAGGTCGTCCAGGTCTTTCTTATTACCACCCTTACGTCGGCAGCTTCGTCAGCCTTCTTCAAGATCCTCATGGACCCCGTTTCGGCAAAGGACGTACTTGCTCAGAACCTGCCCAAGGCATCTAATTTCTACATCTCCTACATCCTCATCCAATGCCTTGCGAATTCTGGCACTCAGATCCTGCAGCCTTTCCAGCTAATGCGTCAGGGCATCCTGAGCCATGTTGCCCAGACTCCTCGTGGCCGGCACCGTGCGTGGCACACAATGATCCCACCGCGCTGGGGAAGAGATTTTCCAGTCTTCGCTAACCTTGGTGTTATCGCGCTCGCCTACACATGCATTGCGCCTCTCATTTTGGCCTTTGCCGGCCTGGGCATGGGCTTTACTCACATCGTCTGGCGGTACAATCTGATCTATGTCTACGAAGCAGACATGGACAGCAAGGGCCTATTTTACCCCCGCGCCCTGAACCACCTCATCGTCGGACTCTACCTGGCCGAGATCTGCCTTATCGGCCTCTTTTTCCTGAATGGGGCCACTGGTCCCGGTGTCTTGATCATCATGCTCTTCGTCTTTACGGGACTGATCCAGTACTCTATCTCCCAGGCCATTGGCCCGCTGCTCCAGAACCTACCTCAGACGCTGAAGCTCGAGGAGGATATCCAGGACGAGGAGCGGGCGGCAGCCGAGGCTGCCAAGACTAGACAGGACAACCCTGAGTCAGAGGACCTGGGAGCGGCCAACAGTTACTATGATACGGAGTTGACGTTCGGCGAGGAAGACGAGGAATTCGTCGACGAAGACGATGATGAGGTGCCAACGCCCATTGGCAACAGAGCTCTCGAAGGTGCCGGCACCGTACGCGACACCGTCGCCACGTGGGCCAAAGGTTTCACTAAAAAGGCAGCCAAGAATGAGGCGTCGTCCATGGGTATAGACTTCGATCGCGACTTTGACGCGGCGCCCAACTTCATCACAAAATGGTTTAATCCACACATCCACGAGGACTTTATCGCCATCCGCAAAAACCTCATGACGTTACCAGACGATCCGCCTGATCTCGGTAACGACCCTCGCCAGATCTACCACCCACCTGAGATGTGGGAGACCAAGCCTATTCTATGGATCCCACGGGACGAGGCTCGCGTCAGCCGCCAAGAGGTGGCGCACACGCGCAAGTCGACTCCTATATCAGACAAGGGAGCACACATCGACAGCAAGGGAAGGATTGTGGTAGACGTGGAGGCTGCGCCGTTTATGAGGCCACGCCTCGTTGTGTAATGCTAGTCGAATACCTATGCTTGATCCGATTGCTTTTATTTAAGACGGATGTATATATCGCAACTAAAGAGCCTCTCTCTTTTACTAGTTCGTATTTTCTCTCCCTGGTTTTAGCTGGTCTAGTTGGTAAATATTGGAGTTGATTGGGAGTCTGGGTAGCAATTATGGTGTCTGAACTCCGCATACGGTACGGGCGGCGCTTGTAAGGGCTGAAATTTTTATGTCTTATGTTTATTCAATAGTAATATATAATTCACACGATATTACACTCTAAATTATTGACTCACCCGTAAGAACTCAACCACTATGGAAAGTTTTAAATTCCAATATGCTTGTACACTATTGCTCTCCATTCTTTCCTAAACTCCTCTCAATCAACAAGAACACCCACAATTGATAAGCAGAAACTAGTTCATGAAGACATTCCTGAAACAGGGTCTGCCAGCAACAAAACTGTCGACGGCGCTCTACACATTAGGCAGGGGATAAGTCTCGATGAGCTTATAGGATTTTTTTTAATAGAAATGGCATAATACTAAACGATAGTGTATACCCTATTTCTGATCTATACTTATTATGGGTTTCTGTCAAGGAGACTTGTCAGACTTAATAGAGAAAGTGTTAAAGTCTTGTAGGCAAGAAATAGAAAAGAGATTTTAAGGCCAACTTTAGGGTTAAAAGTTATATTCATTTATCTCTATCTTCTTTCTTTCTAGTAGCTTCTTAGCTACCTCTTTATACTTATTCTTGTATCTTATTTCTAATGCCTTTATATTACTTATAATAATCTTAATACTTCCTTAGACCTTAGCTAAATCTTTCTTAATGATCTCCTAATGTTACTCTTAGATATAGCTTAATGTGGCTTAGTATGATTTAGTATGACTTAGTATGACTTGGCTTGACACTTCCCTAACTGTCCTTCGTCCTCTGTCCTTTGCCCTTTGCCCTTTATCCTTTGTCAGCACTTGACAGTTCACGTCTATAACAGTAGTGTTTACAGTGCTTGTTCTTATATAAATATTATATTATCTAACGATCTCTTGATATCTCCTCACTAACTAGCAATCGCGACATTCCACTACTACGGTCTGGCTATTATGTCAATCCTAACGTTTATAGTGTCGGATCCGACACCATGCCCTGCTAAATCACTACACGGGACGAGCTCTGCTTTCCCGGCCAGTATAGCGGCGGAGAAGTATGACAAATACTATCTCTATTAAAATACTATATAGGATAAGCTCTACTTTTCCCACTACTATAATAGCGGAAAAGTATAATAGTAGGACTTGATGGTTTTATAGTCGAGTCCCGCTTACCTGAACTATGTGAAGATTTACTATAACAATTCCTTGTGACCTTATGTGATATTTGGGACTGATTCCTATAAGTCATAATTGAGTAATCCTATATTCATCCCTAGCTTCTATGTGACTTTAGGACTATCACCTTTGGCACTTGGTCCCTAAGAGTATGTTAAAGCATCATAAAAGTGACCGGAAGGGGGGTGGTCGGTTGCTGGGTGGGTCAACTTATTACGACGTAATTGCGGGGTCCTACCGGTATTCCTTTTTTTCTTTTTTTTTCTTCGTAGGGCCATTGCTTACAAGCTACGTACCTCTCTGTTGTCATCACCTTAAAATTTCAACCACCGCTATCGCCAAGCTCAAACAACGCGACGACACACATCCAATTGTATTCTAGATACCCCAGCGGAACTATAGTCATGCCCCTTGATACCTCAACTTACTCGCTCAGCCTTCTCCGCGTCGACGGCCGCCGGTGGAACGAGCTGCGCCGGCTGCACGCCCAGATCCACACCCAGGCCGCCGCCGATGGCTCTTCGTACCTTGAGATGGGCCACACAAAGGTCATGTGCGTCCTGTCTGGGCCTTCAGAGCAGCAGCAGAAGCGCGGACAGGCTGGTGCTGGCGGTGCGCAGCGTGACACAGCCGCCATCAACGTGAGCATCATGGTCGCCGGCTTTTCCTCTGTGGACCGCAAAAAGCATGGACGCAACGACAAGTGTGTTTTTCCCAACGAGAGAGAGAGAGAGAGAGAGAGAGAGAGCGGAGAAGAGTTTTGCGGCTCCCCATTTATTTATGCTAACGCTCTGGACCCAAAAGACGCATCCAGGAACTTGAGATCACAATCGCCAAGGCCTTCTCCTCTGTGGTTCACACCCACCTCTTCCCTCACTCCACCATATCTCTCGCCCTGCACGTCCTCTCATCCGACGGCTCTCTGCTCGCCGCCCTTATCAACGCTGCCACTCTCGCCCTAGTCGACGCCGGCATCCCAATGTCAGACTACATCTCCGCCTGTACTGCCGGTTCCACATCCTCGTACGCCGCCGGTGACGACTCGGCTGACCCTCTGCTCGACCTCAACTCTCAGGAAGAGCAGGAGCTTCCCTACCTTACTGTTGCAACACTCGGGTCTGAAGACCGTATCGTCGTCCTCGCCTGCGAGAGTCGTGTTCAGGTCAGCCGTCTCGAGGGCATGCTGGTAGTCGGTATCGATGGATGCAAGGAGGTTCGGCATCTATTGGATCGCGTCGTTAGAGAGAGGGGTGCTCAGATGATTCGCGACGGTGTCGTCGACCGAAGCGATACCATAGCCGCCGGCCTAGATGATTGAAACATCATACACATGCGCATCATTATTTTTGTTCTTCCTTCGTTGGCCATACACTGCGTTGCATTGTCCTTTTTTCTTATTCTTCGTTCGTTTACCTATCATCACAAAACGAGCCAACCAGCTGTTACTGTACACGGAACAACAACCTCCGCTTTCTGCTTACTACAGCTCCTCATGAACCACCTCATCCTGCTTGCTGGCTTCCGATCCCGCCACTGGCTCTGCCTCCTGTGTCTCTCCGCTTGGCTTTACTTCTTCCTTCTTCCCGATAAGGATACCATTGGGAAGGCTGTTCTTGTCGCCCTCGCCCATGCGGATAGCATCGATCCACGACTCCACACTCTCCAGAGAAAAGTCTCCCTTATACTGTCTCCACCATCCACGACGCGCATTGATGGCAACCAGATCGACATCATCCGCGAGCTTTAGTGCCGAACGTAACGAGGCCTCAAACGCCACTTCGGTTGATAGAGAGAAGAAAGGAAAAAGGTGGCGCTTTCCATGGATATACTTGGCATTGAGTTTAGATAGCGACTGCACGACCTGGTCGCCCTTGTCCGAGCTCTTGGCAGGCACAATGGCCAGGACGCACGTGTTGGATGAGACCTGGAGGCACTTCTCCTGCAACTTCTCGGCTGAGGAAATGGAATTAATGGCCACCGTAGTGGCTTCTGCGCCGGCCGTCGACGTGGTTGGAGACGTATTGGCGTCCGCATCAAGCTTGGCTGCCTTGGCTTTCTCATCAGCGGACGCGCCCTTCTTCACTTTACCCTTGGCCGGTGCCGGATCTGGGTTGGGCTCTACGGCCCTGCTCAGGAAGGCCATAACATCCTTCTTTCTCAGCTCTCCATCGTAGACAATGGGCTCGACGATGGCGCCCTCGGGGATAAGGACCAAAGTAGGAAACTTTTCAATGCCAAACTGCTTCACTGCACCCTTCTCCTTGTTGCGAATCTGTCCCACATGCATGACACCAAGGTAGTCAATAGCGACGCTTCTCAACAGCGCACTAGTGGTGCCCTTGTCCGTGAAGAGAAGAGCCTTAGGACCTTCTTTCCCGATAAAACTATCAATCTCCTTGTCCGTAATCCTGGAAACATGGTTATTGATATTTTTGACTACCTCGTCCGTAATGCCAGACGCTGTACGAGGGCCCTTGTAGTCTTCAACGATGGGCTTGCTCCCCTGCTTCTTGCCAGGGCGAAAGATCTTGAGCGTCGGGAAGCCCTGGACTCCATGCGCTCCGCAGAGCGACTTATTGGAATCGTCGTCACAGTTTACAGCAGCTACCTTGGCTAGGCCTTCGAGATTCTTCGCAGCCTTTTCGTAGGCGGGCTTCAGGTTCTGACAGTGGCCACACCACGGGGCATAGAACTCGACAATCTGTGGTCGGCGGGTGTCAGGTGAGCATCCCCAGGAGACCGTAACAGGTTAACTTACCGAAGTATGGTTCGATTTAGTGACGAGGCTATCAAAGTTGCGCGTGTTGAGCTGCAGGACGGGCGAGGACTTGGAGTACATGGCCTGAGCCGTTGGCACAGCCGCCAACAAGACTGTGAAAGCACCCGCGAGAGTCGTGTAATGATGCATCGTGTGGCGTTAACGTAGCAAGCGACTGTGAGATTAGGTGAAGTTAGAGCCGCTCACTCCCAGAGATTTTTTTCAAGGGATAATAGGTGACATAAAGATAAAACAAAGGGCGTAGTTGTAGGAGAATGAATGGTTTGCCAAGTCGCACCAACAGTGCCAGCTACCTTAGATGCCAATGGAAAACGCAGAAAAGGCCACGGTGGAAGACGCTGTATTGGAAGTCACCCTAGACCCGGTGAGCAGACAGAAGCCACTGTGGCGCGAGCTGCCAGGCCTGTGGGTGGGGAGAGAGGGGGAGTAGAGGGGCGAGTGCGATGCAAGTGGTTCCTGCCCACCCCAAACGTCATCCGATCTAAATACAACCAACTGGCCTTTTAACTTGTCAACATTATTAACTCAACACTTTGGCCCCTCCATCATAGTCCCCCGTAAGATACGACAGGCTCTCGAAACGCCTCATATAATACTGCGTCGTCTTTGTTCTCTTTCTTCTTCCCTGCGCACGGTAGACGCTACCAGTACGTACCACAGACAATGGCAGAATTTCTTCCCACTGCCCTCAAGATCCCCGAAATCAGTCGCTTTGTCAACCGCGCCAACCAGCTACGGTCAATCAAGCCAGCCATTGCCTATTGGTGTATGTACACGCAGGCCTGGAGTCCTCTGTCGGATAGTTCTGGACAGCTAAACTGACCGATGCGCGAACGTAGGCGAATACCATGCCGTCAACCAGATTGTCGGCAAGAGTCTCCATTCTTCCGATGACGATGCCTTCTTATACACCAAGACGTTAATTGAGCGCCTCGAGACCACAAAGACCGAGCATGCAACAGAAGAGGCTATTGTCGACAATGATGTTGCCAAGGCCTACGTCGAGCAGTTTGCACAGCAGACCTTTAACCGCGCCGAACGCACCATGCACGCCGGCAAGGTGACAAGGTAAGAGACGCGTGATGACTGCAAAGCGGTGCATAGCTTATAGTCAGAATGCAGACAGACGGCCGACACATTCGACGCTGCTGCCACATTCTTTGATGTTCTCCGAGAATGGGGCGATCCTGAGCCCGAGGTTCTTCAGAAAATCAAGTTTGCTAAATGGAATGCTGCCCGCATCCTCAAGGCGATCCGCGAGGGCAAGGACCCTAACGAATCAAATCCTACTCCTGTTAAGCCAAGGGAGATGCCCGCGCTTGATCTTAACGACCCCGAGGTGCAGGAGCTCACCTCTCCGGGGGCCGTTCCCCCCAAGCCTGTCTCTGTGGAGGATGCTGTTGATGTTGGCGAACCTCCTAAACTCGTGGCTCAGGATGACTACTTCCCAGCTGGTTCCACCGTCCCACAAACAGATCCTACCGAGAACTCTCCCTCTCCTCTCACGCCACCGGCCCAGGACATGCCATTTGGCAACTCTCCGTCTACCTCGTCGCAGGTTCCTCTTCAGCCATCGCCTCATATCCCCACCAAAGTACCTCGAGAGTTCATCTCGCCCGTTGGACCACCGCCAGAGGATCCCTCTGCTCCGGATTTCATAGACTCTGTCCCTTTAGGCTTTTCAGACCCTGATCCGCCAGAGGTCCTCCCTGAGAGCTCGTTTGCATCACCCGCTCCTACCCCCACCCTAGCACACGTCCCGGCACCTTCTCCAACTCCGGCTGTGGGATCTACGACGGCCAACTTCAGGGACATCAACCAAGCCCAAAAGCATGCCAAGTGGGCTATCTCGGCCCTCAATTTTGAGGATGTCCCAACTGCTATCGGGGAACTGCGAAAAGCTCTGGCTGCGCTAGGCAGTCAATAGAGGGCTGCATTCACTGCCAAGAGGCATTTGAGATGTACGGGCAGCATTGTGTGCTTTTTTTTCTTCTTGTTTTCTGTATCGAGGAAGAAAGGCCTTTATTTCTTTGTATTGGGGAAGAATAAGAGTAGAGCGTGGGATATACGGGAATTCCCAAATCTTCCTAGTTGTTCCCCAGACACGATATACCCTTTGGTGGCCATCAGTCGTACATAGGATGTTCAAAGGGCTCGAATGTTAATACAATGACGAATTCAATATTGAATAATTTCTATATACGTATGGAGTATTGATGCAATGCTTATAGTAAGAATACGTATGTGTAAGTGTCAGGATGCTTCCGAATCTAATAAATCAGAATAATCAAAATAAGAATGAAAAGGAATTTGCGTCCCCCCCCCCTCCCAAAACTGAAAAAAGGAGCAAAGCTCGTTGTGTCTCATCAATCATTTTATACGAGGCTGCTGTCCAAGCTGTACATGGTCTGGATCGCACGTTTATATTCCGATTCATCCAAAGCTGCCTGGGTGTAACGCAAGATGTCGTCGCCGTCGTCGGTGGAGTCAGTCCATCCCCGCTCCGGCCCCCACCTGATAGGATAGCCCGACGCCTTGGCGATGTCGATTAATCCGCCCATCATGGCGCCGTTCATCTTGACGCTTGTCCAAGCGTCAAATTCAATAGCCCCAATCGGGGGCATGGCTTCGAGGACGGACGACAGGAGGCTGCGGCTGAACCCTTCGTAGAAGCCTTCTGCGCGACGGAAGCCCTTGAACACACCATCGCTGGGATCACACTCGACGAAGACTGAGAGTTTACGCACGTTGGAGCAGTCTGCTAGGCCGAGAGCATCGTTGACAATCCAGCCCTTTGGCGGAGCGTTGAACCCGGGCCCAAGGCGCAGTTCGAGCGATGTAATGCATTGACGCTGGTTCTTCTTGAGACGAGATAGGAGTGGCTTCTTCGTTTTGAAGTATCTGCCCGGGAAGGTAGGAAATATACGAAAAGTGCGCGAGCTGTAGAAGTAGTGCGTCGCCTCCTCGTGAATCTGACGATTAACGCGCATTAAGCCCAGCTTCCGGTGGTAGTCTCTGTAATTTGAAGGCGCGAGGTCCAGTACGCGGTTACTGTCCGCGTCGGCGAAGAAATATTCGTATATTCTGATGCGAACTTCGGGAGGGAGCATCAGAAGGGGGAATGGCTTGGAAGGAACTCGTCGCTTGGGGCGGAGCGGCACGAGGGGAACGTCGAGGGTGAGAGCCGCAATGGACGAAACGAGGACATCTTCCCCGTCCTTTACGTCCAAGGAAGTCTGAGTCCCATCATCTTTCGCTGCTATTTGTCTCTGTGTCGGGGGGGGGTGGATGCGCAGGCTGCGTACAGGCCGACGGTTCGTGTTGGCGGCGGTCTGCCGTTGACCAGCGCTTTTGTTTGCCATAGCTGGCAAGTCGTTATAGCCCCGTTTTTGAGAGGGGCCCATTTTTAGATGAAGGGTTAAGAGTAGAGAGAGGATAACTCTATGGGAGTTTTGCTTTTCTCAGTGACGGTAATGAAACGATGTTTAATCACACAAGTCATGTAAGACGGCGCAGGGACATAGAAGGTGGTTCCATGACGATGCGTGGGCGGCTCGATGGACCACCCTCTAATACAGAGCGAAGAAGGGCATGATAGAAGTATCTCGGTTTCTCGTTTCGGCGGCTATATCTTTATCGATAGTCCTGTAGTACAGAACGTGTCGGGGCGTAGAAGAAATAATCAGTCTGGCATGCCAAGGGCTTATGAAAGAGACAAGGTTCGTAGATGCGCCATCCTATGATGAATTGGTAATCAGCAGAGGGGCACGGGAGAGGCCAATGGGGAAAACCCGATGTCGCTCCATACTGTAATGCGGTTGGGTCTCGGGTAAAGCATTAGTCCGGGTATATTATTTGGGTTAACCTTCAGGCTAATCCACGGCGAAAATCACTCTGTGGAGCACAATGGACACGCGAAGAATCTTGGAGCTTGCCTCATCATCTATTTCCTGTAAAGGAGCAGCAGCTTCACCCGTGCCATTGCCTCCCCTCTCCTCCGCTGACAACAGTAGCCGGGAGTCAGGCTAACAATGTCGACTTGAGAGAAAGGATTATACATACGAAATTTATCAACGGAATCGCATCATTTTCGACAATTCCTGATACCTCCATTTCCATCACCCGATAATGCTTTCCAAATTTGCGCAAGCCACCCGCTTGGGTGTCAGGGCCGCACGCTTCGTGCCCGTTACCACTGCACGCCCCGCTTCTGCCATCGCCGTCTCCCCTTGGATTCGCACATACTCCAAGGGCTCCAACAAGGGCTCGGATGCTCCTTCGCCCAAACAGGATGCGCCCCAGTCCAAGGCTCCGGAGGAGCCGTCGTCGAGTGAACCCGCGTCCGACTCGTCGAAGTCAGCTGCCGATGGGCCCAAGGAGTCAGAGCCCATAGCCTTCGATAAGCTTCCCGACCTGACTCAGGGTATCCCGTCCACCCTCGAGGCCGAAATGGAGGAGATCCAGGGCAGGGGTAAGCCCGGCTCGGCCCTACAGACCGTCGCACAGGAGAAGTACGAGCGTCGTGGCCGCGGAGGCAGCGACCCGTACGTGTCAACAAGCGAGCGCAACCGCCGCTGGTGGACCCGCGTCATGCTTGTAATGGCGGGGGGTGGCTCCGTCATGGGACTCGCCTACCTTGGTCGCAACTGGGACGACGACGCCGAGACCAAGCGTCATCCCGACATCCCCAACGGCTTGTCCCCTTCGCTCTGGTGGCAGCGTGTCAGGGCTCGCACTAGTGAGTCTGTCTCATACTACCAGGACCCGGCCTTCGACAAGCTGCTGCCCGACCCGGATCCCAGCTTCGAGAGACCCTACACCCTCGTTGTGAGCCTCGAGGATCTACTTGTCCACAGCGAGTGGAGTCGCCAGCATGGATGGAGGTTGGCCAAGCGCCCTGGCGTCGACTACTTTATCCGCTACCTCGGCCAGTACTACGAGCTGGTTGTCTGGTCATCAACTCCTTTTGCTCTTGCCGAGGGAATTGTGCGCAAGCTGGATCCCTTCCGCTTCATCATGTGGCCCCTCTTCCGCGAGGCCACCAAGTTTGAGGATGGCGAAATCGTCAAAGTACGCAAATCCCCCAGAAACTTGCACAGTCTTCGTATGCACAGCTGGCTAACTCGATGTTCGCGCAGGATATTTCGTATCTCAACCGCGACCCGTCTAAGGTTATTGTGCTAGATACAAACGCCATACACGCACGCAAGAACCCCGAGAACGCCATTATTCTGGACCCCTGGAACGGTGAAGCTGGTGACAAGGAGCTCGTGAGCCTGATCCCCTTCCTCGAGTACATCCACACCATGCAATATTCGGACGTGCGCAAGGTCATCAAGTCGTTTGATGGCAAGCACATCCCCACTGAGTTTGCCCGCCGTGAGGCCATTGCCCGTCAAGAGTTCAATGCCCGCATCAAGGCAGAGAAGGCCAAGCACTCCAAGCCGTCTGGCATGGGCGCTCTTGGCAGCATGCTCGGGCTCGGCCCTAGCAACCTGAGCATGACTGTGGCGCCCGATGGTGAGCAGAACCCCAACGAGGCGTTCGCCCAGGGCAAGATGCTCCAGGATATTGCCCGCGAGCGTGGCCAACGTAACTACGAGCTCATGGAGAAGGAGATTCGTGAGAACGGCCACAAATGGCTCGAAGAGGAAAAGATGATGAACGAGAAACTGCAAAAGGAGGCCATGGAGAACATGTTTGGCTCCTTTGGTGGTTGGTTCGCTCCCAAGAGTGGGGAGAAGAAGAACTAATCGAAAGGCACCTAATTTGGTGCAAAAACGCTGTTCCTTTGCCAAGAAATAACTTCACTAATTTTTTACTACCTTGTATTATGCGACATTATAGGGGGGTTTGGTTTGCGTGGCGGCGCAAAGCTGAAGCGCGCGCCGTCGGTCTAGGTCGTCTTTTTCTACTTCTTTTTTCACATTTCGTTAAGGGAAAGGAGCATATAGACTCGGCATGCAAAAGATGGTGGTGGATGAAACAAGAAACTCGAAGAGTCCTTGGAGCTGGCGTCAAGGCCAGGGGACTTGATCTGTACAATATAATTTGACGAGATGATGAGGGTCAGGGGATACCGGCTCTAATTGGATGGGTTGTGTTGTAAATATACATATTCGCGCCTTCTTACACTCTTGGTTGTATCTGATGAATATAATGCGACCAAGTATACAACCATGTAAGCAATTCATTTGATGACAGGGGACAGTGCAAGCAAGGCAAGATGGCCCGCGAGGCAGGTGTATCGTTGAAAGCTAATATTGAAGAAGGCTCGATAGGCGAAGCACGATACCCTTGCATGCACGTAGTCCATTGGAGATAATAGGCCACTACGCTTTGATGGAGGATCGATTCCTCAGAGCAGCAAAGTCGGCCGTGGAGCCGTGAAACGCCCATGCTCCAGTGGCGTGGCTCATCAAGACGTCATATTCCTTGAGAGTGGTGCGCGAAAGGGTGATGGGGCGATCGGTCGTGTCGTGCCCCTTGAGTCTCATGCAGAGGCGAGTGAAGACCATGGTCTTGCCGAGGGAGTCAGTGATGGTGAGGGGAACCTCCCAGACACCGTCTACCTTGACCGATGTCCCATCGTGCCAGATCAGGGGCACAGGATCTACTCTGCTCCGCTTCAGACCCCATTCTTTGGCTTTTTGGGCATTGATGAAGTCGACAGGCGCCGCGCTGGACAAGTATGCCTGCATCTTGCGCCGACTTTGCTGACCGTTGGCTGCCCCAGTTCTGATGCTGATGTCGGTCAACATGTTGCCTACCGAGGTGATAATGGGTTTGGGGACGTTATCCCTCCTCTTCTTGTCCTCCTGGCGACGCCGCCGACGTCGGCTGGCTTGCTTGCTGAATAGACTAGCCACCCATTCCTTGACGGCCATGCAACCCGAAACTTCCGGGTTGCTGTCCTTCTTCCCCGGATAGTAACGGTTCTGCTTCTGCTTCTCTTGATTGATGGTGTCAATACTCCCCTCGTCGTCTGAGCGGTGGGTCGTGCCCTTGGGTTTGGTGCCCGCCATCTTAAGCTGACGTGTGTGATGGTGGTAGTGATAAGAGCAGAAGGCTAGCTGTAGAGTAGTGGTGATGTGACGTTGAGCCTGGTCGTCTATTAAGCTCCCTCCTTGTCTAGGGAAAGGAGCTGGTCTATATATCTCACTCATGACACGGGGATGGTGCTGTCTTTCGTTGGCATGCGAGATAGCCCCTATTTCTTTTTTCAAAAATAAAACCCCCCCGAATAATTTGACATTGCTATAAGGTGTCCATATTGTGCCATCGTGTGCGCCCACCTTTATAAAAGGACCCTATCGCTTGTGGTTATGTCCAAAGTGAAACTGTATATACCAAGCCCCTTTTCCAATCATTCATATACACTTACCTCATTGCTAGTAATGAGACCCAGCTCTAACCCAGCCCGACCAGCAATCAGTCTTTCTTTCCGTAGGACACTGCTAGGGGATTTTCCGATCCCAATAGTTTTCCCAGTAGCCCGTCCACATCAACACCATTTGCTTCCGCCACCGTAATGCCCGCGTAGAGAGTGGCAGCCACAACCACGATAATGTCCAGGGCATGAACCAGCCACCAAAAATGCTGTCTCCCCAGCCGGCAGTCCGAGTACTCGTACTGCCATTCCCAACGATCCCAGTCAAACCACAGACTGACGAGGCCGGCGTTTCCATGAAAGTCGCCCATCATACTCCGCACCGTAATCTCACGGCGTCCCGGAATGTCCCGGTCCTTGCGGTTTGGGATACCCCGTAACTGGGCGTCCTTCCATGTAGTCACCTCCCACGCTCGCTCGGTGTGATCGGTCCCATTGGTCTGGTTGATATAGTGATACGTGTCGCAACCCGCATGGTCGTGGCCATTAAGGATCAATCCGGGGCGGCCGAGACCTCCGCCAGAAGCGTCCGTGTTGCCGCTTACGCCCATGATCCCCTCGTACAAGCCCTTGCTCGCATCTGAACTCAAAAGGTATTGCTCCCGAACGCCGCCTCCTTCCTCGGCAGGGTAGAAGTCAAAAAAGGGGGCGTCCACACAGACGCCTTCAGGCTTGTATGTGGGGATGTGGGTCAGCAAAATGGTGAAGCCACCTTTGTCTTCGACAGGGTGTGAATTGCCAATTATAGCGTTGACAAAGCGGTACGTCTCGTCCTGGAGGGGGGCGCTCTTGGCCGGCGTGTCGAGGTTCATGTCGTTGAGTACGATGATGCGTATCTCGGGTTGGATGCGGTCCGAGTCAACGTTTGTCTCATCGTTGCGCATGGTAGACTCAAGTTCGGGATTCGGAATGGGGAGCTCAAATCGGAGCTCGTAGTTGGCTTTGCCAAAGACGCGCTCGAATCGTTCCATCCGCTCCTCGGTCAAATCGCCGGCGTAGCCAATGTCGTGATTGCCAGCAACGTTCAATATTCTCTCGGTCCACACCATCTCGGTGTCGGAACCGTCCAGCACGCCAGAAACTTGATGCCCGTCCTCGGGCTCCTGCGCCAGGTCGTCCGGGAGCCTTTGGCCGCCCTTGAAGGTCCTATTCCAGAACCTACTTCCGCGGCGCTCAAACTCATCATCCTCAACCCATTGGCTGCCAATCAGGTCGCCCAGAACCGTGACGTGCGTGGGTTGCGTCCACCAGTGCATTGTCCTGTATATGTGTGCCAAGTAAAGGTCGTTCCCCACCAGATCTAGGCGCTTGCGAACCGATTCGAAAATGTCGGGGATGTCTTCGAAGAACAGGTCGACAATGTCGTGCACGATCATGCGTAGGCGGTCTCGGAGGGATGGGTGCCACGTCTTGAAGGCGACGCGCTTCGCAATGTCCTGGACATGGGGGAAGTATCCATTGATGTTGGTTGGGATCGCCGAGTCGCCTTCGAGCTGGGGGTCGCCAAGAGAGAGTAGACGGAAAGGCGCTGGCTTTGTCCCCGAATAACTTCCATCCTGCTGCTGCTGATTGGCTTTTGCGTACGGCCAGTGCAGCCTCCTTGTCACATCGAAGGCCTCGCTGGCACTTCCAGAAGGGACCGGGAACGCGCAGCCCCCAAATACTGGGTAGAGGTATAGGTAGATGGTGCATGCCACGGCTAGGGGCATGAGAATCCCCAAGCCGCGGCCTAGAAGAGCTGCTACGACTACCATGGAGAGACACCGGATCGCTTCCAGAGGATCCGTGACTCGCCTGGTAGCTCGCAATTGTTCATGTGACGCCGTGTAGTGTATATAGTGTGTTCAAAAGTAGACTTGGCCGACATCAGGGGTCCCCTGTTGATCATGTCGGCGCGATCTGGTTCATAATGTGATTAGTCAGCACACCTGGCTACCCGGGAGAAAGATGTTGAACCCGTCTTCCTCATGAAAACGAACATTTCTGGAGAGAAAATGTATTCTTGTGTCATATTTGTGATAATAATTTAGTTGCCAATTTCACTTAATCTGATATAAATTAGGCCTTATCATTTGTTAAGTCTCGACAATAGTAATTATCTGTTTTTACTTGACGGGTACGACTACAATGGCGGGGCGTACGACGCTGTGACATACTACTATCCTACCAATAGTACTCGCAGTATTAGACTTGTGAAACAGTAAAACGACATATGTTTATTGATTAAGGTTAGACCAAATTTCGTCATGTTTATTTCTTGTTGCCATCGTCTATGGAATAGCAGTCGTGTCCACGTCCGATGAAGTGTGCCTCATTTTTGCGAGATACATCTGTCCATCTAATTCTAATTCACCAATAATGGGAACGCAGTTGACTAGTAGCTCAACCGTGTTTCCAGGGTTGATTCGTAACTCGTTAAAAATTCTATGCGTCATTCGGTAAGGTCCTTAATAAGCAGGCTTTTGATGTCAAGCGTTATTTACATGGGCTAACTGAGGAAATCCCATGTGAATACGTCCAGTACTCCCGGTCAAAAGCGATCGGAATGTGCATTGCCTCTCCCATCACTGATGGTCCTCCTTCCAATATAGTGCTTCACTCCTCAGCATCCTCTAGCTCCTCATCATCCTTGGGCCACTCCACATCGAACACTGCCTCGTCGTTAGGGTCATCGAGAAAGGTGAAAGCCACTATTCCATTCTGCTTGAGCTCGGAATTCGCGGGAGTCGTTTCATCATCATCGTACTGGAGGCGCTTCCACCCGCGCGTAGGATCGTTGGAGACGTTGAGGACGGCGTAGGCCATGTTGGGCTTGGATGCCTCATCGGGCACGGGTGTCTTCTCGAGCGTAACAAAGGATTTCGTGAGACCCTCGGGATACCTATCCCTGAGAAGCTCACGGAGATCCTTGCCGACGGTAGCCATGGTCCCCATTAGATCGACAAAAAGATAGATGGTGTGGATGCCATACTTGAAGCGCACCGAGGCGTGCACGTCGTCTATGGTCTCCTAGAGGGAAGAGTCAGTCGCTGCCATACTTTTCATGTCCGTAGACTGTAGCACTCTCTTAATAGGGATAAGGTAATATACCGGCATGATCTGGCAAGGTTTGGAAGTCGTAAGACAAGGGACGTCTATCTGCGCAGGCACGTCAGAAGGCACAGATATGTAAAGAAGGAAACAGGTGGGGCATGCAAGAGGCGCGAGATCACATGATATCGCGTTAAGTAGCGGCTCCGAGGACTGTGTGCATACACAGTGAGAGAGATGAACACACGGTATGGGGCAGGATCATGGTCTCTCCTTCATCCTTGGGCATCATGCAGGATGGCGTGCAGACCTTGCAACTTCATATGCCGGCCGCTGCCTGAACCCGGCCTACTGGCTAGCATCACGATCCTTTACCGTCTCAAAATTGTGTGTAAGGTCAATCGTCGCCTACTCTGTCCCGCCTTTGCCAACGCCCGACCACTTTACCTGGTGTAGCACAGCACGTGCGTATACCGTATCAAGCCAATATCGATGATGACAACGACGGTAATGGCAGTCGGTGGCCCACAACAACATAATATTCCTGCAGAGATCGTGCCATCTCAATCGCCAATGCGGCAAATACAAGATGTACATTCACGTCTGTCGATGAACACATCTGGGCGCATCACCCTGGGGTCAGCCATGGCGGCTGCAGTCGGCCTGTCGCTTGGGGCTACGCAGGGTGGACAGACGGCGCAGCTTCGATTCCGGGCCGAGCACGCCCACAAAATGCCCGACTCAACCACGGGCTGGTACCTGTATCACAAGACCAAGAACTACCACACCATGTACGGCGGTGTCCGTGAGGGAGTCCGCATGGGAATCCGCACGGGCTTCTGGAGCTTCTTGGCCTTGTCGCTCGAGAGCACAGTTGACCGGTGCCGTGGTGCTAGTGACATGTTCTCAACCATTATCGCGTCGCTGACTGTGGCTGGCGCTTTCTCCTTATGGCGTAAGTTATTGACGATGACGATTGTATTTGCCTACAGAATCTCTTACCACCCCCGCCCCCCTCTCAATCCCTCCGCCTCTCCCTCCGCTCCTGCTCCAACCCCCGCCTCTCATTTCCCACCCCCTTCCATTTCCAAGGTGCCATCAACCGCGTCTTTCCGCTCCCCGATCATATGGACCCTCTAACCCCTCCTTCCGTTCCCCTTTCAACTGTACGTCTTGATACACCGTGTTATTGTGTGTGCAATACTTTTAGCGTATGACCTGTGGCAACGGATGACATTTGTGCAGACAGCTGACTATTGAATGCCTTTTTGCGTTACCCAGATCGCTTTCCGATAACGACGGCAGCTCGGACGGCACGCTCAGGTTTCCTATTTGGCCTCGTGTATGGAAGTGTGCAGGATATACTCGGCCTAGCCCAGGGCAGACCAGTCGGGTACATTGAGTTTTTCCGGAGGAGGCGGGGGGGAGCAGCAGAGTCAGGCCCCGGTTCACAGACCGCCCCCGCAAAAACTGGGCATGACAATATATCTGTGTCTGCCGGAGAGACTCTGAGTACCCGTAGTCAAGGCAGATGATTGATTTGTTAGGAACCCGTCTTGCGTCGATATATTACATACACGAGCGTTTTATCTGTCGTTTCCATATTGGCAATTCCGTAATGCTGCGCGGCTCGCATTAACATAACCATCTTTGGAATTCCCATTACGAAAGAGACACCCAATAAAGTTGTTGGCCCCTGCACTCACGAGCAGCGACTCGGGCCGGATGTCGTCGGACGTGCTGGCCATTGCCTCTCTGCTTTATTAGTGTGTATTATATGTAGGCGGCGTGGAGAAGAAGTGGGCAAAGAAGGGTGTCAGGTGGGGAGAGAGGAGGGAGATTTGAGGAATGTGGCTACAAATTCGTCATGACACTGACTAGCCTCCACTTTGTGCGGTATCCAAGGAACTCTGCTCTTTTCTCTCTCCCTTTACTTATCTAGATCGTCACAGAGGAGAGCAAAGAAGGAAAACGTTATGACGATACGATATACTCCGATTTATTATTTGTTCTTGACTCGATATTATATCATCATGGGGGGGGGGGGGGAGCAATAAAAATACCACAACAGGGGGAAACACTCTGTTTTGTCCACTGTCGGCCAAAAGCAGACGTCATGATATGCTCGGCATTTTGAGGCTCAAAAAAAGGTAAGATGGAAAAAGAGCAACAATTGTGGTCCAGCGCCGATTACGGACCAAAGCTGCACGCGGCTAGATTCGGCTCTGTTTGTATTATTATTTTATGTAAGTGGGTGCCACACGTGACGCCTGATAAGGATCCCCCGGAAGTGAAGTTTTTGGGTTAGGCTTTGTGGTCCCGAGCCGCATCAGACCGAGCTGGCCAGATAATTGAAGGGTCAGTCATTGGCAAATCTGGGCCCATACATTGGTCATGCCACACACGGTAGCACCAAGGAGGGACACTGGCAGACTGAGATATGGGATATGGATGGTCGATTGCGAGCCCACGACGGCCCAGATCGGCCAACGACGGAGCCGGGTGTCCGGGGTCCTTTGGCCTGCCTTGAATGGGGAAGGGCCTTTAGCTTGCACAGAGACTGACACGCATACACTCGGAGAATCAGGATGGATGGATACCCCTCTGACCCGCGCGTCTAGGCTTCTTAGCTACTGCCGTCTCATGGATGGCTGAGAAGATAACAGCGGTTCTCACGCTTTCATTGCTCGTTCGTCGCCGCCGATGTCCGAGCCCGCCACCACACATTCGTCGTATAAGCCCCCCTCCCTCTCTCGATACTACACACCTTTTCCCCCTCCCGTCCTTCCCTTATTCACAGGCATCACGAGTCTCTCTGCACCATATACACTTTAATCCTTATTAGTATTCCTGTTCTTTTTCACCACTTTTCTCTCTCTCCCTCTCTTCCATTATTGTTATCCCTGTGTGCAAGGATAACTGGGAATTTACTGTCATCGTCGTGGTCTCGCGTCTTTCAACAATCACTCCATATACAGCTCTTATCTATCTCCGCCGATATACCCCGCAAAAACATCAGGCCGATATACATCATACAATGCCCAGCACCTTCGCTGGACGAGGCCTGCGCTCCTCGTCTCACTTTGCCGGTGTCCCATCATGCGGTGCTGCTGCCCCCTTGTCGGCTGTCGTTGTAGCTCTGGGATGCCGCATGCGTAACCCCATGACTTTCCGTCGCCGTCTTATCCACTCTTCCGAGAAGCGCACCTCCACTCTGGCTGAGAATCCGGGAGCCGTGACACCTCCTTCGTCCACCGAGCCCGCCCGTGCTCCCCTCTCGGTCCTTCCCCTAACCATGGTCATCCGGTCGCTCGGTACCACTGCCATCGCGTCCTCGCCCCTGCTTCTCACCCCCTCCCTCCGCATCATGGACTTTCTCGCCAGCACCCAGAGCCGCTTGTTCAACGCCGATACCAACCCCTTCCTCCGCTTCTTCCTGAAGAAGACATTCTACGCCCAGTTCTGCGCTGGCGAGAACCCGGCTGAGGTCCGTGGTTCCATGGAGAGCCTCAAGGCTATTGGTTTCAACGGCGTCATTCTCGGTTATGCCAAGGAGGTTGTCCTTCCTGAGTCCCAGGCCCAGGCTCTGGCTGCCGGCCGATCCTTTGAGGAGAACGCCCAAGTTATCCGTGACGAGATCGAGCCGTGGGCCGAGGGTGTCCGCGAGACGGTCCGCCTCGCCCAGCCCGGAGACTTTGTCGCCCTCAAGTTCACCGGCGCCGGCTCTGTTGCCCTCTACCAACTCTCCAAGCGCCTGCCCTGTTCTGAATACCTGTACAAGGCCACCGACTCCATCTGCCAAGTTGCCTCCGAGAGGGGCATCCGCCTTCTGTTCGACGCCGAGCAGGACGCTCTTCAGGACGGCATTGACGACTGGACCATGCAGTTCGCTCGCAAGTACAACAAGGACAACGCTATCGTCTTTGGTACCTACCAGGCGTACAAGAAGCGTACCCCTGGAGTCGTTTATAACCACCTCCAGATGGCCCGCAACGAGGGATTCAGCCTTGGTGTCAAGCTCGTTCGCGGAGCGTACATCAACTCGGACCCTCGCGAATGCTTCCACGCCACCAAGGAGGAGACGGACGCCTGCTACGACGGCATCGCCGCCAGTGTCCTGACCCGCCAGTGGAACGCCACCGTTGAGGGAGAGGGTGAGTTCCCTCCTTCAAGCCTTGTCCTGGCGACCCATAACGGCGAGTCGGTTCGCCGTGCCCGTGCCATCTGCGATGCTGGAGCTGCTCGCTCTCCCATCTCATTTGCCCAGCTTCAGGGAATGGCCGACGACGTCAGCTGCGAGCTCGTCGAGGCTAGCATCCAGCGCCGGAAGCTGGCCGAACCCACTGCCGCCCCCTCTACCTCTGTCAACCTTGCCCCTCTGCCTGCCTACAAGTACATGGTCTGGGGAACCACGGGCGAGTGCATGAAGTATCTTCTCCGTCGCGCTTATGAGAACAAGGATGCAGTTAGCCGCACCCGCACCAGCCGCGATGCCCTATGGGGAGAGATGATCCGTCGCGTTAAGGCTACATTCAAGCTGGCCTAAATTTTCTTCCACGTTTGTTGACATGATTCTACGATTCTATGATGCTTTGGGCGTGGGGGCCTTTGTTGCCTTTCTTCGTGGATTTCTGAGCGAGCGTTTGCTTCCTTTTACTGTAATGGTTATTATTATAATACGGATATGAACTTATTATCGAGTAATGAAAGAATCACTTACAAACCTATCACGGTGATTTGTTGGGGTATTCAGCGTAAACTATTCAGTGATGGTAGGATAGTTTACACCATGGGAGGAATTACCTTCACACTCCGTGAAGGGCCATGGCCCCCAGTACGAGCATCTCTATCTCTTTGTGCTTTGCCTTTGTGTCCTTGATGCTGTTCATCCAGTTGAGGCCGTTGAGTTTGTAGTATTTCAAAATCTTGGTCATGTTGGTGGCGGCAGCAATGCCTTCATCAGTAACGGGCACCCAGCTGCCTTCAACATGAGAAGCCAGATGGGCAGATATTTTCTCGGCCGACAGGCTGTCATCCTTGATGACCTTGACCACTATTAGGTCTTTCGTGTTGGGCGAAATGCCAAACCTGCGGTACGCTTCTGCAATCTAGGTCGATAGTGAGCACATGGCAGACAATTCACAAACTCTAAAAGGGGGGGTCCTGTACATTTTTGGATGGACTCAGCGATGCAACAATCTCCGAATGAACATTTGGCGTTTTGAGGGTGTCTGTGGCACTCGAGGTGACAGCCTTGAAGACTGCCGCAAGCAGGTGTTGCCGCGAGACAATCTTTAGACGTTAGTCTGAATCTCATCAAAGAGAATTCCAGTCGTCGACATAATGGCGAGTAGGACATACAACTGAGGCATCAACGAGGCCGTATTCAAAGTCCAAGTTGAGTGCAAGAAGTTGGCTGTGGAGAAATGTGGCGTTGCGCACGTCTCTGAACAAGGCAAGATGCACGGCGTAGTGTGTGGGAAGGTGGTCAAGAACCACTGTCTCGAGGGACATTGTGGGAATGAGAGATGTGATGCTCAGAATGTGTATTCTAGGGATGGTACGTGGCCTATGTTAGCAAGGCTTAAAGCGTGGTTGTATGTGGCAGTGACATGTGAAGAAAACATTGAATGTGCACGATAATATGGAGGGGCAACGACGGTGACGATGATGGAAGGAGGGGCAAATTCTCCGGATCCGCTCGACGTGTGTTTCCTGCTAGTGGCAGCACACGATGACTCGTAGACGTGAATGCAGTGGTATCTGTCTACTGGTACGTCCTGGGTCGATGAATGTGTGTCTTGGTGCTTGCTTGATTTCTCCGAAAAGAAGATCTATCTATGAGGTTATTTACAGATGTGAGTGTGGCAGCAGCCTCTGGCTGCTTAGTCATATAATCTTGGGTGCCACAGATGTTGGGTACAGGGTAAGAATTTATCCACCTGCGCTAAAAAAAGGGGAATATAATAAATTACTATAGTTTTTAGCGCAGGTACTATACAGAGTAACCTGTGCGGCGGTGCGCAGATGAGACCAGCCGTAGGAGTGACTGCGTATAGTAAACATGCTCTTTTCATTAGTATTGAGAGAGTTAAAGCCTCATTCTAAGTAGGAATAATGCCAACAAAACATCGTGGCTCGGATTGCTGCAAAACGATTTGGTAATCTGCGCCTGGGCGACCGGGGCATGGGGTAGATGCCATTCAGTCGTGCAACGGATCATAGCCGAGTACTCTCACCTACTCCGTACGAGTACAACGTAAGAGAGGTGATCTCATTTGGGTGAGCTTTAAATAGCTCCCCAGGAGATGAGTACGGGGAAAAATAGGTAGTACTACGGGTACCTCATACGGAGTATTATTACATACGGAATATGTTTATTATTACGGATGTACCTATAGGCTAGTACGGACCATACTCATATGCCACGCATCGATGAGCCACCATGGTCCTCGCTACTCGTAGTTATATGGAGTATGATATGTATGCATCCTCGAGCCCCGTATGTCGGGATCTCTCTCACGAGCAAAAAGAAGAAGAAAAAAAGGCTGCTGCGCTGCATTGACCTCCTACTTCACCCTGAAATCCTGCTGGCCGGGTTGCCAGATGCTGAAGACCAAAGCTTGCGCACGCATGCACGTTGGTTCCCAGCAGGAAGGAAGGAGTGTCGATCCGGCAGTTCTGTAGCAGCAGCATTGCATTCAGCATGGCCCGTGGGAAGGTGGAAACTACCAACATTAAGAAGCAACAGCCACGCGGGTCATCCAAGCCAATATCATTATATACCAACATGGGCACGCAACCCCCCTACCCTTCCCGGCTCTCGGGACATGGACGGGGTGGAACGGAGGCTCAAGACTGATTGCTTGGGTGTCGCATTCTGCGGATATGCGTACGGGGAGAGGGGGTGCGCCACGAGCACTGCGTACGAGTAGTAATATTATATTGCATAGATGATAAGGAACCAATAAGCGCCTCGGTGACATCCAGGCCGACAAGGCTCAATGGCTCATCAATAGATGGCGTCAACGCCACCATCTAATACTCTAGTTGTTTTGCCGGAGTGCTAGACTCGGAATGAGATGGGTAGCACGACTGCCATCGATGCCAAGCTCGAGGAGGTGGAGTAGGAGTATGGTAGAGTATGGTATTGCATGTGATGCTCGTATGGTAGAGCGATTTTCGCAGGCGCACGAAAGTTTGGCCATGTGTATCTAACTCCACTGGCGATCCTTCATAAAACACACGTGTAATGCGTATAGTTGTTGCTCCTAAAAGGAAAGAGGAAGAGGCTACCTACAAGTTAGTACATAAGAAATACGTGTCTGGATACTCGTAGGGGTCATTTCAATGCCCCTGAGTGAAAGTCACGTGGGTCCCGGAAATGAGGCTTTCCCGGAAGCACAGCCAAATGGACCATGGTCAATGCATAGCCTGCGTGTTTCTCGGTTGCGAATAGCACGGAAAAAGCGTCTATATATATTACTCGTACATAAGGACAATACTAGGCAAGCAGTAGTGATGTGTCGCGACGACCAACTCTAGGGCTGAAGGAGGACGCGACAAAGGTCTCAGAAGAACACGAGTCCAGGCTCGGTGGTTGCAACACTACTGCTCACACTATTTGTTACTACGGCGTACGTACGAGTACCGCACATGTGTACCCGTATCAGTGGCTCAATGAAAAACGCCAGAGACACGCAGCCCAATGGGCACTGAAACGAGCGAAAAGTAGCAGTGCGAAAGGATTAATGTCAGCAGCTACGAGTAGTGACACTACATGTATCCGTACAGTCTACCTGTATTACTCACTACTACACACGCGATATCAACAAAGACTTGGCAGAGGAAACAAGCCAAGGATCACGATTGTCGTCCCTGCCAAGTTACCCTACCAAATTCGTAAATACAAGTACAAGTATGTTGATGTTCACTCATCCCTCCCCCCCAACCCCTCTCCCTCGTTCAAGTCTTGTTCTCTGGGCCTTTGCCTTTCGGCTCGTCTTGTCGGGCCGGTGCAAGGGCCAAGCCTCTACGGCATTCATCCCTGGCGACGACGATGTTGAGTCATTGAAGGTTTGTCATAACACGCACCCGACGCTCGACGCGCAAAGGCAACATTAGCCAATACCTGACATCTGTGCTCGTTCTTGTACGGGTAGATTCGGTGCAGTACGTTGGTCATCGGCGACTCGTCGGTATTAAGCTGTACATGCAGTACGACGTACTACTGCTGCGTACGACGCACTCGTGCATTGTGATACTGGAGCTGCAGGTCGGGGATGCAGCAGCATACGGGGGTTCAGGCGCTGTCAGTGATGACCGTCTTTGATCAAGAGTCAAGACAGAAGGTACTAGCGTGCGAGAGTCAAGTACGAGACATCGAGTATGGAGTGGTATCACAATCTACATGTACGCAGTATGGTATCCGTCGCAGTACGTATTACCCATGTAAGAGTACCTATCTTGTACTTGCGTCGCAGTCGTGGACATGATGCTGATGCATGCACTGGCAACAGCACGCCAGCATACGCCCTGGCCCTGCCCCCCTCCTCCCCTGGACCATGCAAACCGCCCCGTTCCATCTAGCCACTCCTGACAAGTCTAAAAGACGACAAAGCTGCGGCGGGCGGATAAAAGTGATAGATCTTGACGAGGTGGGACTCGTGGCCTTGCCATTTCGGAAGGGAGGAGGGAGAGGAGAGAGACAAGGGTTGGAGGGGCAAGCGAGTGAGAAGGGACCCACACACCTACTTACCAACTTGTCATGTAATACGGAGTGGAAGAGTAACAAAGTGAGCACTCGTATTTTACTTGCGCAGTCGACGGAGAGAGGAGAGAGAGAGAGCTCAGTCAAGCCAACACAGGCTTACAGAACGGATGCCCCCCCCGCGGGGGGAGGTACAGGGAGAATTGAATTAAGGAGGGCAAATATACATCGTAGTAGTGTACAAGTAGCCGTTACGGCGTAAACGACGCAATCGGTTCTTAACAGCGCAATTAATATTGCGCGCGTGGTCCTTAGCTCTTAATGCTTTGATGCTAAGGGTAAAACGAACAGGTTTGGCACATGGCCAACGGATCATTAATTTATCACCATTATTGACATATTACTAGATGTACTCACCTGCACTATCTGTACTCGTATAATACTCGTGTCGTATCGTTCCCTTCCAAGGATCTGGTCTGGGGTTGATTGCCAATTGGCGACTGAAACAGTCGTCGTTATAAACGCGGCAGGGCCATGCACGAGAAACCAAGGCAGGCGCAGAAAGGGCCAGAGGGCAGGGCCCAGGCATAGGCGGCATCTAAGACAAGGTGCGACTGCCGTGGATTGACGGAGCACGAGCCATAATTACTTTCATTAGCAATACCTAGACTAGCACTAGGCTAGTACTCGTAGTACCAGTACTGCTAGAACTCAGGAAAACTAAATTCAGCAGTTGCCTGCCACTGTTACTTGTACTCCTACATATCGAGCGCCCCCCTCGTACCTGCCAACTGCTCAACTACGGATACTAATTTTTTGTTGAAGACCAGACGGCATCTTACTCGTACCGTACCCGGACTACTAGTAGAACATACTACCTGTAGTGCTCTGTAGCAGTAGTAATATTAGCAGTAGTACTAATAGCAGTAGTATTAATAGCAGTAGTTAGTAGCAGCTACCGGTACTGCAGGTAATGCTGCACTATTGCTAGTAGTATTACTCATTGTTAATTCCATCAGACAAGTATTACGCCGTAATATTAATACTGACTACGAGTATTACATGTACTAATAAGTACGCTGTATTAGTACTCATACAGACACTCGTACGACAATGAATTTAACCCATGTACGTACGAGTTGAGGAGTACTAGTATATGTACTATACTGTAGTAGCAAGCTAGTAAAATAGCATGCAGTACGAGTACCTACTAGTAGTACTACATGTATACTACTGGTAGGCTAAATTGTCGTACTCGTAGTGCAAAGTCTGGGGACCCGCACATCCCACTGAAGCCGCCAAAGAAACCGAGATCCACCGTCTTAGCAGCTGGGGCTAGTCCATGGTCGGTATTAGCTCAGTAGGTAACTAGGTGCCTGGTGGCCTGCTGAACACCTGGGAGAAGAAGAGAAGAAAAGAAGGGGAGAAAGTGAAGGAACAATGGGAACAGCCACATGCGCGTACAAGTACTTGTATTACTTGTCAGAATTGATCTCACCGTTCCATGGAAAAGGAAGGCGAGACCAGATAGTCACCTCCTCGCTTCTCTTCTCCCCCTCCTCCAGGACGGTTTCTATCCTCTTACATCGCTCACCATTATCAATAACAAAACGGGCAGCGACGATTCGTACGAGGCCACACAACCGTAACCGTACAACCTTGGCCGCCACCACGACCACCAGCCCTGGCAGTCCACCACCGTCCGTCGCCCTGGGTGCCCTGGTCCAGACCTGTCAACTCTGTCCAATCGTTCGAGGTCTTGGGCCTTGCACCACCCACGCTCCATGCTCCATCCGTCGCTTTCGCCCGGCTCCGCTGTCCCATAATCATCAACCCGGTAGCGCCATCCACGGTCCACCTGCACCACACCCACCCCCCAGCAACTCAAGTCAACTTCTGGGCCGGACCTCACCCCCATCCATACATTCTACCATTTCAAGCCACCAGCAGAGTTCCTTGGGTCTTAGCGTTACTAAGACGTGTGTTCGCACTGCTACAAGCCTACAAACCACGGAGCACACCCCGTAGCACTCGCACACTATGCGTGCTAATGCCGAGTATGTGCACTCGTAGTGTTTATTACGGATATTACTGCGGTGCCTGTACTACAGAGAAGCGGCGGCACTTGTGGGGAGATCAGCATCAGATGCGACCTCCCTAAACCGTCTGCCACTGGCCATACCCTTTCCCACCCCATCGCGCATGTCTGTCAACCTGCAGCCGGCATTGTACGCGCACGGCGCCCACAATACTTCGACATTGACCTCAGCATCCGATATTTGCACTACTCTCTTAGTACGACCTCCAGACGCTCGTCTCCGAGACGCAGGCAAATCCCCCCTCCCACCCAACGCCCCTCCGGACCAATCACCCCTCGGAGAGTCCGTCGGCATCGCGTTTCTCGGCGCCACTTACTTGCTTTGCCGGTGTTGCTTCTACCATACCTTTGACCTCGACCTTTTCCTTTCCGGACCGCCGCCGCCGCCGCCCCCATCGTTGTCGCTTAACCTAGCCACGATCTCCCTCCGAGCCTTGCGCCCTCATTCCGTCCCGTCTTGCGCCCCGGTGGTGCTGTCGCCGCAGTCGCCATGCCTGCCCGACAGGCCGCCGGCAGCGTAGCCAATTCAAAGCGCGCTGCCGACGATAGCAATGACGACGACGAAGTCTCCGCCCCCGGCTCCAGTTCCAAGATGAAGCTGCCACGCCTCGACCGTGGTTCCGAAGACTTCTCAAGCGTCGTCAAAAACCGCCTGCAGTCCTATACAAGAACTGGCCAGGCCTGCGACCGTTGCAAGGTAAGACTGCCGCCATCCGTCTCGCCCGTCGCCTTCCACCTCCTGCTGCGATGCCGTAGCTTCTTCGGCTGTTGACGCAACTTCTCAAAACAATGACGATAACACTGTTTTAAAAAAAAATTAGGTCCGCAAGATTCGGTGCGACGCATTGCCAGAAGGCTGCTCACACTGCATCAACCTCAACCTCGAGTGCTTTGTTACAGATCGTGTTACCGGCCGTACCGAGCGCAGAGGTTACCTGCAGCAGTTGGAGCGAGAAAAGAACGAGATGCTTCGCCACATTCGCGACCTTGAGAAGCTCCTGGGCGATAAGGGTGTCGACGTGAAACCATGGACCCCGCGATCCAACCTCGATGCTTCCAACCTTGATGCGTCCAACCTCGATGCGTCCAACCACTACGGCAACAGCGGCTCTTCCGACGATGCTTGGACTCAGTACGGCAGTGTCAAGATAAAGGGCGAAACTGCGCCCAGTACCGCCAGTGCTCGTGCTGAGCCTGCTACCATCTCTCCCGCTACTGCTGCCGCAGGGCAAACCTACATTGCCCCCAACTTTCCTCGGTCTCAGCTCGAACCGCGTCGAGAGGACGCCAGTCTCGGCGTCGGCTGGGATAGCCGCCCGTTGAGCTCGATCCGCGGCACCAAGCTCACCATCATGGGAACCACGATCGATACAACTTCATTCGAGGCTCCCGACATGGACGAGCCTCCCCCTGATGCCAATATCAGGACACCCCTGTACAACAAGTCGGTCCATGCGTTCATGCAGTCGGCAATGGGTGTCAACCCTCCTGTGCAGATCGAACTTCCCTCCCGCAATGACGCATTTACCTACTCCCAATGGTTCTTTCTCATCATGTCGCCGTACATTCCCGTACTACACCAGCCGACGTTCATGAAATTGGTAAGCATACGATCCCCTCCTTCCACCCCTTTGATACCCTGATGCCAGTCATAATTCGTAGGCGCGATCAACGACTTGATTGGTGGCTGATACGGTGACATGGCCACACAGCTTGAAAGGATATACGACGAGCCCAATTTCATTCCTTCAGTTGCCGAGATTGTGCATGTGCACATGGTCTTTGCAATCATCTACTATCAGTACGGCGTCCGCAACTGGCAAGAGGTCGAGAGGCGTGACCAGCTCAACGATCTCTCCAACAAACACTATCACTTCTCACTGAGCAAATTCTTCGACCTGATGGTCTCACACGAACTGCCTGCGGTCCAGGCCCTAGTTCTCATCGCCTGTCATACCCGAGCCTTTCCGAAACCGGGGTGCAGCGCCCTCATCTGCAACTTTGCTTTCCAGCGAGCCCTCGAACTGGATCTCCACCGAGCCCCCCGAGTCCCAGAGGGCGGGACTACTCTGAGCATCGAGATGCGCAAGAGGACGTGGTGGGTTCTACTGTCCATGTACGTGTCCGTGACCGGCCGTCGAGGACGACCCATGCCAATCACCGTTGAGGAATTTGACGTCCCTTTTCCCGAGCCGGTTAACGATGAGCTCCTCACAGAGGATGGCATCGACAGGTCGCGCCAGATGCCCTGTGAGTGGGATGTCGGTATGGCCACTTTCAAGATTGTGCCCATCCTTATGGAGATGTACTCCAACATCTACAGTATCCGGAGAGACACGCAAAACTATTCCAATATAGTCTATGCCCTGGAGGCACAGCTGCAAAAGTGGGAGAGGGAACTCCCCCCCAACCTACAGCCAAGTAAGCAGAACGAGCACAATGGCCTAGCCACTCTGTACATGAGAATGTTTGCACTCGAGTCGCGCCTATGGCTCCGCCATAATTCGGTCAACCCAACCGCCGACAAGCAGATGATAGCTGAGAACACGAAGATTTGCGAGGAGACGGCCCAGGAACTGCTGAAGATCGTGCAGCAGGTCATCTCCGTCAAATCTCTCGACACGACATGGACGCAAATGGCCGTCTATGCAATGTCCTTGTTTTCCACGCTGGCGGCACATTGGGAACGGCGGTTCCAAACGACATCGGCTCAAGTGGCTGGTCTTCGTCGCGAGATGGATGAATGGATGACTGTCCTCAAAGAAGCCAGTCAACTGATGCGTATGCAGCCCCTGCCCTTGAGAGTCGAGCCATTGTCGCATCACCACACTAATTTGTATTATGCTGCACATAGGCTCTGGACCCCAGATAGAGGTTGATATTCGACGCATCGTCAACCACACCATTGCCTGGATCGAGCGCGATATGGGTCATCGGGGACAGGGACGCCAGCGCTCACCATCCCCGCCATCAGCTCCGGCAGTGCGATTGAAGAGGGAGAATTCATCGCCCAGGAGAAATGCGAGCTTGACTCCTCCCCAGCAAGCCCATACATCCACGACAAGGCCCTCGCCGCCAGTCACGCTACAGCAGCAGCAGCAGCAGCACCGGCGGGCACAGGCACAAACGCATGTGCAGCAGCAGCAGCAGCAGCAGCATCAACAGCAGCAGCAACACCGTCACCATACAGCATTACAAGTCCCGTCTAGGACACAAGGCCAAACTTTGGCCCATGTTCAACATCAACATCAGGCGGCGCCACAGCCGGCATCACGACCTCCATCAACTGCCGGGCCTGCACCAGTGGTAACACCTCAGCAGGAAGCTCAACCGGACGGGAACTACTACTCCCACGCAGATCTCAACGGTCACGCTGCGGCGTATTCCGGACTCGGTTATGGGAATCACACTCGGGGTCCACAGATGGAGTCACAGACGTACGGCGCAGACGCCATTTTCTATCCTAGCTCTGCCCAGCAGTCAGCATCCGCAGCGTCTGTCACTGGTGACACACATTCCAACATGCTAGCATTTACCCCGCAGTCGCAGCCGGTCGATGCCACTAGTCATTACTTCTGGAATCGCAGCGGCAACACATGGCAGGACTGGACAGCGGCCATTGCTCAGAGTCCCAGCTTTGGTAACGCAACTCCCCTCATCAGCCTTGATGTAGCAACGGCTGCGAGTGCACCCGGATCCAGGGACCCCGTGGCGTCTTTGCAGGACGCATCGCACGACATGTCAGCCCAGTGGCCGCTCGTCATGTTTGACCAGCATGTCCATCCCCAGGGCCACCATAGCAACAATTCGCAACATCCTCACTCACAACACTACCCACATGGGCCTGTTCAGTAGCCCTAGGTGCTACGGGCCGTGGCGAGCTCACCCTTGTCCTTGGCTCATGGGCCTTGACAGGGCATGATGACAATGTTCACGAGAAAAAAAGAGTTTTCCTTCGTCGGCGTACACAATTGATACAATATCTTCCTAGAAAGAGCGGTGTAGAGGACATCAAATCATTTTTTATACCATTGTCTCCCACTGAGATTGGGAGACTTCTGGCTTATACATATTTGTCTTGGGCGCTATGTTCCACCACGACTGAGGAGCTTGTTTTGACGGTACCTTAGCCCCGTGTTTTTATACATATATATCTTTGTTCAAAATAATCTCTGGAAGGAATGTATGCCTATGGGGATGTAATCGTTTTGATCCAACGGTGCTTGTAGTCGAATTATCATGTCCGTTGTAGCTGCTCCCTCACACAGAAACATCGAATTCGATATTATGATTTCAGGCCCTAAGGATACGATATTGTATGCTTACCCGACTACGTTCATCGTTATGACTAGTACTCCTATGGATATTGATTTTTCATAACGACAACTCAAGAGGACATGGTCTATCATGGTAGAAGGTTCATATTCAGTATCTAGTCTTAAACGGCATAGGGTAAGCATGTACAGACGGTATGAGGCTACTACTCGTACGGAGTAGAACGAATGAGCAACGATAAGAGTTAATAAAAAAATCAATGAGGGGGAATAAAAAGACATGCTAAATTCAATAAATGACAGTCCAATTGAAAACAGAGGTTTCATAATAATAATACTGTGTAGAGTAGGGACGTACTTAACGCAGTGGTAGTCGCGAGTGACATGGCCAAGCAATTGATCACGTGACAGTCACATATTTTTGGTCGCCATCGGAGCTCGTCGTGCCGCGTCTAGGCTCGCAGCGATAAACCTCAGGTCTGCTCATCCTGTTTGGCGACGAAACACCCCAAACACCAAAACAATTCCCATCGGTTTGAGATTCATAATGGGCAAGAAGAAGCGCGGACACCCGGACGTAGAGGAGATACTCTCGCGACCATGGTGCTATTACTGTATGAAATCGACATTACCCGACAAAGGCGTCTTTAGATAAAAGGGAAAGAAAGCAACGCTGACTGAATGGATGCGCAGGCGAGCGAGACTTTGAGGATCTCAAACTGCTCATCTCCCATCAGAAGGCGAAACACTTCAAATGCGACCGCTGCGGACGACGACTCAACACAGCAGGAGGTGTGTATTAGCTTCTTTAAGCAGCAACAGCCCCAGATGTGCCCGACACCCGAAGCTGATGATGAATGCGTGCAGGTCTCTCCGTCCACCTTAACCAAGTCCACAAGGAAAACCTCGAGTACGTGGAGAACGCACTGCCGAACAGACAGGGTCTCGAGGTCGAAATCTTCGGCATGGAGGGCATACCGCACGAGGTCCTTGAGACGCATCGCAACCGCCTGGTGCAGAACTTCTATCAGGCTCAGGAGGATAGGAGATTGGCTACCGGGAATCCCCTGCCAGGCCAGGCGAAGCACCAGAGGAAGAAGATCAAGATAGAGACGGAAGAGGAGCTCAAGAAAAGGCTCGCTGAATGGAGGGCAAAGAGACATGAGGCCCCTCCTACAGAGGTGAGCTCTCCTGCTAGGCAACAAAGAAGAATTGATGTGCTGACAAGAAGCAGAAACAGCAGCCACTGCAGGCACAAGCTCCCTACACCTTTGCGGCCGAATCGATCCCCGCCCGACCGCAGAGTTTTGCCGAAACAACGGGTCTGCCGCAGCGCCCTGGTGGTCACGCACCGCCCGTGCATGAGACTGAAACTGCCAGACCGGCAGGCACGAAGAAGGACAAGGATAAGAAGGGGAGGATGTTCTACGACGATGTGGATACGAGCCCCGAGGAACGCATGGCGGCGCTGCCTCGGTATGCCATCGCTGCCTAGCCGACTGCTTAGCTTGGTTGGCTCGGGGCTCACCGTACAAGGGGAAGGAAGTAAGTCGTCTTTGCTGGTATCTAGGGTTAGGCGTTTAGGCGCATGCAAAGTAGAGAAGCGGCTGTGATAATGTGCCATAGACTGAGCGGATTCGGTATCCGGTGAGGATACTGGATTTTCGTTTTTATCAACATGCTGCTTCCTCTGGAATCTACATATTGTATTCTCAAGAACGATTTACAAGCCAGTACCCTACACTAAAGATTGGGCCTGTTAACCTTGGGCGCCGCCCTGAGATACTGCGACGGCCACTGTACCGGCACGTCAAGTTCCTGCGCCGCGCTGAGCACGAAATCGGCTTCCCTCAGGAACTGCCTTCCAGCGAGAACCAGATCGGCCTGCGGTTCCTCTCCACCCGTTTGGACTAGCGAAGCGGCGAAGCGGCCATCCCTGACCTGACCAACGGTAGCGATCAGCAAATTGAATATGCCCTCAGCATGGAGTGATCTCCGAATCTCGCCCGCAAGGTCCGTCTGGTACGTCTGAGAGACGGTGAACTTCTGAGCAGCCGAGTTGCCGCCGGAGCTGACGTCGAGGACGTCGACGCCCAGGGCGGGGAGCTGCCTGGCCAAACGGATGCTGCTCTGGAGATCCCATGAGGGCTCACCAGAATGATCCATCCACTCAGTGGCAGAAATGCGCAGCCAAAGAGGCATATTGGCGGGAATGACGCCGCGGATGGCCGTGAGGACCTCGCGGAGTAGACGGGTTCGGTTCTCGAAGCTGCCGCCGTATTCGTCATTTCGTTTCTAGGGAAGGTGTCAGCCGCAAATGATGCTAGTATTCTGCACCGCTCGTTTGCGGTTTGGTGGGAAGCAGAGGAACCTACATTGGAGGTGGGCGACAGGAAACTGCTTATCAAATAGCCGTGCGCACCGTGAACCTCGATGACGTCGAACCCGGCCTTGACAGCCCGCGCGGCGGCATCGCGAAACTTTTGGACCACGTCGCCAATTTGTGCTGAAGTCAACTCATGCGGCACGACATGGTCCTCGTCGAAGCGCAGCCCGCTCGGCCCCACGACATGGTCTGGCCAGCCGCCAAGGTGCTCAGGTGCGACTATGCTTCCGGGCAGACGGATCCAGGGGGGCAGGCTACTCGCTTTACGGCCCCCGTGGGCCAGCTGGATTGCCGCGTGTGACCCCTGACCGTGGATATAGTCGGTGATGCGTCTGAGGGGCGCAATCTGCTCGTCGTCCCAGAGGCCGGAGTCGTGCGGGCTGATGCGACCGCGCGGCTCGACGGCCGTGGCCTCGGCGATGACCAGGCCGGCGCCGTGCAGCGCGTATTGACCCAGGTGGACCAGGTGCCAGTCCGTCAGACGACCATCCTGGCCGGCAGAGTACGTGCACATGGGCGCAACACCCCAACGGTTGTGTAGCTCGACTCCACGGATGCGCAGAGGCTGGAAGAGCGTCGGGGCCGAGGCTGCATCATGTGGAGTACCAGCTGGGGGATCTTGGAATGGCGTGAAGTACGGGATGCCGGGGGCAGCCTTGTTCTCGATGTCTCGAGTCATCGTGGCTGTCCGGTGGCATCAACGGTCAGGCGCGCGCGTTGACGTGTGTTCAGATGCAGTCTGTGTGAGTTTCGTCTTCGGCCGTCGCAGACCAATAATACTTGCTACCCTTGGCAGTCGGTCATCCCGCCTTCCCCGTCGCGCTATTTATAATATTAATACGGCGGGTCTGAGGCCCTGCACCTCGACGACGCCATACAGGCTGCAGATGTTGTATTATTCTGCTCAGTGGATGAGTTTCAGATGTCTTGATTACCAATACTGGATTGGTAATATCTTCACTTTGCCCGCATGTCAGGATCGTACAAGTGCATACAACATTGGATTCGTCCCTTCGCAGAGTGTTACAACAACAGCCGAGGTACACCTGACTTGGCAATAGCTCGAGTACATACATTTACGAGTAGTATCCGTACTCAGTACTATGGCCGGTCGCTTGGGAGAAACAGCATAATCAGTGCTTTACTTTTATCTATCTAGCGGGCATAGCATTTCCGTCATGTCATTGGACAACGTGCCCGACTCAGTTACATTGCATTGAGGGTCAAGAGACAAGGATTCATATGTTTCTCTATCCAAGGTTTAATTGAAGTATTAATACCTGTAATTACGTGTTGACTTCCTTGGAGTACTGATATATCGTAGTAGCTCTAGATCGAGGCGAATTGTTTCGTGGCTTTCAATTAACATCCTAACGATCACAGTAACCCACAGTGCCAGTGTAGCCAAGCCAGACTAAAGCTATAATAGGGTCGGCCGAATAGTCTGATAGGGTGTTGGACAGCAGGATGAGGGCCCATCTGAAGCACCGGCTCTGTTAGACCGGGATGCTCGTACCAAGATGGGTCAACACCTAGGATTTTGGGCTACAGGGTTAGGGTAATGTGCATGTTTAGATTCAGGGCGCTATTCGCTGCGTGTACTTAGGCTACTACACGTACAGCCGCCAGCAAGGAAGGCCCAAGAGGAATGTAATGTCTGGGAGTACATGATTCTGTACTTCAATAGCTGCCAAATTGATTTTGCAACAATCAATCATTGATGAGCACACGGAGATTGAAGACATTGTATGAAGTGTCACAGCACTCTATCGTGGAACCCTAAACCACACCAGGGTCTATTGATGGGTTTATCTGTCAGCTATATGATAATTCTATGAGAGGGCTCTAATAACATTTAAAACCATGTAGCCTGTTTACGATACATAGGAATCTCTAACCCTTATTGATATTGACAGTCTGCGTCATGCCCTCCGTAGTCGCTGAGGACGAACATTGGATGTGTCGTGTCCATTTTGGGGATCTACGTAGCAATATTACTACACACATCACCTTCTTGGCTATCGACGGCGCTTTTACTATCACATAGTGGTTTTCGGTAACAATGAAATCTATGAAGCACATGGGAAAGCTTGCGATATTCCAGAAAGATAAGCTATTCTTCAATGGGTTCCAATTGACCTTCCGTCGCCGTCGGCCAATTTGGCTAATACTCGTGTAATTCCGCCTGTTGAAAAACCTGGCGAGACGGGAGACGTGTGGTGTGTGAGACATGGTAGAAACGAAGTACAAGTAATAGATACTAAAGGTACCCCGACTTTCTCCTTCCTCTTCCATGACCGGCTAGGGCCTCCTTCCACCCCAACATGAGAGACGGGAGGCCCTCACGATGAAGATACTTGGTTATTGAGGTGTACTGAGGACACAATCTAGAGCTTCCTAGAAGCATCGTATCTCATAACAGCACCAAGAAGGACCTGTGCACCGAGGACGCAGTCCTCCGGACTGCAGTACTCGTCCGGAGTATGGCTCATTCCATTTCTTGTCGTGGTGAAAATCATGGCGGTAGGACACCTCTTGCTGGTGTTGCAGCTATCATGGCCAGCACCGCTAGTCATGTACCTCCAAAGCTTGCGGCCATCCTTCCCACTGAGCGGCGCAGTCGTCTCAACGGCCGCCTCCTCAACAGCAGCAATGCAGTCCTTGTGGAAATGCTTGGCTGTGTTTTCAGTCAACATCGTCCATTCAACGTCCACTCCCTTGGCGCTGCCGTTCTTGGCAATGTCGTCGAATAGTTCGCGGCACTTGGCGATCATCCCAGCCAGTTTCTCATCGCTCGGGTGGCGGGCGTCGAGGGTGAACCTGACCTTCTTAGGAAGCGTGTTGATACTTCCCGGGTAGGCGTCGATGATGCCCGTGGTGATGAGACCGCCGGCGTTGCGAGCCACTTCGTTGGACTCGACAATCATCTTGGCTGCAGCCAGAAGGGCGTCTTTCCTCACCGCTAGCGGGGTAGTACCGGCATGGCTGTCCCGGCCAACAACCTCGATCTCGTACCAGCTATATGCCTGGGCGCCGGTGACAACGCCAATCTTCTCCTCATTTTCTTCGAGTATGGGCCCCTGCTCGATGTGAAGTTCAAAGTGGGCGGCAATAGGCTGGGACCGATAAGAGGCTGGGACGTCGCCGAGAAATCCGATGCGCTCTAGCTCTTCCTTGAGTGTTTTCGGGGTCGGGCCTGCGGCGAGAGACGAAACCTCCTTACAGCTCCAACCTGCGTCGAGCGATAGAGTCTCTGCCCACACGGCTGATGCCACTGTTGTAATTGGGAAACGCGCCCCTTCCTCACTATACAAGGTGTGTTATTGTCAGAAAAGAACAGCAGCATCGCCATCTACGCTCTGAGGTAGGGTCTAACTGACTTCGTCCAGTTTACAAGACCCAGGGGACCCTGGGTCTCATATCCGTTCTCATGGAGCGTGCGGAGAACCTCGAGACCAGCCGTAACACCCAGGATGCCGTCATATCTCCCACCGGTAGGCTGTGTATCGAGATGCGATCCCATGATGACGGGGGGCACATTGCTGACCTTGCCTGGCCTTACGGCAAACATGTTGCCCATCTGATCAACCGTGACGGTGCAGCCGATGGCCTTGGCCTGCTCCGTGAGCCATAAGCGGACCTCTTTGTCGTCGTCGTTCAGGGATAGTCGAGCCATTCCTGTCTCGGTAGGATCGCTGTTCGTTGTAGTGTGAGCTTTCGGATATACGTATATGGCAGAAGGAGAAAAGCAGAGAAGCATAACTACCTTCCATAGACGTGAGCCTTCCCAAACTCGCATGTAGAGTGTATTGAGTCCATGAGCCTTGACCCATTGACGCGGAGGGTTGCTGGCAACGAGGCATCGACATCGACACCGCCCCGAGCTAGCGTTGAACTCATGACGGCTTGAGCGGTGGCCACATTGACTTTTGAGAAGCTGTCCAATGCTAACGAAGCTCGACGAATGCTCAGTGGTAGGCAACTCCTGCGGAACGACATTCTGTATGTATACCGAAGGTTAAACTATTCGTGAGGAGTCAAATCCACAGAAAGAAGATGCATAAGTAATACGTAGAGACGGATGTGGTGTTGGGACCATGTGCGGGGCAAAGGGGACCTGCCACCGGCGAGATGGCCGCCGCAACCGTGACGGCCAACGGGCGATCTAGGGCGCACTGCATGGGTCGGGGGAAATGTATATATTGAGCTGGCTGTTGTCGGTCGCGCCGTAAACGACGTGGAGTTATGGAGACTATTTACATGGTAGAACAGACTTGAACAGCTCTTGATTTGCGTAGCTTATCTCAACTTATTTATTATTCTCCTATACAAAGACTAGTATTCAAGTTTTTCCTGTCAAACAAGATTTCGATTCATAGGTCATCATTAACTACATCATCATCAAGTTGTGCACCGAGGGCGTGATAGCACACCCCGTCATTCATTCATTCATTCGTTCTTTCACAAGTCTCTTGCGTATGCCCTCTTCCCTCAATAGCCTTACGGCAGGGCTTTCGGGGCCAGCCCCGTCGATCAATGGCTGTATACCTTTCCAGAAAATCGCATCCACTCTCACTGCAGCGAGTCGGGCCAGTGGCCATGACCGAGCCTGGATTCGGAGTGTATCTCTCCATTTACTCAGTAGGGCTTTATTCCTAACTGCACTCTCTTCCGTGGTAGACTGAGCGAAATTCAGCAGGATAAAGGTCGAAACATAGCACAGTTGATAGCGAACATCTGCAAAGTACCCTGTCAGCATGTGAAACATTCAAGTGTAATCAGGTGAAAGTGCCCGAACTCACCAGGATACCAGAAGCTGGTGAAGTGCCTAGACTGTAGGGATGCTACCACTTCAGACGTCACCTTGGCGCACATGTAGCAATTCTCAAATATGGTGGATATCGGTTCTTGGGAAGCGTCCGTGGCAGATGTGGCACCGGGATGCAGGGGCCGGAGCAGAGCTCTGAAGACGAGAATCTCCAAAGTTAGATGCGACAGACGGAGAGAGACGCTGTCGGCGAATTCGTCTTCGCTAAGATCGCACACGGGCTTTAATAGGAGAGGATGAGTCTGCCGCCAGCACTGAATACGTGCACGCAACGGCTGCGCCCGGGCTAGGAGCGAGTTCAGAGACACGGCTTCACGGTTTGCCCTCAGAGTGCTTGGTCCCCCCCTCTTGTTAGCAGGGTAATTCAGATGAGGAGTCCCGTTCCGTTCCGAAGACTTACTAGAACTCTTTCAGGACATCAGCTGCAATCATACTCAGTTTGCAGTTGGCGACGCAGATCGACACCTGCCGCACAATCGCATGGCGAACATCGTCATCCGGATGCTCTATTCCCTCAAAGTCGTCTTCAGTAAGATCGAGGACGTCCCAATTCGAGTCGTTGATGTGCGACGGCCGGCCGCACACCAGCGCCCGCCACGTGTGTCCCATATAAGTCAGCCACCAGAGCCTTCTTCGGAGCATGATCTCGCGATGAGGTAACTTCCAGCTCGATGGATCCATGTTCAGCCCCAGACTCTCCGCTATTGCCAGGGCAGAGCAGGACAGGGACCAGAAGCTCGGAGGGTCCGCCACTGCGAAATTCTGCGGGGGCGTCTGGAGCAGCAGCAGGCATAGCTGTAGAAGGGAGAGGTGCGCGAGCCGGCTTGCCCGCTGGAAGCTTCTATGCGCTATGGCCCAGAGATCATCCGTCGGAACTGTCCAGTATGCCTTCATGACACTTAGCTCGTCGTCTAGGAATGTGAACGGTGCGGCTAGGGCGTAGACGGCGCTTCGTATGCCGATCGGGGCGGAGAGGCGACACTCTCGGTCCAGGGGGGTCTGAAGGTCCCGGAGTGATAGTACCGGGTACCAAGGATGAACAAATTGAGAATACCTGGTTCAATTCGATTAATCCACTGGACTGGTACGGCGGCATGGGTTGCTGTTCTAACTTACAATCTCAGAAGGCGAGACTCTACTTCAGGCGGTACAAGCTCTTGCAGCAGGTCAAGATCATTCTCCTCAGTACTGTAGCCAGCAAACAGCTTCTCGGCAGCCTTGAGATCGTCCTGGAAGATGGTCTCGTCTGTCATGGAAAACTGGACCGGCATTGGCCCTCGCGGGGTCCGATGATGATGCGCATCACTTTCGCTGTACATCGGAACCTCTGTATCGTCGACGACTTTTCGAAAATGCAGTCGAAACATGAGATGCGTGTCGTGGGTATTGTACTGGTAGTACCGCAGGAGGAATGGGTCTAACTCGCTAGACAGACCAATTGCCAAGCTGGAGAGGCCCTTCTGAGAGTCAAGAGAGAATGCACCATCCTTATCAGGCAGCATGGCTGCAGTGAGTCGCGGAGAAGAGTTGAAATTCATTCCCTGGCTACCTGAAGAGCTTGTGGCTTCTGAGGCACGTCTCTCCATGAACATGTCGACAGGGGGGCTGCTCACAGATGGCTGCCGATAACCATTAAGACCGGCGTCATCGTCGGGGGTCTTTCCAGACGCCTTGGCAAATGAATACCCATCTATATAGTCTCTCATTCCCTCGTCGAGTGTCATTTCTAACCACATCATATCAACATCTATCATCTTCCCTTCTTCTCTCAATTGGAGCTACTAACCTGGGAAGAGGTCCACCCCAGACCAATTCAAGTTGTCATACTCTTTTGGCTCTCCGGGCGATGGCAGATGCGGTTCATCCGGACTAGGTTGATCGGGACTGGCCATGCTTGACGGCAAAGATACATTGACATGAATAGTCTCGTTCACCGCCGTCGGCTGCGAATTCGTATCTTCGGGGAGAGTAACTTCGCCATCACATGGAAGTGATCGCTGCTGTTTCTGAGGCCGCTCTGACGACGAGACGGGGCCATCGCACCTGCTCTTGCGCCTCAGGGGACCCATGACATAGGTGCAGTGACGGTCGAGCCGCAAGCACAGCGCACACGCCGTCTCATTGCTCTGGAGCTTGCACTGGATCTTACGAGACCGACAAAGATCGCAGGGGCGATGTTTCTTTGACCGGTACCTCCGGCCAGTGGTCTCATATGGCACGACTGGAGCGCTCATCCTTAAACATACATGGCTGGATAGGGTGGTGGCTTGTGGCGGAAAGCTTCGCCGGAAACTAGTATGAACCTTTACAGCCCTGGGGGGGTGGTCCCTATTGTCGGCGGTCCGAGGCCGATGATGGAGATAAGAAAAGTCGGCATCTCGACCTTATCTCGGCAAATGCCATTTTTGCCGTCGCACTCGGCGATGCTACGCGACGGTAATAATATGCAGAGTGCACCCCTGTCGACCCCTCATCTCGTATTATCGATTGCCCCGTCTTAAAACAAAAGGATGGATGGTGTGGAGAGACCTCGATTCTAGCCAGACATGTAACTCGGTCTATATAGACTACTATTCTCCTCCGTATCTTGTTAGAAATACTGACAAGCAAAACTCTAGGGAATCTGGCATAAACCGTCACGTCATATAAGTAGTCATATATCCTCTGCGCACAATCATTCGGGCTTCTGAGATAGAGGCGTCGACCGCGAAGCAGGACCACGATGAATCGCCCAAGGGCATAGAAATGGACGACCACGGGTAAAGGTCACATAATTAGTCACCTTCCTCATTCTATCGAGTGAGGGGACGACGATCAATACATATGCGCTTGCCGCTGGTGCCTTCACTACTAAACCGCTTTTACTCCAATCTTGTTGAAAGCCAGTATCACATATATGTACACGTAGTTTCGAAAGCTATGGGCTGCTGGCCAAACGCTACACGAGCACCGCTATCCACAGCTACCCGTCAGCGCCCCAAAGGAGTTAAATCAATTTGATATTGATGCGGCAGAGAAATCATGCCAGTATGCTCATCCGCAAGGGCTGGCGGTTTCCTGGTTCAAAGAAGTCCAAATCCGAGGGCTGCCTTTCCTTCGGCCGACACATGGTCAAATCCCTTATAGCCGTCCAGCGTTGTCTCGTCTGTCTCCAAACCCAGACAGTCTGGAGGAGGCTTCCCTGCCAGTGCAGCCTCAAGCTGGCTCTTGACATACCTTTTATTAATCTCAGTCGTGGGGCAGGCGCCAATATAGGCCACGCTAGCATCGAGAGAGCCCTGGTGATCAGGGTCAACCGCGTGGCACATCTGGAGAAGGTTAGATTACAATTAGACGAAAGCATAGCTGTCTAGGACGACACAGGTTCCACTCACATCAGCATGCCACCAGACGGTGTCACCAGGCTCCATTCGGGGAATGTAAACCATGCACTCGCGCAAGCGTAGGTGTGGGTGTGATGTGACGCTGAGGCGTTGACTGTCAGGCTTGGTGGTCCCTGGAAATCCGGTGGACGTGGCATCAAAAGTCCACTTGGTGTAATCCATCACGTCCTCCCCATTTTCGGGAGGTGAGAAGAACGGGCGCAGGAGTAGGTAGGAGATGACGCGCTTGACGTCTGGGTAGAGGAGCAATGTCCCCTCGCCAGCATCGGCAGGAGTGAGAGCTGTCCATCCCTGAAAAGCCCGGAAGATGACAGAGTGTGCCTTCCCGGGGAACAGGAACTGGTCGGCGTCCTGACGAACTCCGAGGTCGAAGGCATCGTGGGCCTCTGGACTTCCTGAGAAGATGGCGTCGTACACCTTGCGGTACTTTGGGTCGGCCCATCGGGCGAGGCTGCCGGCATCGATGTGGGGGCCCAAACCCAGGAAAGGCTGACCGGGGGGGCGGATACGGATGGCATCAGTGTAGCTGAGGGGCTCGGTGCTGGTCCTTCCAGTGTCGTCCCTGTACAGGTCGTTGAGGAGCTTCTGCACGCGCAGCTCATTTGGGTGAGTGCGCATCGCTACTTGGGTCGGCGAGTTATACAGGTTGTAGATGGACTGGGTCTCGGCGGGCCAACCGGAGATCTTGCCCTTGTTCTTGGTGACGAACTCCTTGACATCGACGAAGAGGGAGTTGATCTCATCCTTGGGTATAACTCCACGCACGATGCAGCATCCCCTTGTCCTGATTTGGTCCTGTTCATCCGTCGATAGTCCGCGGTCACGGAGTGCGTCCATGTGATGGACGGGGACGGCATCACTGCCAAGCTTGATCAGAGATTCAGTCACTGTTTCGAGACTCTTGCAAACCTCTAACCAACCCCGACGGAGAGCCTCCTCGCCATATTCCTCGATTACGGCAGCTTTGACTTCGGAAAACGTTTTGTCGCCAGAGTTGTCGGGGCCATTACCGTACTCCTTCCAGTCGGGCCAGCGGGATTCAATCTTCATCTTTGCGGGTTCTCTTGGGGATCAGCCGTTGGTGTTAGTTCCTCACGAGTTCACTGTGTTTTTTTATCCAAATACTATTCTTCCTTTCGGGGCTTTCTTCTTGGCATCTAACGACACATGCATATCATTGTTTACCACCCGGCGGCGACAGTTGAGAGCTATATAGTCACAGTATAAGTGAGTGGGCTGGCGAGTTGTTGCATGCCCCGCCCAGGTGTCCCCTCACAAGACCGAAACGTTCTTATCCGCGTCTAATATTCACTGGAATTAACAAAAGGCTGACATCTACGGATTAGACAAGAGGCGGGGCGAGACAAGAGGCGGGGCGGGGCACGGTTGGGGATGGAGGTCGGCGCGTCCGACGAGAAGGGATGTAGCCGTTATCACCGCTGGCCCTCCAGTCATTATCACTGTCTAAGATGCGACGTACTCCGCCCAGAGCATCAAGAGTACCGGAAAGTAGGAATCTTCAGTGTACCAAGCGCATCTTCTCTGTCGTGATGAAACCAGGCCCGCCGAGTGTTCACTCGAACTATGAATGTGGTATTTCCGTCTAATACTGCCATATTCTGAGCACCCCCGATATATACATGTAGTGGTCGATGCCTGATCGCATCAGAGGCGCTCTATATAAAGCACAGAATTGGCGGCATAATACGCAGGAAAAATAGAATATCAGCCGCATAATGTGTGTCGCATGTCACGTAAGTTGATGCGTAGAAATACACCATACAAACCCGCACAGTATGCAGGGCGAATGCCGCTGTATATCTAGAGAGATAAGTACAAAAGAACACAGCATGTAGTATCCTATGCGCGGACATCGTAAGAGAAGACACAGATGAATCGATATGTTGGCGGCAGCAGGAGAGCGCATGTAGCTCAACAAAGGTGCTGATAGTAGACAAAGATGACGGCGAAGAACGAGGCGTCCCACCTCGCCTCCACCCTCTCAAGCTTCAAAGCCAAGGAAAACTTCTCCTTGAATGGACCGTACCTTCTGTTTTGTCCCGTCCATGAGATCAAGCACACGGGACAACCTTGAAGTACACGAAATGCGGGCGCATCGCATCTATGGCACATGGTTTGGCTTAACAATGATCTAGCGCGTAGAACAAAGACGAGTAGAGGGTCACAGGACCGAACTTGCAAAGAGAACGGGTAGGCAACCTGCATGAATATTGGGTGAAAAGAAAAAGAAGAATCGACAATATTAACTGAGATTCTTTTATTTCGACTCAGGGAGCTCAGACCTTGATGTTGTCAGATGAAGTGAATGGAGAAACTGCATGAAAAGATCATGAATTAGATCAAAGAGGACATATAACATGGATATTTTTGGTGCGCGTAAAAGGATGTGCCTCTGCACCTGCGATGCAAGACAATGTCGCTTATTGTGTTATATATTAGATCAATCAGTGACTGGTTGACGGTTGTGTTGGTCAATTTCTGTTCACTTTGAAACTACCCACCACGATGGAGTGTTTTGTAAGTCTGGACCCAACTGGTGATACCGAGACTGTTTTGGAGAAGCCAAACAAGCAAGAATTTCAATGGAAAGTCCGAGACGAGGGCGCCCTTTTTGCGATACGTTCTGCCACATCGAGAGCTCTAGACGGCTTGAATGTGAAAGATTACCCCCAGAGACCGAGCCCAGAAAGGGAAGCTTCTTCTAAACCTTCAACCCCCTCTCCACATGAAAGTGACACTGACACTCCGCCGATGGCACGTACACCTTTGTCAGCCGGTCCCGGTCTTGACAGCTTCCTTTCGTTACCAAACTATGAAAGTCTTTCGCCTTCTCCGCCTGTAGGACCCGAGCCGGAACACCCGAATGTATTCTCGAACCCGGAAAACTGCAGGGTACGAATATAGGTCTCCTCGAGAAGTTTGTGTCTCTCCTCTGTAGTGTTTGAAAAGATGTTACGGGGGCCATGGAAGAAACGACTACGGAGTGGTGACACCACCACTGTGGTGAAAACAACCGGATGGGACACAAAGGCATTCCTCATTGTCCTTCACATCATCCACGGCCACCATCGAGCTATCCCCGAAACGGTCGACCTTGTGCTCCTGGCAAGAGTTGCGATGGTAGTCAACTACTACTCTTGCCACGAAGTTACCGAAGTCTTCGCTCATCGCTGGATTGCACAACTGAAACCGCAAAGTCGCTCCCATCTGTTCCATGAGCCGTATGGAACAGATACCGTTCTCATGCTGGGGATTGCATGGGTATTCTCGGACAGGGAGCTTCTCGAATGGACTGCCCTGAAAGCCATATTGCAGTCCCCAGGGCCCATTCAGAAAATCAGGCTCCCACTCTCAGGGTCATTGATAGGTATGTTTCTCTATATTATATCCGGATCGACGATGATATGTGAAGGAGAGGTTGACTAACGAGTCTTATTGCAGAGCAGATCAATGGCAACAGGATGGAAGGACTGAGGGAAGTCCGCGACATGCTGCAGCAAAAGGTCTCGACTTATTGCAAAACACGCTGTTGCAACTCACAGTATTCATCGACGCTCCTAGAATCTCTGCTCAAGAAAATGGATGCACTTGGGATCGATCAGCTAGATTTTGACACTGACCTGCACGGATACAGTGTCTCATTTCTCTGCGATATGATCAACGTTATCGCCAGCCCCAAACATCCCGGGTCCATACAAGAAAACACCCAATGCATCCACCAGCACATGTGTCAACTGAGGGATATGATGCAGAGCGAGATAATATGTATAGAACACGAGATAGGTCTAGATCTTGAAGGTGTATAGTACGATATAAGCAGGAGGTGAAGACATTTCATTTTTGAATGACTCTGCCGGCGGTTCGCGAAGGCGAACCCGGCCGTGGCATAATTTCCAATCCCGTACATGACGTGGTCCTTGATGTCCTCCCTACATCAAGTCTCAACCTTCATACACCATCCAGCTGAAAGCCGGCAACTCGCTGTCCCCTTACATAGACATGGGCCAGGTTTCTATCATCTCCTGTCATCACGTACTTTTCAAAGAGCGTCCGCAGAGAATCGCCGTCCTCGCGAGGGGTCATGGCAGAGTATGGAGAGGTCGTTGTGACCCAGGCCGCGTCAAATTCCTTGCCAACCTGGAAGTTGCCGATAAAATCTTCGAGACAGAGAACAGCCGCACCCCCGAGGGTTGCCAGGTAGAAGACCTCTTCAATTGAGAGCGCTCTATCTTTTCCGCCCGAGAGAACTTCTTGGGCATTAGACGCGATCAAGGCCTGTCTGATGACGGCCAGCATCTGGGATGCCCATCCGCCACCGCTGTCGGTACCTAGTCCAACCTTGATACCGCGCTGCATAAAGTCTCGGACAGGAGCCACCATGAACCCACCACCTACCGTCATGTTCGCAATGGGACAGTGGGCAACACCACAGCTCAGGGCTTCGACGCGCTCCTTTTCGTATTCAGTCATTATCGTACAGTGGGCCAGGATGGTTCGGCGGTTCAGAAGCCCAAAACTTTCGTACAAGTCAGCTTCGCTCCCCTTGAAGTCGGGAAACAGTTCGGTTGTGGCGTCGATCTCTTGCTGTGCCTCATTAAAATGCGTCTGAATGGCAAGCGACGTGTCTTTCCGTGCCATTTGTCCGAGCCCTTGTAGCAGCTCGTCGGTACAGGATATAGCAAACCGGGGTGTCAGAACCGGCCTGACAAGGGCGTCGTGGGAATCGCCACATCCAGGTAGCTCGCGGATGTGCCGAATACACTTCTCGGTCTGCGCTAGCGAGTCCTTTGCGGTTTCCTCGCGGATATAATCTGGCGCATTGCGGTCCATGTTGCACTTCCCTACAAAGGCACGCTGACCCAGGCGGTAGCACAGGTCGGCGAGGATACACGTCGCCTCCAAGTGTTGCGAGCCGTAGTACGAAGCCGTGGTGATTCCTTGGCGGAGGAAGTCGGCTACCATGCGCTCGTACATGGCAGCAGCATAGCCGGGATCCTGGAAGCGAGCCTCGACGGGAAACGTGACTTGGTTGAGCCAGTCGAGGATATGGAGTCCCTGGCCTAGACCCCTCATAGGCCATTGCGGCGCGTGGTTGTGCGTGTCGACGAAGCCCGGAATGAGAAACTCGCCATCAGTGAGTTGATGGATGCGGGCATTGGGAGGGACAGCGTCATCAGGGACGGTGTCTCGGGACTTGTAGAACGCTTTTATGCGACCGTCGACAACTACCAGGGTCGCATCATCAACCATCTCGAGCTTTTCAGGCGTCACTGAGTGGATTACGGGCCCACGGAATACGAGGGGCGGATCTGATCCGGCGCTGGCCCGAGGCACCATCTTCATGAGGCGGCAGCGGCGGCGGCGGCGATGACGAGTTGGTAATGATCGACCGGACAGGATGTGAGTGGGAGAGTGCCAGACTCTTGATAGCAGTGGCTCAAAAGAAATTGGCGCTTGTGCCGACAGGCTTCTGATAGACAATGCGATGAGGGTGGTGCGGCATCTCACACGTTGATACTCGAGATAAGACGAGCGGCTCTAGTGCGTCACTTGTCAACACAGCATGGTTGTGTGCTGAGGAGCGGGGAATTTTGGAATCAAGATTGAAGCAGCCCGCGTGACACATGTCAAACATGATAGCATCAACAGTAAAGAAATTCAACGTTGGTTACATATTCTCGACTTGGATACATTGATAGTGGTCAAGCTTCAAATTCCCTGGAAATATAACTAAGGACGGTGCGTAGCATTCAAGAGAGAAAAAAAAAACAAAAGAGGTAAAGTCCCTTTTACACCCGTGACTTGAAGGTGGACACGATGAGATGGCAAAAAATTTGTTTTCCAGGAATTGAACCCAACCCGATTCGAACGGGTAACCTTCAGGATGCTCCGAAGTTTTAGATCGAACTGGAATCTGACGCGCTACCGTTGCGCCATGGGTCCCAGTCGCTGCTAAGCGACGGTGGTTGTTCTGGATGCCGGAGAAAGCCGCTAATTCAGCTTCATGTGACCTCCCTACGATTCGTACATTCCCACATGAAAGCCAGAGCCGGCGGCGAATCCGAAAGCATCATCGACAAAATGACCCGCTGGTCCAGCTGCATGTAGGGCGCCCCCGATGCTCATCAGAATCTCAGCTCCAATAGATCCGCCTAGGTTCAAAAGAAGGATTACCCATTTCCGCATTAGTTGCACGAACTTGCGTACCTTGATCAAAGCGGAAATAGAAAGCAAACTGCCAAATTTACTACAGACAGACGCGAGAGCAGGATAGAAGCCAACCTCGTATTCTTCTCTAACAATCTTGTCTAGGTCATATACAGCAAAGTACGGAGACGGGATGGCCTCAGCAGGTTCTAGCTTGGTGATGTCGGTGTACCCCGCCTCTGCAAGATACGAGGGCCGAGGAGAGACCCTAGACACTGACGCCAACAATGACCACACAGACTTTGTAATGATACAACAGGGGCAAGAGTATCCGAGACATGTGACGCTGGATGCGCCTGGGATTGTGGCAACGTTCGAGACCGTAGTACACGTATAGAACGTGTTATCGGGGAGCCTCTTAAGGGTTACAGGACCGGGAACTTGCCCAACAACACGCATGATATAACATTGAATGATGCCCCAGGTTGATCGAAGTGAAGCATCGTCGATCTCAGGGGCTCGGAAATTGTGCATAACTCCCGTTCTTTGTCCAAAGCCCATTAGCAATCGCCATTATAAGCTGTGACCCCAATAAGCTCTGCTTCGATGATGCCAAAGAGGACACTTCATGGTTATCTAATTACTACAGATTCTTATATTATCATCCTTGGAGTGTGAACTCACGTCCAAGTTCACAATATAATATCACTACAGGGCGCGCAATCGCCCATCCATCTTACCGAACCCGCTATCATAACGGCCGAAGTGCGCAAGAACTATTACACCTTACCTCCCACCAAGCTCATACCCGACTCCTCACTACTACTGCTCCAATATGTCGGGTTCTTCACCGGCGACATCCAGACAGGTGAAGACTAGGACAATGCTGTTAGTTATACGGATCCAAGTGCACATGATGCTGGCGACTATTTCGGGCAGGTTGTTGATAAGACAACGCAACCAAAGGATCATCAATGGCGGGATGTGGGGAAGTTGCCAAGGCCAAACGTTATCACTCCCCCCCGTTGCTTTGGTTTCATAGTCTCATACAATGGAGAACAAGCTCGGGACTCAGAGTAGCATTGAATGAATCATGATAGCACTCCAGGTTCCTCCTCACAAGTGGCTGAATGAACTAGCCTAGAACAAGGATGAGTTGGAGACGCCAACTGTTCTATTTCCCCTGGTTTGTGGGAAATGAGAAACCTGCATGCTCAAAGATTACCTTTGCATATTCCCGTGTAAAGCTTCACTTAGCTCCGTCATTAGACAGTATCACCGTCCGGACATCACCCAGTCATTCTGGGAGCCGCCAAAAGCAATATGGGCGCCGATATTGAGATACTAGACGCCGCTGATACCATCGGTGTAGAGGAGCCGAAGCAGATCAAGCTAGCCAACGTGGGCGAGGGCGAGCCTAAAATGAAGGAAGAGTTGAAACACCTGGGCTCTCTTAACCGGCGGCTCAAGTCTAGACATGTCCAGTTCCTGGCCCTGTCTGGTGCTATTGGCACGGGACTGTTTGTCGGCAGCGGCCAGGTTTTATCTCTGGCTGGCCCCCTCTCTGCCTTTATATCATATGCGGTGACGGGCTTCAACTTGTTTTGCGTCATCAATTGCCTGGGAGAGATGGCGGCCTGGTTGCCCATACCCGGTTGCGTTCCCATCTTTGCGACTCGGTACGTCGATGCCCTGGGATTCACGCTGGGGTGGAACTATTGGAACCAGGTTGCCATTGGCGTACCCGTCGAGGTGAGTGTCTGCTGCGTCGTCGTCGACTACTGGAAGAACACTATACCCAGTGCAGCCCTCATCACCATCTTCTTCGCCGCCATGGTCGTCGTCAACTGCTTGCCCGTTCACGTCTATGGCGAAGTCGAGTTTGCCTTTGGTGCCGTCAAGCTCACTACCATTGTCGGCCTGATCCTGCTCATGCTCATCATTACCGGCGGCACTGGTCCTGACGGCGAGGCTATTGGCTTTCAATTCTGGAACAATCCCGGCGCCATGAACACGTATCTCAAGGAGGGGGGTTTGGGCCGCTTCCTGGCATTTTGAATGGTCTTTATCCAGGCTATTCGGTAGCGAGACGGTAGTAGTGGCGTCGGGCGAGACTGATGATCCACGTCGCAACATCCCAAAGGTTGTGTGCCGTGTGTTTTGGCGTATCGCCATCTTCTACGTCTTGTCCATCTTCCTGCTAGGCATGTGCGTGGCCTAGGACGATGACAAGCTCATCGATGCCATTGACAGCGACGCCCCCGGCGCCAACCAGAGCCCCTTTGTCGTCGCCATTGCCAACAGCGGCATCGAGATCCTTCCAGGGATCATCAACGGTGTTGTCCTCACGTCGGCCTGGTCGGCGGGCAACTCCTTCTTCTACACCTCGACGCGGGTCCTGTACGCTGCCGCTCTCGATGACAAGGAGCCCTCATTTCTTCGCTTCGAGCGGTTCGGCGTGCCGTATGGCTGCGTGGCCCTGACGACGGCTCGGGGATGTCTGAGTTACTTGGATGCCAACAACCGTTCGTCAGATGTCTTCTTCTGGATCAGCAACCTCAGTGCCGTCAGCACCCTCATCGTCTGGGCCAGTGTCTGCTACACTTACCTCTGCTTCTACCAAGAGCTCAAGTTCCACGGTATCGACCGTGACAACATCCCGTACAAGTCACCCATGCAGCCTTTCCTCGCCTACTTTTCCATCTGTTTCTGCCTCATCATCGCCCTCTTCAACGACTTTGATGCCTTTTTTTTTTCCCAGGAAATTTCAGCGCCAAGACAATCATCCCGCCGTACATTGATATCCCCATTGTTACTGTGCTCTTCTGTGACTACAAGCTGGTCAAGAAGACTAAATTTGTCAAGGTAATCTGTACAGGAGATGGACCTTTGGTCAGGGAAGGCTGAAATTGACAGGCTTGAGCCACTCTGGCCTGTCATTAGACCTCGCAACTTTTTGGGGTGGACCGGAGACTTTTTGACCCCTGACTGTATCATTATTATTCTGTACTTGTTCCAACAATACGGCTGTGATTTTGACGAGTTATATCAAACAATGGGGCAGACATAAACACAAGGGGAGCATCAGGGGGGGGGAACAGATGGCAATAATACCCTTTTGATTATTATAGCGAACATCATCACTATTAACAACAGTGACATCAGGCGCGGGGGTGGGAGCGTTTCACGTGTCAGGTACGGAATCCACTCTGTGCGTTGTCGAGGCAACTGCGTCTACAGGGGCAGAAAAACAAATGCACAGGAGGTGAACACATTCACGGGTCAAGCTCCACTCCGTTAGCAAAGGCGTTTAAACACTTGACGAGTACGTCGACCATCTTTCTTGCTTTTTGGCCATCTGATATGCACACCAACTCCTTTTTCGACTTTTTCTCTCTTTTTAGTGTGTCGCACCGTATCATAACCTTTCCTTCTTCTTCTTTTCTTTCTTTACCACCATAACCCTTTAGACCTTGTTTTCAACCCTCCCTCGATTCGGACTCCGCGCCAGCCTACCTACGCCAGAGAAAGCGCCCCATCGCATACGAACCCAATCGAGGAAAACAAAAGCCACGATAAAAAAAGACCGGCCAGTAGCATAATAGGACACAGGACGAGACGCGCGAAGATTCATAATGTCTGCTGCGGGACAGTCATCCATTACGGTGGCAGGTATGTCGATGAGCGCCCACCCTTCACGTCGACAGTTCGATGTCGTCACGCAGCAGCTGACTTGCCATCTCAACAGTCCGCGTGCGACCTTTCACGATCCGCGAGGCCGCACAAGTGTACGTCTTCACTCATGCCACTGCCACTAAAGCTCAGGACTGATGGATTCAGCAGACATAAGAATGACGATGGTACGGTCTTCCTGGGCGACGGCTCTCTGGCCGGCCTACCTACACCAAAATTGAACCAACGAGGCATCCGAAACGTTATCAAGGTCATGGATGGCCGTTGCCTGTATGTCCACATCAGAGTTCTCCATGAATGAAGGAGCCGAAGACTGACCAACGCCTAGAGTATTTGACCCTCCGGAAGACAGCCCCGTACACAGATTCTCCCGCTCCGTCGTGCCCGCGTCGAAGAAGACCAAGGATCAGGTATTTGCCTTTGATCGCGTTTTTGACGATGCAACAACGCAGTCCGATGTCTACGAGGGAACAACAAAGCAGCTTCTCGACAGCGTCCTCGATGGCTACAATGCTACTGTTTTCGCCTACGGCGCGACGGGCTGCGGCAAGACACACACCATTACCGGAACCCCCCAGCAGCCAGGAATCATTTTCTTGACCATGCAAGAGTTGTTTGAGAAGATTGAGGAGCGAAGTCAGGAGAAGACGACTGAGCTGAGTCTCAGCTACCTCGAAATCTACAACGAGACGATTCGCGATCTGCTTCTCCCTGGTGGCAGCAAGTCTGGCCTTATGTTGCGCGAAGACAGTAACCAGGCCGTCACCGTACCAGGTCTCACCAGCCACCACCCCAAGGATGTCCAGGAGGTCATGGATATGATAGTCAGGGGAAACGAGTACCGCACGGTTTCGCCCACCGAGGCGAATGCTACTTCGTCGCGTTCACACGCCGTGCTCCAAATCAACATCGCCCAGAAGGACCGAAACGCCGATGTCAACGAACCTCATACCATGGCTACGCTCAGTATCATTGACCTGGCTGGTTCAGAACGTGCCTCTGTCACCAAGAACCGTGGCGAACGTCTGACCGAGGGCGCCAACATCAACAAATCGCTCCTGGCCTTGGGAAGCTGCATCAACGCCCTTTGTGACCGCCGAGGCCGTGCCCACGTTCCTTACCGCAACAGCAAACTGACACGGCTTCTCAAGTTCTCTCTGGGCGGCAACTGCAAGACGGTCATGATTGTATGTGTCTCGCCATCGAGCGCGCACTACGATGAAACGCAGAACACTCTTCGATACGCGAACCGAGCAAAGAATATACAGACCAAGGTTACGCGCAATGTCTTCAACGTCAACCGGCATGTCAAGGACTTCTTGGTCAAGATTGACGAGCAGAGAGCGCTCATCGACGAACTGCGTGCACAGCAAAAGGACGCCGAAAACATATTTCTCGCCAAATTCCGCAAGCAGTGGGAGAAGAGGAATATGACTACACGTGAGGGTGTCCAGCGCCTACATATGGCCTACGAGCACTCGGCTGGAGAGCGCCAAGAGCGCATCAACAGTATGAAGAAGCTTAAGGCCTTTGAGCGTCGTATTGGCCTGCTGTCTGGGTGGATTGCAGCATTTGATGCTGTCTGCGACCAGCGTGGAGGCGAGGATGACTCGATGCCTCAAAACCTGACGGCTATTCGCAAGATGGCTAATGGCATCCTACTGGAACTTGAAGCCAGCCGTCGGCACATCCAACAGAAACTTGAGAAGCCAGCGTGGGAGCGTCCCATCGACATCGCATTAGATCACGGCCTCAGGCAGCTGGAGAGCTCTGAAGGAACAGACACTGGAGAGATTGCGAAGCTTGAACAGGAAGCCGAAATACTCAAAATCACGTTCAATCGTGAAGCGTACCACGAGGTGCTCGAGCATGACCGGATGGGCGATGCCGCCATGGTGCAGCAGCTGCTGACTGCGCAGTTTGAGATGCTTACTTCCATGACGGACACGCTCTCCATGGGAGAGGAGGAGGCTGTTTCCCACGCCAAGGAGATTATCCACCGTCTCCTCGAGGTGGGCTACAAGTCCGTGTCGCAGGTTGTGAAGCCCGATGGTTCTCTGCCTGTCGTCGACATCTTCCCACCTAATAAGAAGGGCACACCCAAACGCAGGAAGTCGCTCAGGACTTCTTTCAAGCCTGTGGAGCCGCCGAGCTTCGCTGCAGCGGCCCCGAGAGAGGCTTCCGTCTTTACCAGCCCCATGAAAGGTTCGCCTAGGAGGCGAAAGGTTGCCAGTGCCACCAAGAAGGGCATCAGCTTTACTCCCGTCAAGAAGACCAAGGGGAGGGGTGTGAGGTGGCGTGATGACGAGTCGGAGCAGGGAACATTGGAAGATTTCGAAAAGACCCCCCAGAAGCGGCCTCCAACAGACGAGTCATTGATCGAACAAACACCTCCACCTCCTGTGCCGGCACCAGTCTTCGAACCCATGTCCATCGTCCAGCAAGAGCCTACCATTCTTGAAGAGTCTAGCCCTAAGCCCGAGGAGTCGGAAGCTCAATCAGCCACAGCAACAGCTCCTCCTAGCGGCATCCCAGCAGCCAGGCCCGGTCGCTTTCAAGCTGGCTTCCTGTCAAAGGGACCGCGGTCATCCACATCACAGGGGGACTCTCCAACCCTGAACCCGCCAACCTTTAGCATGCGTCTCAGTGGATCTCCCTCAGGCTCGGAGGGAAGGACTCCGCCTGCTCTTCGATCTCTGGATGTATCTAAGATGGGAAACTTATCGCCGTCGTCCCTACGCTACGGATTTCGTCGCTCCAGCTCGAGCCCCAGCACTGACAACAAGAAATCAACACTCGACGAGAACAAGCCTCCCATCTCCCAAGCGACTTCATCAGGCTCTGACTCCGAGACGAGCATGCTTGACTCGCGCAAGCTACGGAGCGCCATGCACAACGCCAACAAAGCCAAGAGGGTGAGCACCATGACAGCCACCGCTACATCAAACGCGAAGCGTACGTCGAGCATCGGTACGCTCCACGGCGACCGCCCTGCTGGACCCAGGCCTAGTATGCCTGGCTCTTCGTCGTACGCTCTGGCGAGCACCACGAACGGCATCTCCAGGAGCCGCCGGGGCAGCACTGATCGCCGCAGAAGCCCGCCCATGACTTGTGCACCGGCGGAGCTTGGTGAGAGAGCTCTCACCGCAGGACAGGCCAGGCGTATGAATCTGGGCGGGAGCATGAGGTCCGAAAGGACACAAAACAATGCCGATGGAAGAAACAGCCCACAGGAGACACGCCGCGCCACTATCGGCGTTGGAGTACCACCGGCTGCCGCGGCTCAGAAGAAGCAGGCTGACGGCCGTGCTAGCCTCGCTTCACGATGAGATGACGTGAGATGAGCGATGGTGGTTTTTTTTTTCTTTCATGTTTACGCTTTTGGCGCGGATGTCTTCGAGCGTGTATAATAGTTTCATACATTTCCCCCCTGTTCTTTCTTCATACCCGACCTCATGTCAAAGAGGTCTTTCACTTTGTCTTTACTTCTTCTCTTTGATGGCGTCTCATGATTGAGGCATAATTGAGAATGCATGCAGTTATCCGACATCAATTTTCTTTCAACATTGACTTGCAGACTGAAAACAAGCGGACTATTCGTCTAAAGTGTATGTCTAGCGATACATTAGAGTCTTTTCGTTATGAACATCCATGCGCATCCTCACAAGTAATGGGCGAGATCTATGGCTCCTCCTGAATCCAGAAGAGGAAACAGATTGAGTGCATCACCCTCATTCGTGCCTTGGTACATGTTCCAAAAAGTACCATCCTGAACTGCAAGTGAATCATTCAGGCCCAGATAAGCCGGCGAATCCATATCTGACAACCGCGCAGCCATATTTTGATGGTGGTTGTGCAGAAGAAAGGGAGGCCTATCACTAGGTAGTGCAGAAAAGGGTGAATCTGTTGTCCCCGTAGGGCTCAAGACAGAGGACTGATGATGACGTTGATGAACTGGCGATGCTGCTATTGTCGTCCGACGACTACCGCCCTGCGGTATGAGCCCAAATAGCTGACTGGATGTCTCAGTGCGCTTGAGACGCTGCTGCAGCTCACGCTTCTCGAGGTGCTCGAGCGCCGTGGTGAGGAGAGACTGCGCAATGAGGGAGTACTGTCGGGCGTGGGCATCGGTACGGGCGAAGTGCTCGAGGGCTTGGATGGACATTTGCGTGTGATTTTCCAAGGTGCGACCGAAGCCGCTGAGGAGGCCGAGGCCCAAGACTAGCGAAGCGGCGAATAGCCATGATCTGTGTTTGGCCAGTCAGATCATTTGTCTTGTTCGTCTTGTTAGAGAGGAAATTTAGAGGGCGGAGAGGAAGAAGAGACGTACACGATTATGGGCCTGCGACCATCCAAAGCGCCTTGTTTTATGAGGTCAATGATGGGATCTACCATGAGACTGGCGGCATCGATGCACGCGTCGGCCAACTTTGATTTCCCTGACGCCATGGTATTCGCCGGGCCGTCACCCAGACGGCGAAAGACCTCGTACATGAGAAAGGGGCGGGATACAAGCATGACGGCATAGTAGTAAGAGGAAAGCACCTGGCACGCACCGGCAACCTCATGCCTCGGATGGCGGCAGGGCTGGGAAACAACGTCGCTGAGGCGCCGGAGCCAATCGGCAGACCACTGTCTGAGGCGGAGGGAGATACCGTCTGTGCGCTGGAGGGAGACGCGCTTGCGGGAGAAGATTTCGAGCACGATGCCCTCTGTGATGAGGAGGATCTGGACCGAGGCGTTGAGAAGGTCAAACGTCCCTCCATCGCTGCCACCGTCATTGTCGGGGCTGCTGTGGCGATAGGGGACGGTGCAGTCGACGTCGGAAGTGGCGGGTGGACGGCCCATGGATGTGCTGAGGAAGAGGTCGATCACGCGCAGGCTCTTCCACAGCCGGTCCCTCTGTCTGTGAATCTCGGGTCCGAACCGCGCATTCACCTCGGTCCGGTGCACGCCGATCGAGTAGGCGGCCCGCACGGACACACCAAATACCAAGAAGCTGCTGTTGATCTGACACGAGCACAACATGTACACCGTCACCAGCACGAAAGCCTGCACCGTCTCGACGCCCAAGCTGTCGCTCAGGCTAGCAAACGCCTGCGCCTTGGCGTACTCAAAGTAGACCTGGGATGTGGGCTCGTCGTCCGTCTGACACCCGATGGCCAGGATGAGGTAGTTGATGGCCGACGTGAGGTTACGTGGCTTGTCACGCAGGTTAGCCCAGAGCACCAGGTTGTCGGTCAGTCTAGGCTCGTTGTCAAACAAGTCCAACATGCCCGATGTCGCAGACACATAGCTCGCTACGTGTGAGGATACGTGGGCAGCCCTGACGTCGGGAGGATCCGGCGGCGCCGCTGATATCTGTTGTGACGATGGCGCATTCTCCAGGACGGAGTACCGGCTCGTCTCGGGCGCAAAAGCCGTCTGCCCGACGCGGCTATTGACGAGCTGGCGCACCGACTGGAAGAATGAGAGGGGAGCACAGTCGCCGATAAAGATCAGCTTCCCCTGCGCATCGCACAACAGCCGGGCCTCCCTCGGCACCTCGGTGTCATCTTCCGCCGATTCCATCATTGCGGACGACCGTCGTGGTCGCCCGTGGGACGACAGGGGTGGCGACGGTGTCGCCGCGTCACGGCCATGAGATCCGGTGCCCCTCCTTTCCTCTGGATGAAGCGGCGATGGGCCTCGGGCGTTGCCAGCGGGAGACGGCGCTGCGGCTACGGACCGGCTCCGACGCTGACGGATCCGACTCGGAGCCGTGTATTTGCATGTATGCGGCCGCTGACGCCGGGCGCAGTAGCTGCATGGCTGGTTGCCGTCGCATTTCACCTTGCGCTTCTTGCAGCCATCACAGGCGTTGGAAGTGCGACTGCGTATGGGGCGTCCCGGTGAGTCGGCTGTATCCAACTGCTGTCGGCGCTCCATTCCCTCGCCGGCTTGTGATGGGTGGTCACTCGCTCTATTGTCGGTTGGTTGTTGGGACGGATGATGGCAGGATTAATGATGCATCTGCGGGAAGACGGAAGAGGGATTGCGGAATCTCGGAGGAAAAGAGCGTATCCGCTGTACCCACCGTCAGTTTTGCGAGCGTATCACATGTCGGCGGATATAGACGGCTCGGAGGCACCAGGACCATGGATCTGTTCATGGAACATCAAACAGACAGGGAAATTAGACAGTATGTGTATGTATGTACACATAAGCTGCAGCAATGGTGATATTTTGAACTTTTGCAAAATCTCACGCTAATATATGTCTTTGATGGTGCTCTTACTGCGGAATGTAGCATCTTCTGCGTGGGGAAATACATCGATATTATACGGAATATACATGTATCGCCTCATGGCGCTTACTTTGTTCACCATAAAGTCAGAAGGTCGTTAATTCTTGCATGATCTGGCGTGCATATCGGTCGGCCGGAACGATTGAGAGCCAGATCGTTCCGTGTTTGAAGCTCAATGTCGGTGTGAAATGCGGCTATCATCAATATTGACATGCAATCGGAGTACGAATGCTTGTCTTGTGGGGCATTCTCCTCGTTTATTGACTTAATTCTCTATGGCATGCTTTTCTAAGCCTTGTCGAGATCCAAAGTCCCTCTGAGGATCTGCATGAACCGCCAGACGTCTTCAAAGCGGGAGTAGAGCGGCACCGGCGCCACCCTGATGACGTTTGGCTTACGCTTGTCACACATGACACCATTTTCCTCGAGTGCGGCACTGACATTATCGTGAAGCTTCTCATTGGACAAGAGGATACTCAGCTGTGTGCCGCGCTGGGCCGGGTCTCGGGGAGTGATGATGCGCACGGGAGGCTCACCACCCCCCGATACCTTGGAGGCTTGCTCGGCCATCTGGTCGAGCAGGTGCTCTGCATATGCGGTAAGGACGAGCGCCTTGCTACGCAGGTCCCGCATCGACGTCTTGGCAAAGATGCTGAGAGCGCCGGTGAGGGCGGCCAGGTCCAGGGCAGAGGGGTTGGATACTTGGTAGCCGCCTGCGCCTGGGGTGGGGACGAAGCGGTTGTCCATGTTGAAGCGGACACTCTTGTCGCCACCGTACCAGCCCGTCAGACGTGGACGGTACGTGGGACGTCCACTGCTCTTGTCCTGGCCCTCGGCCCACTCGACGGACCCGTGCCGCTCGTGCACAAAGGCACCTGCGATGCTTCCCGGGCCAGCATTGATGTACTTGTACGTGCACCAGCAGGCAAAGTCGACATCCCAATCGTGCAGGCGAAGCTCGACATTTCCCGCGGCATGGGCCAAGTCCCATCCCACCGTGATGCCCTTGGCACGGGCGTGGGCTGTGATGCGCTGCATGTCGAAGCACTGGCCCGTGTAGTACTGGATTCCGGGTAGGAGCAGCAAGGCCGTCTCGTCGGCGTTCTCGTCAATGGTGGCCAGGATGTGCTCCACCGAAATGATGTGGCCATCCTCGGGCTCGATCTTGACCATGCTGGTAGCCGGGTCGAGGCCGTGCCAGGTGATTTGGCTCTCTATAGCGTAGTAGTCGCTGGGAAACGGCCGCCACTCGAGGATGATCTTGTGCCGCTTCTCCGTCGGCCTGTAGAAGCTGGCCATCATGAAGTGCAGATTGGCCGTCAGCGTGTTCATGATGACTATCTCGTGCGCCGATGCGCCCACCACGTCAGCCGAAAGCTTGGCACACTCCTCAGCCATGTCTTGCCATGGACCCAGGGGGGAGCCACCCATGGTCTTGAAGTGGCCGGCCACGCCGATCGAACCCCACGTCTCAAAATGCGCCTGCACATGCTCCCGCACCGCCTTGGACTGGATGCCCAGCGAGTTACCGACAAAGTAGATGCCCTGCTCCGACTCGTCGGCCGAGAAGCCGGCGGTAGAGCCTAATTTCAGTTACCCCGCGTCAGTCAGAGAACGAACGACATCCGATGTGCTCATCCTGTCGCTGAGAGGTGATTATCTCTTACCGGGCAGACTGCCATTCAGCGACGTCTTCTTGAGGGACGCCTTTGTGGGGATGGTGAACTCGTTGCGCAAATGGCTGAGAGAGTCCTGGGAATCGAGCTTTTGGGCAAACTCGAGAGAGTTGGCATTGGCGGGGAAGTCCGGTGCCTTGCCACTGCGAAGGCGGTCGACGAATTCTGACAGATCCATGGCTTTACAGGGTTATATCTATATTTCTTTCTTATCTTCCGGCAACAGAGAATGTAGTCGAGAGGCACTGATCTCAATAGAGGCATGTTTTTGCGAGCTGCGGGTAGACGTCTTCGCTTTATGCCTCGCACGGGCTCCCGCTATCTACATTTTGACGTAGCTAGTTTTTTTTCCCTTCTACATCCGAAGTCCCGAGATCCCGAAGTTCCGTGTCCTAGCTACCGACACAATCCTCCGTGCCCTAGACTTTCCTAAATGGGTAGTTTCTTTAAAGTCAGCGCAAATCGCATATATGGCTGATATCCACGTGGCACGACATTAGAAAATAGCGGGAGTAAGGTTTTGTAATATAACGTAAAAAGTCCGACGTCATGCAGTCATAGGCTCATCGATTATACGAAGAATGGGACAAAAAGTCCCTAATAGTGTGCGCCCATGCCGAAAACGCATACGAATATCGAATATCCGACTCCACGCTCACGGAAGCGGTGGTCGGGAAGACGGAAGCCGTGTCGACAGCAGCCTTGTCGACAGCAGCCTCTAGCGCAAAGGAGACTGCTCACTTTTAGGACAGGGATGCCGTGCCACTTACAAGTCCAAGATCTTTCTTGTTTGGTTGCGTCTAATCGACATTAATACATGCTTACAACCTCTCTTTCGTCTCAATTTCCACCTTCTACGTTCCTCATTCAGACTATTTTCCATACTGCTAGGCCCTAGTGACTACCCTCGGACCGTTCTCCTACACCCATGTCGCCTCACGCCACATGCCCCGAGTCTCGCCAACTGAGGTCAAAGAGATACCTCGAGGAGTTTGCCATAACTCGGCATGCCTTCTTGCCCGAGGAGTCTCCTGCTGTTCTCCTCTCCCATGCCTACTATGATCCTTGGGAGTCCGTTGCCCGCCAACTGCCGCAGCTCATCGACAGCGGAGGCATCCGTCAGGCTGTATCACTGCTACCAGTGCTGTCAACAGACTACCTTGCATCCGAGTCTGAATGGCGGAGGGCATATTGCCTGCTCGCTTACACAGCACATGCCCACATATGGGGAGGAGACAAGCCTGAAGAGGTATTATTGTCACCAACAGTCTACCTGACCTGATCCGAAGCCCACTGAAGGTTGACAGCGTTCTTCTTTCTAGATCCTGCCGCCCCAAATAACAGTTCCATTCCTTGCCGTATCGTCGCATCTAGAGGTACCTCCGGTCCTTACATATGCCGGTGCCAACCTCTGGAATTTTTCCAGCACCAGTGACGACTTTACCGACCTTGGGTCCCTGCAGACACTATTCTCCTTCACGGGTACCGAGTCAGAAGCATGGTTCCTCCTCATCAGCGTGGCCATGGAGGCCAAGGGGGCAGGGATCATCGACACCATGACCGCGGCCATCAGTGCCGTCAAAACGAGGGACTACGGCATGATCATCCACGCACTAGAGGAGCTACAAGACTGCATCAGAGGGGTGGGGGTCCTTCTGGAGCGTATGTATGAGCGCTGTGATCCAATGATCTTCTATCATCGCATACGGCCCTTTCTAGCAGGAAGCAAGAACATGGGGGCTGCAGGTCTACCCAGCGGCGTCTTCTACGACGAAGGAGACGGGAAAGGAGAGTGGCTGGAGTACCGTGGTGGGAGCAACGGGCAGAGCTCGCTGATCCAGTTCTTCGACATCGTCCTGGGCATCGACCACAAGGGCCACGGAAACACACAGAGCAGCTTCCATGCCGAGGTGCGTGAATACATGCCCGGTCCGCACAGGAGGTTCCTGCTCCACGTGGCCCGCCTAGGAAGCATTCGCGAGCTCGCTCTCCTGCCGCCTGTCACGGAAGAGCAGCATAGGCTCCAGGAGACGTACACAGCCGCCACTGAGGCCCTGAGTGAGTTTCGCGATAAGCACATCAAAATCGTTACGCGGTATATTGTACTTCCGTCTAAAAAACCATGGCAGGGGACGGGGAGGAAGAATCTTGCCAGTTCGTCGTCGGGGATGAAGGGCTCGACGAACCTCACTGGGACGGGAGGGACGTCTCTGATGCCTTTTCTCAAACATTCGAGGGACGAGACCAAGGCGGCTGGACAGCTGAACTCGTCGGGGTGGTATTAAGGGGAGGATTGATGTTTGATGATGGCGTCAGCGATATATAAAGCGTTAGGTATGCACAGGATTAAGAAGCGTTGCAGGCAGATAGATTGAGTCTTGCAACGCGGTATAGACGATATATGATAAACGACACCCGAAATTACTGTATCAATCTTTCTACATATACTACCACGTACTTTGTTTGACCTCGGTGCATGCTCTAACAGCGACTTCGTCTTATGGCATGTGTAGTTTAGTGCTGAATACATGCATTAAATGTATCATAAGACCAGGAGCCTTATAATGTTCTTGTACAAAGAAACACAACAATTGGATTAAGCAATACTCGTACTTTCCATTCTTCAATTAACCATTCGATTTACCTTTGTATGCTCAAGACAGACCGTCTTTCAGCCCTAGATCTTTTTTATCGTAGGGTATTTATTAGAGACTGGAGTCAGGGTTGAATAACATTATTACATGCTATGGAATTCACGAAATCCAGGCTTCGCCCCACGTGGCGCCAAGGCGCAGGGATCGATGTCACATTGAACGTGCGATTGTTCGGTCGCGTCACCAATCCACGACTTGCATCCCCAAGCTCAGTAGCAACAAAGCCATTCCAAAGCACCGAAAGCACGCGCGGATCAATACCATCAAGAAACAACAAAAGTCGCGTAGATTCTTCCCTATACTCTCTAAAATGCCGCCCAAGAAACGATCGTCTTCTGCTATCAACGGGATAGATGAGCCCATCGCAAAGCGCCGATCATCGCGCCAGGCAGCAGCAGCAAAAGCGACAGCATCTGAACCTTCCCCGCCAGCCAAGGCACCGGCGCAAAAGTCTGAGAAGAAGGCCGCATCAAAGCTCAAGGCAGCTCCAGCAGCAGCCGCGACCAAGAAGGAGTCCTCTCCAGCACCACTCGCGTCTGCCAAAGAGAAGACTGCCGGTAGCGGCAACAGCTCGAGAGCTGTATCCGAAGATCCTCACCCAGACTCTATCCCCAGGGAGAACCCGGAAGCTGTGCACCACGAGGGCAAGTGGTACTGGCTTATGAAGGCGGAGCCGGAGTCGCGGTTTGAGAATGGCATCGATGTGAGGTTTTCGATTGACGACCTGCGCGCTTGCACGAAACCCGAAGGCTGGGATGGTAATACGTACTCGTTCCCGTGTTCGGATGAATGATGAAACTGACGGTGTAATCATATTTCAGGAATACGAGCGTATGCTGGTAAGGCGCATCGAAGAGAATAGGCATCACTGTGAAAGCGATGTAATCAATTTTCTCTGACACTACGCAGCTCGGAACAATCTTCGCGCCATGAACGCAGGCGACATGGCATTCTTCTACCACTCCAACTGCAAGACGCCCGGCATCGTGGGCACGATGGAGATTGTCCGGGAATATTCAGAAGACAGTATGCACCCCATCCACACTTAGAGGCAATCCATCGCTCGCTCTTTTTTTTTCCAGCTAACGGAGGGGGGATGTTACTACAGAGAGCGCCCGCCGCCCGGGGACGCCATACTACGACGCAGCATCGACAAAGGACAAGCCGCGCTGGAGCCTTGTCCACGTTGAGTTCCGCCGCAAGTTTGCCGTGCCAATCCTCCTCCCGGAACTGCGTGAGCTGGGGAAAGCTGGCGGACCCCTGGAAGAGATGCAGATGCTGCGACAGTCAAGGCTAAGCGTGAGCAAGGTCAGCGAGACGGAATGGAATGCCCTGTGTGCGCTGGCTGACGAGAAGGCACACGAGGCTGGCCTGAAGCACGAGGATGCATGAGAGAAGGGGGGGGGGGGGACGGGATTTCCGGAGTCTGAATAGTGGTGGTTCGATATATATCAATATTGAATGCACTGGCTGAGATTTCTCGAGGACCCCACCAATCTGATACAAATGTTTACCCAAGGGAGAGGATGGAAGCTGTTCATTCCGTGTATGCGGGGACGACACGGGGTGCTCAGCTTTGCAATCCTGCTTCACCCCGGTTCAATCTGACACACTGAATATCGATACCAAGAATCGTTATCGTTCTTTTTTCTTCCCTCTCTCCCGTAATGAGAGCTCTCGCGTCCATGCGCATCCTAATATCTATTACACAAACACGCGCGTATAATGCGGAATCGTAAATAGTTCCAGAACAATAAAGCTAAGCATGTTGAAACCCATCAACATAAGATCCGAAGACATTCCAAGTAGGCCAGTCCAGCCAGCCAAGTAAAGACAAAAAGGAAACGAAAGAAGAAAAGAAAAAAAAAAAGAGCAGTCCACCCCCTAACTGGGTCTTTGTGTGAGCACCGCAGGAATCCGTATAGCCGTGTGTCCGTGAAATTTGTAGCCGTTAATCCACATCACCTTAGATGAGACGAAAATAGGAAAAGAGGGAGCGAATAACGCTGCTCTTGGCCTCTGTCTTCTCGGCCACCTCCTTGATGGGAGCACGAGGAGCAGGGGGGAGACGGGCGGCGCCGCTTCCCCTGATAACCTTGGGGCGGAAGTATCGCTTCGTCTCGGTGGCGGCCGTGCCAGTAGTGGAAGCGTTGCCAGCATCTTGCCTCTTATCCTTGGACAGGATACCGCCGAGAAGTCCGTCAAGAAGTCCACCGGCACCGCCGGCGGCGTCCTCGTTTTCAGCATCGCCGCCACCGAGACCGCCGAGGGTATTATCCACAACGTCTTTGATCGCGTCACCGACACCGCCGAGGGACGAGCCAGAGTCATCGGCGCCAGCATCGTCGTCGGTATCGGCGGCATCTCCAGCTGCGGCATCACCACTTCCAACTGCGGCATCACCACTTCCAACTGCGGCATCACCACTTCCAACTGCAGCATCATCTCCGGTGGCCGGGGTTGTGGTGTTGGTGACGGCCCTCCTGTTGAGGCCGCCGTAGTAAGTGGGGACAACGGCGCTGTTGCGCTCTCGAAGACCGTCGCGAAGCTTCATCCTGCCATCGTGGGCAGAGACGGGGGCCGAGGCCCCAAAGAGGAGGGCCACGGTCATGATTTGACCAAGAGTGAAGGAGGGAAACATTGTGTGAAGTGTAAAGAAGGGTATTCCGTTCTTTTTTATTTCTGGCGTTGGGTTGTGTTGGGAAGGTTTCGATTGACCAGCAACAGTGAAATGTATATAGTCTGAAAGAGGAAACGAAAGATTGCGACCAGATGCGCAAGTGGAATAAGAGAAGAAGGTATGTAGTAAAAGTATATGAAAAAGAAGAGAAAGAGAAAATCCAAACCAAGAGCCTGCCTGGGTAGAAAGAATGTGCTATTCAGCAATGTTTAAAGGAGAGGGTGGACGATGAAGAACGAAACCGCCTAGACCCAAGGCGATGGAAGGAAAGTTATATATACGCCGGGAGGGAGAAATAGATGTCGTAATTGGAGGCCCCGTTGGCAGCATCCATCCCTACCAGGCCGATGCAACAAATACGCGACAAGAAATCGACCAGGATCATGGTCAAGCTTACGATTAAGCTCGCGCACGTCCCACAATACCCGCGTGGCATGGTAACAGGAGAGGGTGCCCAGGGGTGCAATCCTCGCGGAAAGGCTATCAGAGAGAGAGAGAGAGAGAGAGAGAGAGGGCCCAAGGACCCAGTTTCTCAGAGGGAACACCCCAGAGAGAACCCCAGTCTACAGGCTCGGCACAGCCCTCTCCAAGGTGGGTTCCCTAGTTCCATAACCGGCATACGAGAGATCCGGGTGCCGTGGGCGTCGCAGCCGTGACGGGTCCGGAGGGTCCTGAAACTAGGGGATGGGTGTTGCAAGATACGAATAGATAATCCTACCCCGTTCGCCGTGGTTCGGCTTGTGGCGGAAGCATGACGACTCGAGACATGCGCCGTTTGACGGGTGGGGGCCGTGGAATCGCTGACTTCCCAGCTATCACTGGGTGATACGAGTAAGCAGGGGACCCGGCTCGAGAGATAAACGACGGCTGGCTGTATGATGTAGCAAAAGCTTGTTGCTCTCGTCAATGTCTCTGCAGCCATTGGGTGCCCTGGAGGGAAGGATGCTGGGTGTTCCGACGATTCAATTCAGGTTGTTGCAGGGGGCTGTCACAATACGTGTATCCATCCATATACGAAGTCCTATAATACGGCAGCAACTAGACATCTCTCGGCCATGACGAGATTGTAGAGAGAAAAGACGTCAGTGCTTTCTTTGAACGATGAGTTCTGACTCCTAGCATCTTCTTTTCTTTACATCTTTCTTTTTATCTTCTCTTAGTTACGAAAGTCCCTATTCCGAGAGTTGGGGATGGCATCCATCCTGACCGGGGAATTGGAGATTTCGAAGGAGCAGTTGTACCTTGGGCCATCTCCACATTTTAGGAGTTGATACAACTTACATGATACGATATACATGTACCCCGTACGAATACTCGTATTGACCGCGGTGCGTGCGAGCCGCTCCGCCGAATAATATGACGACAGTTTGGTGGGACAACCTTGCAACTTCTCCAACGTACTACCTGGTGTATCCTCAACGACTAAACTACTGCCGCCTGATCGCCATCGACTGCGGTTTGGCCCGAGAATATACGCAACGGAGAGAGAGGGGTACATCTCATTTGCCGTAACCGCTGTCCAGTACAAGCATCATTTTGAAGTATAGATGTAGTAACTCGGCCATACAACTCTCTCGAGCAGGACGATGGTCGATACTGTACGCCACATGTGAGAGGGAGGAGAAGAGTGGAGGCGCCAATGATACAGTAGATAGACCTAGGTGTTCAGTCCGTCGACTCTCCTACCGTGCATGACACTGGGCATCGACACCGGGCCTCGGAGAGATCGACTATGGAGTAACCGGGCACGATCGGGCAGATTATTTAGTGCGCCGGACCAGCTTCGTGTCGGATCTGGGCTCGAAAGCTTGGCTTTTTCTTACTACCGAACAAAAAAATCCTAAATATATAACTCCATAGGTTATTATGGAGTCGTACAATTGCAACTTACGCGCCTTGGCACGGCTTGCCACAAGTGGGACAGACAATAACATGTGATGATACCTGCATGGCAGTGATAGTACTCCCCATTCTTGTTCTCTTCGATCGCCGCCAAGCCTGGAACGAAGCATACATGAAGATGAGTAATAAATGTGTCTGACAGTTTAAAACAAGTGTGACATATAAGAACTAACGACGCAACAAAGAACTGATGATGTCAATGATGTCATCAAGATTTTCCACCCTTTGATAGCATATACAGAGTACATGTACATTGTCTCTTATCTGCATTCTCTTCTTCACCCTTTCATTCCATTGTCTGAGACCGGACGTCCCCGTCCGATGCGGATGTGCGGCGGCCGGGCTCGGGGGAAGATATTACATTTTCAGTGGCCGGGGGGGAGGGGAGAGGAAGGGGGGATGAAACCGGGCTTCTCAATTGCTACAAGTCACGGGTAGCATTATTATGTTTGGCTATCATCCTGTCAGCGTTATGGAAATGGCTGCATTGAAGCTGTATGCATGCCTCTTGGTTCCTTTCCATCTACACAACGTCCATTTATCAGTCATGCATCATTATTCATTACCGGGAACATTCAACGGTAGAAGTATATGGTGCCCAAATTACATATCCGAACAGCCAAGGGCTGCTGCATACGCACAACATAAAATAGTCTTTTAGATAGATTTCCTTTCCTTTTAAAGAAGCAAGCACCAAGACACACTCATCAACCCGTAGACATGAGTACAGTGGTATCTGCCTACTGGTACGTTCTAGGCCGATGAACGTGTGTCTCGGTGCTTGCTTCTTCAAAAGGAAAGGAAATCTATCTACGAGGTTATCTACAGATGTGAGTGTGGCAGCAGCCTCTGACTGCTTAGTCATATACAATTTTGGGTGCCCATAAGCAAGTCGCTCTAGGGTAGTCATCAATGTCGGTTTTCAATTTCGGCGTCTCACTACGAACCAGTCATTCCGGGCGGCAGCCAGGAGCCATATCTCGTGCGAGGATCGTTTTCCTTTTTTTTTTTTCTTCTTCTTTTCTTTTTAACATGATACCGTGGAAATGAACCGACCACGACTATGAATCCGTGCAGGCCGACCGGCTAGTCAAAGGTACAACGTTCTCTCTTTCTCTTACTGAATGGATAACAACACCTTTGGACATATGTAAACACGAAAACTCCATAGAGCCGGGTCTTATTTAGCCAACAGTTTGCCGAGAATCGGAGGCTCTGAAAAAGCTGCCGGATCATGGTGCCGTGTGGTTTCACACACTTTTTTTATTTTTATTTTTTTTACAGATGAGCCTCCTGCATGGTGTGCATCCGTGGCGAGAGCCGTGAACAGGACAGAGCCATTCTTGCTGATCAAACTAGCGAAGCGAGAGTAGGATCATCTTCCGGACTCTCTGTTTAGTTCTTTTTTCTTGTCAAAGTGAGTTGGCATACAATACGAGTATGTACATGTACAGGGGGGATGTCATCCTACCCCTCTTTCAACCATCTGCCTGCCCGTAGAGCTGTGGACGAGACATGCGAATACGTCATGCAAATTCCTCTTATCAGGTTTCTTTGAATTCCGACAGGTAAAGAACGATCCGTGTTGTGCTCATGTCACTAGTTGTATGATTTAAGACGTGTGAGGTGGTAATATCGATAATGGTGGTGGAATCTCACAGATATGGAACTTAGGCAACCTGGATGATTGTACAGGGATTGATGTTGATGTATTCGGTGAACTATGATATGCAAGTAACAAGTCTCAGTAGTTCCGCGCTCTCGTCATCAAGGAAGGCGAAAGCCAATGATTCTTATCGACACGAGTACTCGCAGCAGTACAATGTAAGTAAGGCCACGATATTGCTGTGACTTGATTGCTCAAGTTGAATGTCCGTACCTGCTGTTCCTTAAGAATCCTGATACTTGCCGGACACGAAAGGATGAAGATAAGGATTGCCGTAAAGTGCAGAGGCCACAATGAAAGCACTGCGGATAAGTAGTAGAGATAAACCCGCTGGTATGCAATACATATACTCCGTACGACGTATACTGGACCGTACGCGGTACAAAAGTGCACCGTTACAAGACACTCGCATCAAGGCTTGTCCTGTGAGTTGTGACCTGTGAGGTTCCCTAAAGTGGTGATGGTACATGCGAGTTGGATATGACAGGTACCCAAGTCTAGGGTCCGGCCGCTCGGTAACTCTACGTTCAATGATAGGTAGATAAAACATGTTGGATAGTGATATCTTGATAACCCTGGAGCCAACAAGCTACTAATAGAAGGCACAGGACTGGCTGGACAAACGGAATAGCATATTGAGTTCAAATGAAGCAAGGCATGTCGGCTCTGTCAATCTTGACGCCTCTTCTCTTCGACGTTCTAATCTTTAGCCGCGTCCAAGTGTAGACCGAAACCTCGCTCGACTATCGGCAATAATACAGCTAGCCCTCCGGTGGGCGTCGATGGACTTGTGCGGGAGGTACGAGCATCAGTAGGTCGTAGGGCAAGTATCCGAGTCACGGTAATGTACGGAGTACCGAGGCCCATGATGCGGGATTCCCCGTGTATCCTGTAATACGACGTAGGAAAGAGCAACTTTCATATCGAGACACGGAGATGGCCAATTGCCGACGCAGACCACCCAATTCCCATGCAACTTGTAAGCCGCATAGCCTGTGGTGTTGAACGCTTGACGAGAGAGTGGTCTGATTTTTCTTTCTTTCTTTCTCCTTCTTCTCTTCTTTCTTTTCCTGGCCAAGGTTGTGAACCCTAGACCGGGGGCGGGACTAGTCCGTAGAGGGCAACATCAGGGATGATCTCTTGAATACATCGTAATACTCTCAATACAATATGTTGTTAAGACGGCGTAGCCACTACTTCTTTTGTGTGCGCCTGTGCGGATGATTCATCACTTGTGTGCCCTGCTAAGTCCATGGGTCGTACGTAGACACGGGTTGCTACGAGTCTTGGGTCTGCTCCGTTCATGTGCATGATGCATACAAGTCTCCGTCCGTCCCACTTACTCATGATTCTGCAGTCTGCGACATAGGCCTTGATACATGTGCATATCAATCAGTCAAGCATTGGTCAATGGGATATGCCGTCTGCGGCGCAGGGTCATCATACTAAGGACAGAGAGTGCCAGAGTGTTAGTACTAGTAACACAAATGCCAAGAAGGAATAAAACCCTCATCCGCCTGTCAGTATTAGCGTTACCCCACGGAGTATTCTGCGTACAGGGTACCAAAACATTCTGGTTTAATAATATTACGAGTACACAATTATAATACTAGGTACTCGAAGAAAAGAGGGAAGGAATAATAAAGACATGCCGTCCGTTATCTCCGGCTCGGTTCCCTGCTAGCTCCGAGGTATTGGGTTGCTTTACATAAGCGTTGCAGGCGGGTAGCTGCAGCATTAGCCCGGTAACCTTGACTGCTGAACCCTTGGTATTGGTGTACATATACGGAGTAGAGCATAGAATAGAAAAAAAAATTGGGTAGTTGTTTCTTCTTCTTTTCTTTCCTCTCATCTCCACGTGTTCTACTACCTTTCTGTCTTTCTGTCTTCCCGTCTTTCCCACACTCTCCTACTACAGAATGCGTCCATTGTTGTCAAGCTCCCGTCTCGTACATCTACATATATGCCTCCCCCCCACTCCCCCCACCTAAACAACGCTAAATTACGTGTACCTTACCATTTATATACTCTGTACATGTAGAGTCCCATACTGTATCGGTGTTGGTAGCATTTGCTCCGGCTTACGGAGCGTCTATCCGCTAAGATTGTTCCTAAGGATTCCATTGATATTATGGGCAGGTATAGAACACAATTTCCCTCTTCACCGCCTAGCCTAAAGAGGAGGACGGGCAACAACCTAAAAAAGTCCCCCCAGCCGCCCCCCCCCCTCCCCCCCAAAAAAAGACTCGAGAAGCTCCCAGACGAGGACGATCTCGAGTCAAAAGGCCTGAAGCTCCCTGAAAAGGGCCTCAATGCTCCCCCCCAAGAGTCCCCCTCAGGTATCCACATACCCCCCTGCCCTGCTATGGGTAGGTAATAATACCATTAATCCATGGTCCGTGGGTGAATAGCAGTGTACGCTACTGCTAGTACATGCAGTATTATTCTTCCACTCCTCCGTATCACGGATGCATAGCAAGAATATTACCTCTGGCTTTGCGTGCTTTCTCAGTTCCCGCGTACGTACAAGTATGTCGCTCGCTAGCAGCTCTCTTCTACATTGCGTAGGTATTGATATTGCTAGGTGTAGGCGGCGTAACGGGTACGTTGGCTGTCATTTGCGGTCGCTCAGGTACCCAAGGTACCGATGTCACTGCATATGCCGTCCGTAATTTGATCGTAATACCCTGTACGAGTGAGTGGTGGTGCCGTTATTTCTGCCACTGATACGGATGCTGTAATGTACATAATAATACTTCTGCCATTCTGCAACGCTGCCAGGCTGCTTGCCGCTACTGCCACTTCTGCCTCTGCCCACTGCGCCGGCGCCGGTCGCTACTTCCCTCTTGGCCCCAAAATTATCATCACTTCAACCCGTCGTCCCTTTTCTCCCCTCTATCTCTTTGTGCTTCTACATCACCGCCCCTCCTTCGACAACCGAGCCTCGCCACCACTTCTTCTCCCCTCACCTTCCCCTCCCCCCCCCTCTCCCTCCCCTCCTCTCCTCTCCCCTTCCTCTCGCCCTCCCCCAGTCTGCCTACTTCTTTGCCTCTATCCTTCCTCACTAGGGAACGTGGGCACGTACACAATATACTCGTCGACGCAGGCTGACCCCGTTGTCGCTCGATGTACGCTTGACCCTCTGTTCACTCGGCTTCTTCAATCGGTCGGCCCCCCCCCCCCCAAACATCGTTCTCTCCCACTCGACCAGTCAGCATCACCATCCGACGCCGGAGACCTTGGGCCCAGCCAGATTTACCCATTGCATCTGTGCTACTTAGCCTCTTGATTGTAAGTTTTTCTCATGGAGCCTTGTGCGGCCCGCCCCCGCCATCATGGACGTCTTCGTACTTTCATCTTGGCTAGAAATAAGTTTTTCGCTCCCCTCAGAAAGTCCCCATCGTTGTCCACCTCTCCCTCTTCTCTCATGTTGCTACGAGGTACAGACACCTCGTCGGAGGGCTCGTCGACCGCCGTGATGTGTAATTGCTTACCACCTCTTCTGCTCAGATTTTCCAGACCCTTCGCCTCATGTCTTAAACACGCACCTCTCCCTCGTCCATATCGAAAGGAAACATGATCTCCAGTTCTCTTCTCCCGCGGCGATTCCGCGGTGAGCCCGCCCTCGCTCACAGCAGTTCGCCCAGCTGGCTCAACAAGAGGATTACGCCTGTCCTGCAGTTCGTCTCCCACATCGCCTACTCACACCCCATCCACTTCGTCGTCCTCGTCGCCGTTCTTGCCAGCACCTCCTATGTCGGCCTGATTCAGCAGAACCTTTTCGAGGGCGACGCCAGTGCCGGCAAGGCCGACTGGTCCTCGCTCGTCGAGGGTAGCAGGAACCTCCTGGTCGGCCCCGACACCAACTGGAAGTGGCAGCCCGTCGAGAAGGACGCCGATGTCGCCAGCGATGTCGACCAGCTCGCCCTCCTGACCCTGGTCTTCCCCGATACCCTCTCGAGCGACTCGCCCAGCACCGCGCCCCTGTCGCATGCCGTCCCGACCCCCGACAACCTGTCCATCACGCCTCTGCCCTCGACCGAGAACCCCTTGACCACCTACACCCAGGACAGCATCCTCACCTTCTCCCTACCCATAACTGAGGCCCCCGAGTTCGTCCTGGCCACCCGAGAGATCCCCAGCGACGAGGCCGAGGAGGCTGAGATGGGCCACGGCCGCGAGAAGAAGATGTGGATCATGAAGGCTGCCAAGGTTGGCGCCCGCAGCAGCATTGTCCACTGGGCCAAGAATGCCTTTTCCGAGTTCCTCGACCTCCTCAAGAACGCCGAGACCCTCGACATCTTCATCATGTTCCTCGGTTACCTGTCGATGCACCTGACGTTTGTGTCGCTCTTCGTGTCTATGCGCAGGATGGGCTCCAACTTTTGGCTTGCTATGAGCACCCTCTTCTCCTCCGTCTTTGCCTTCATCTTCGGCCTCGCCGTCACCACCAAGCTCGGCGTCCCCATCAGCGTCATACTCTTGTCCGAGGGTCTCCCCTTCCTCGTCGTCACCGTCGGGTTCGAGAAGAACATTGCCCTGACCAAGGCCGTCCTCACCCACGCCATCGAGCACCGTCGCCATCAGAACAAGGAGTCCAAGGAACGGGCTGCCAAGGGCCAGAAGCGCCCCGCCCAGCGTCTCATCCAGCACGACATCCAGGCTGCCATCAAGGACCAGGGTGCCGAAATCCTCCGCGACTACGTCATCGAGATCTTCATCCTCGTCCTTGGTGTCGTCTCAGGCGTCCAGGGTGGTCTCCAGCAGTTCTGCTTCCTCGCCGCCTGGATCCTCTTCTTCGACTGCCTCCTCCTCTTCACCTTCTACACTGCCATCCTCAGCATCAAGCTCGAGATCAACCGCATCAAGCGTCACGTCGAGCTGCGTGCTGCTCTCGAGGCCGATGGCCTGAGCCGCCGGACCGCCGAGAACGTTGCCAAGAGCGAGGACGAGGACAAGGACGCCAAGGAGTCAACCTTGTTTGGCCGCCAGATGAAGAGCAGCAGCGTCCCCAAGTTCAAGGTCATCATGATCTCTGGGTTCGTCCTCGTCAACCTCGTGAACTTCTGTACCATCCCATTCCGCAGCCCCAGCTCGCTGTCCACGATAAGGTCCTGGGCCGGCGGTCTGGGCGGTGTCCTTTCCAGCCCCCCCGTCGATCCCTTCAAGGTGGCCTCCAACGGTCTCGATACCATACTCAACGCCGCCAAGGAGAAGGGCACCTCTGCCCTCGTCACCGTCCTCACCCCTATCAAGTACGAGCTCGAGTTCCCCTCGGTGCACTACGCTCTGACGTCGCCGCTCAGCGGCAGCTCCGGTGGTTTTGCCGGCTTCGCTGGTCTGGCCCATCTTGACGAGTATGGCATGGGTGTCCGCATGGTTGGCAGCCTGCTCAAGAGTCTCGAGGACCCTGTCCTCTCCAAGTGGATCTTTGTCGCCCTGGCTCTGAGCGTCGGCCTCAACGGTTACCTGTTCAACGTTGCCAAGACAGGCATCAAGGATGCCCCCGAGGGTGCCATTGACCGCGACGACCTGGCCAATGCCGAGAGGTTCAACGAGCCTGGTGCCGCCGCCGCCTTGGCCCCCGGCGAGTACGTCCCCCCGCCCACCCCCCAGCGTACCGAGCCTGCCACGCCCGCGGCTGTCTCGGAGGATGAGTCGGACTCCCTGTCCAAGTCGGTCGAGTCGGAGATTCTGCGCAGCAACGAGGTGCTCGAGGCCCTCCTGGCCGACAAGCGTGCCCACGAGCTGACGGACGAGGAGGCCGTCAGCATGGCTATGCGTGGAAAGATCCCCGGCTATGCTCTGGAGAAGACACTCAAGGACTACACCCGCGCAGTCAAGGTCAGGAGGGCCATCATCTCGCGCAACAAGGCCACGTCGACCGTCACCGGCTCGCTCGAGGGTTCCAAGCTCCCATACAGGGGCTACAACTGGGAGCGGGTCTTTGGTGCCTGCTGCGAGAACGTTATCGGATACATGCCTCTCCCCGTCGGTGTCGCCGGTCCCCTTGTGATTGACGGCAAGAGCTACTTCATCCCGATGGCTACGACGGAGGGCGTCCTGGTTGCCAGTACCAGCCGTGGCTGCAAGGCCATCAACTCTGGCGGCGGCGCCGTTACGGTCCTCACCGGTGACGGCATGACCCGCGGTCCCTGCGTCAGCTTCGACACGCTCGAGCGTGCCGGTGCCGCTAAGCTCTGGTTGGATTCCGAGGAGGGCCAGAAGGTGATGAAAGATGCTTTCAACTCGACCAGCCGCTTCGCCCGCCTTCAGTCGATGAAGACGGCTCTGACGGGCACCAACCTGTACATTCGGTTCAAGACTACGACGGGAGACGCCATGGGCATGAACATGATTTCCAAGGGTGTCGAGCACGCCCTCGACGTCATGGCCAATGACGGCGGCTTCCCCGACATGGTGATCGTGTCCGTCTCTGGTAACTACTGCACTGACAAGAAGCCGTCTGCGCTCAACTGGGTCGACGGACGTGGCAAGAGCGTCGTGGCAGAGGCCATCATCCCCGGCGAGGTGGTCAAGAGCGTTCTCAAGACTGATGTCGACACTCTCGTCGAGCTCAACATCAACAAGAACCTGATCGGCTCAGCCATGGCTGGATCGATTGGCGGTTTCAACGCTCACGCTTCCAACATCGTTGCCGCCATCTTCATCGCCACTGGTCAGGACCCTGCTCAGGTCGTTGAAGGCTCCAACTGCATCACGACCATGAGGAAGTGAGTGAACACCCACCCCTCTTTTCTCTTGCATGACGATGCTACCTGATTGTATGCTAACTTCAACTTCTCTCCTCAGCCTTCGCGGTTCTCTGCAGATCGCCGTGTCCATGCCCTCGATCGAGGTTGGGACCTTGGGTGGTGGGACGATTCTTGAGCCACAGAGTGCCATGCTTGACATGCTCGGTATCCGCGGCTCGCACCCGTCGGAGCCCGGAGAGAATGCCCGGCGCCTGGCTCGCATCATCGCCGCGGCCACCATGGCCGGTGAGCTGTCGCTGTGCGGTGCCCTCGCGGCCGGCCACCTGGTCAGGGCGCACATGGCGCACAACCGCAGCGCCGCGCCCTCGAGAACTACGACGCCCGCCCCCGCTGGTGCTTCGGCACCGGCTGGCCTTTCCATGACTAATGTATCTGCCGCTTCTCAGAGGAGGTAAACTATATATGTATGTACGAGGGAAAAAAAATGAAAATGGTAAATTGTGGAAGAGCGGGAACGATAGATACTCTAGATGATTAGTGAATGAGCTGGCGATTGCATGAGGAAGTGTTATGTTTTTTCTCTGTCTCTTTCTTCCTCTCTCTTTTTTTTTTTGTCTTTCTTGGTAATACGCAGTCCTGCTGGCGCTTGGTATCCATCACTAGTCATTTGATGGGAAGTGTTGGTGAGGCCTGTGTTTGGCGCAGTGTTGCCCAGGTATTTACATATTTGCTGGGAATGGAGCATTTGTTCCGTGCCCTCGGGGCGGGTTGTTAGAAATTCTTTATTACACTTGTTAGCTTGCATTGTTTGTGTTTTGTTATTGTACGTGTCTATACATCTTGATGGATCTCTATATCATGATAGATGTCTTTTGTCGGTTAAGTCACTATAGGAGGCTTTGCATGATGATTGGCATGGTCATGTATAAGTCCATGATCTCACCACTGTCTTGTTTTTCCTTACCTCTCAGCAGCTATTCTCTTTGTTGTCGTAAATCGGACCTTATTATGCCCTCATCTACATCATTTTGTCTCGTAGCATCAACATATATCGATCGGTGAGGCGCCCTCTGCTCTGTCTTGAAATTGGAATTGCCCGGTCGTGAGACAATACGACAGCGACAAGAGCAAAAACAGCCGTCACATCAATTATAACTAAGACATGGCCAGGTATCGAGCTGTTCGCCTTGGAAAAATGTCCATCTGTGTTGTCTATTATAGCCAGTCACCGGCTGATATTTTCTTGGTGACACGTCCCGAAATATACCACTTCCAACAGCTGCATCGTTCTACTTTCCTCTTCTCCTTTTTGCGTGTCCTGGCCTCTACTGTTCCCTATTTCCTAGCTGAAGTATCCCTCTTGAGGCATGCCAGTATGTCATCTCAATTTCAGTCTGTCGGGACGATGGCAGATGGGTTCTAGGAGGCCTAGATATTCCATTGATACCGTTCTACGCCGACCACGCGACATGGTTAGCCGGGCATTCTGTATGTGTGCGAACTGTAGTCGTCTGTCATGATACCCAACAGCCACAAACTTAGAGACAGAAAGTTGTAACTATAATCACGGGCGAGGGAGGGGAGTGGGAAGGGATGGCATATAATAAACAAGGCCATACGATCAGGCGTCCTGGTTTTCTTCATCCTCCGTCTCTCCTTGAACTCTTCACCCATCCGTCGCGAGCACACGACTAGTTTGAGTAAGGAACTATTTTTCCACCTTGTTCAAGACTGCCCAGGTCGAAGCAGCAACTCCGTCTGAGCTACCGAGGAAATATAACTGACACCGGAGCTTAATCGTAGATAGAAAATATTTTTTTTTAAAAAAATAAGATGAAAGAAAGAAAAGAAAGGACGAGCTCTGCAACCCATCGCAGCATGGCCGGCCAAGGCAAGAGGGTGACATTCCCCTCCGACCGCAGCATAGCCACGGCCAGGGACCCCGAGACGGGTGAAGACGTCCCCGTTGCGCCGACCAACAGACTGGTGGTAAGCAGGACGCAGCGAACACCAGACGAGGTAGCCTTCTACCGACTAGAGCTGAGCAACAGCCTCGCGCAGCAGGTAGCCCTCCGCCGGGACGATGACGAGACGGGTCTGCACAGGTTCCGCTTCAGGATCCAGGACAGCCGCGTGGAGGCGCAGTGGAGGCTGGCGGACGCCAACAGGGAGGCGCTGCACGCGCAGGCGGCCGAGAGCGGCGTGCTCGACCTGGCCTTTTTCGCGGCCCGCAAGGCTGCCAACGTCACCCGGCTCCGCGGCATCGTCGGGAGGCTGGTCGATCTGGACGCGTCGACGCCGCCCGGCTCAGGCTTCAGGACCGTCGTCTGTCCCTACCGGGGCGACGAGCTCAACTTTGTCAACCCGGGCTGCCCGCTCCTGACCGAGGGCGCGAGGCTGCTCAGGTGGCTAGACGCGAACCTGTGCATCGTCGCCGACGTCTTCCACCAGAACTCGGCCTGCATGGCCTATGCCAGGCTCCACACATACCGGCTGCAGCAGGGCCAGCTGGCCTCGACGGAATCGGTGTTCATCCTGGGGGCAACGGCGAGCGAGACTGCGAGCATGGCTGCCGAGGCAGCAGAGATGGCGGGGGAGGAACCTGGCATTCCTGCACCGCCATCGCTAACCTCGACCCCCACCCAGCAGGCCACATCTGGTACCGGGCCCTCTGGCTCCGGAGGGACGACGGCGGACGGGGACTAGGTCTGATGAGCGTGACGGTTAGCAAGCGTGGTAAAAGGAGGCTGGCGGTCAAGTTCCCTAGTGGAAAGGGGGAAGTAGATGGCAGCACCCACCTCTGGCTGGATCGTCCTCCTCTACCTTCCTCCGTCCCAAACGAAATGGAATACAGGGAGAAAGGCAACGTTCCCTGTTGGGCTTTCCCAAGACTTTTATATAGTTTCTTTCTTTCTTTATTATTACTTCCCTCTTGTACTTTCTCCTCATGCTTCGTTTTTATTTATTTATTAGTTTTTATTTTAATTTTTTATTTTCTGCCAAATTTGTTTAACATCTCTTGTCCGGGTTTTTAAAACACCCTTTTTTCCTTCTTTTTTCTTCTTCTCCCCCCCCCCCCCTAGGTGCTGGTGTTTTCTCCACGTATTATTATGGCTTGCATATTGTTGCCGTCGTCGAGATCCAATCATCGAGACGGACAAACACCAAATAGGTAAAACCACCTGCGAGCAGAAAATAACGGGGGCAAACCAGGGTATCAAATCCAGGGGAAAGGACATCGGTCAGATTTCTTTTTTCCTCTTCTTCCCTTTAGTATTACGGTAGTACGATTACTTCATCTTCTTTGGTGTTTTGTCTTGATCTTCTTACTATAGGATTATGACATTACAGGATGGGATTACGGATACAGCCGAGGAGTTTACGGACCATACTTAAGGGATGTTTTTAGAAACTATCGCCGAGATGACACTTGATGAATCATGATTTGTATAAACAATCTCCTTTGTATACTAGTAATAAGTTAACGAGGAAAATGTTCTGACACTTGCTTTGCTAGTAAAAAGTTGCTTCGAGAATTTTCCTTTTGATACGAACTTTATATTTTCGTCGTGTGACTTTGTTTCGTTGCTGCTATACAGCTTCATGCGACCATTATTACCCTAAGCTGATTTTAACCAATATTGCTATATACATGTTTATATGATTGAGAGATATATACTGAAATCATGCCTGTCCTAAGCGTCTAGGAGTTGTCCCAAAAAAAAATAGTCTAAGAGGTCGTGAAAAGTAGAGACAGAGAAAGGAGCTAAAGACAGGACGCCAAGCAAAGAGAGTGGTTGTTGAGAGAGAGAGTGAGTGTGTGCGTGTGTGCGTTTGTGTGTCATCACGCCTTCCTCCTAACACATATCCTAACTCCACGAGGCGGAAATGTAGCTTCGCACATCCAGTCATTCGGCGGCTTCTTCCCTTCATACTCGTCGGGAAAGCGCACGTCGTAATACCGTAGGACATGGTTGATGATCATCTTGAGCTCAAAGTCGACAATGAAGCGACCCGGGCATGCGTGCTTGCCGTGGCCAAAGGCCAGGTAATCCTGTGACGTCGTGACAAAAGTCTGCGTCTTCTTCTCCTCGCTTCCGTCGTCGCCAGGGTTGGACCCGGACCGGGCGAAGCGAAAGGGATCGTAGGTTAGCGGGTCTTCGTAGGCGTCTGGGTTGGTCTGGGAGGGCCAGACGAGGAAGGAGACGATTGTGCCCTTTGGCAGGGGGTGGCCGTCAGGCGTGGCCATGTCGTTTGTCATGACCTTGCGGATAAGGGAGCGGTTGGCAAATGATTGGAGGCGCAGCGTCTCGCGCGAGGCACTGTCAGCGAAGACCATACGGTTGACACGGCCCTTTGTCCACTGACCAGTCACCTCGTCACTGTCGGCGGCGGCGGGGTCCGAATCACTGAGGATGCGGTCCGACTCATCGAGCAGGGTGGCTATGGTGTTGTGCTGGTGGTCCGAGTCGATAATGTTGAGAAGCAGGTTGGTGACCTGGATGACGGTCTGGTGGACGGCACCAAAGTTGGCGGCGCAGATGCGGCGGACAATAAGCTCGTAGTCGTCCACCTCGTTGGGTCGTTCGCGCAGAGCGTAGCGGGCCATGGCCTGGACGTGGTCAGTCGGTTCGGGCATGCTGAAGCCGTTGGCGCCGGCGGCTTTGGCCTCCCGTGCCATGCGGATGCGGTCATCCCACAGGGGTACGAGCCATTGCTTGATGTGATCTATCTTGAATTTCATAGGAATCGACAGGAGACCCCCCAGGAACGGACGGAGGACATGCGGTAGGCCAGAGCAGAAACCGCCGACGGTGATGAGCAGGTCGTTTACGTCGAGTAGGGCCTGCAGGTAGCCCTCGTTACGGCAGAGAGGCAGGCCGACGGTGAAGCGCGAGTTGGCCTGGGCGACAACCTTTGTGATGGTGTTGCGCAGGTCTATCTCACGCCACGTCGTCGTATCGGTACCAAAGTGCTTGTCGAAGGCGCGGCCGAGCTCGTCACTCAATGCACTGCAGATGGTCTCGAGGGAGCGGTTCAGTTCCGTCTTGATCAGCAGGCCCTGCCATGAGTCGAGGACAGGCCCGGCGTGACCCAGGCTCCAGTGGGCCTGGTCGACTTCGGCCATGGCCTCGGCGACGCTCAGGCGGCTCTCGGGCTGTGCCAGAGCCCAGCGGATGTGCTCCGGGGGTAGGATGACCTCCTTACGAGATCCTATTCCCGGGACGACGACGGGGCGGCCATGCTTGAGATACTGAAGAGCGGGTTAGAGGGGAAGGTTGGCTGAGGGCGGCAATCGTAGCGACGAGAGTGGCGAGCGGGAAAGGGAGTACAAACCTGATTCCAAGCATCCTCATATATGGCTTTGCATTCGGTGTAGTACGAAATTCGAGTGCGCAAGCTGAAGCTACGCGCACCCTCCGGCTCGCGGATGAGAGGAATGGAAGGCGGATAGGCGACACCGGTGATGAAGCGCTCAATGAGGTAGGCGGCGAGGACGAGGAAGACGAAGGCTCCAAGCACGTTGAGGAAGGTACACTTGGAGTATATGTGAAACAACAGATGCAGCAACGAGTCGGGGAGGTCCATGTCGACGGCCTTTGTCGGGGCCTTGGGCCAGGGGCCTGGGGATTAGGCCAGATGGTGATGAGGCCTCACGATGACTGATGACTGATAAAACGGAGCCAAGAGCTGGTGGTAGTAATACAGAGCCCGGGTTATACGGAGTCGGAGTATTACAAGAGTCAAGATTCCCAGGCGGAAGTCGCCGTGGGGTAGGACAAAGCAACAGCGCACTCTGGAAAGGATCGGCAGTCGCACAGTGACGTGCAGGAAGGAAAATCTGGTACTATGCGTGGCTTGCAGAGGGTATAGGAGGTACACAAAGCTAGCGAATTACTGCCAGAAGCGAGAAGCGAGAGTCGACATTGACGAAGGGGAAGCTGACGAAGATGGAAGGGACTGGTGACTAGCGATGATAGGGAGGGGATGAGAGAAGAAAAGAAGAAATCCAGAAGGAGACGGGGAGAGAAAGTGGAGAGTGGGAAGATGAGTCCAGATCGAAAGAAAAGAAACAGGAACGGTCTTTGTCATAAATAAAGATAGAAATTATAATAATAAAAGAGCGGGAGAGACGGAAGTAGGTCTCGGCTAGTGGAGGGGGCGTGTCATTTGTTTAGGTACTCCTGTAAAGGCTGGGGAAGAAAAGAGAATGAAAAAAAAAAAAGCAGGAGTAGTAACGAGCCAAGAAGGGGAGGGGAGGGGGGGAGAAACAAGAAAAAGGGAAAGTGTGAATGGATAAAGGAGTGGAAAAGAGAGAAGGAGAGCTAACAATCGAAATGAGATCAGACGGGAGAGGCTGAAGCGAATGGAGTAATAGCATCCGTACATGCTATATATTACAGGTACTAGCAGTAGACTGTACTACTCTTACTACTAGTAAGAGTAATAATAAGAGTGCGGAATAATACTCGTCATTGAAACGGAAAGAAGAAAAATCGATTTAAAAAAAAAGAGAGAGGGCCAAGAGAGTCAAAAGGTGGAGAGGCATAAAACATGAGATGACGGAAGAAAGCGAGAGACAGAAGAGACAAAAAAAGAAAGGACGGATCAAAGTGAGAACTTAGGAGAAGAGTGTCGGACCGTTATTTTGGCAGGTGCATGCTGACCAAAATCAAGACGAGGCAGGGGTGACGGAGCTGGTTGCTTGGCTTGGGGGGGAAGCTCCGAAGGCGAGTATCTTCGGGAGAAGCCGCTCTACTTTGGTTTAGTGTCTTTTCTTTTTCTCTTTTTTTTTCTTTCCTTCTCTTCTTTCCTTCTCTTCTTTCCTTCTCTCTCTCTCTCTCTCTCTCTCTCTCTCTCCACTGCCTTCTTACTATATGCCCGTAGTACGAGTGCTGGTTTTCAAAGTCCTACGACGTATAGTTATTATTAGCACTATCGCTACTCGAGTACATGTACGAATAATACTATCAGTATATTAGGGAGTAAAATCTGAAACTCCACGACAACACTAGTAGCGAGTCCGAGTCCATACAAATCCAGGCCATTACGACAGAGGCACCCACCAATGCCGCCACCACCACCATCATCAAGCGGTGGTAGCAGCCGTATCAACACCAAATTGGCAAAGTCGCTGTCACTGTGGTGCACCGTAATCCGAAAAGGGAAACAGCCACTTCGTAGGGCACCTTCCCTGCAGGTTATGGCGGAGGTCTTCCATGCACGATTCCGCTGGGTAAGCGGCAGGAGCATTTTAGTCATGCTGGCAAGCACAGACATCAGAGGCAGGAGCGTTGGATATGATTGAGGCGAGGCAGGAACCACCAACGACTGAACACACCTACCAGCCTCTGTCCTGCTCGGCGTTGGCACGTACGGATAAACGGGTAACTGCGAGCACATATACGATGCATCAATGACAGTGGCTCTATTGGATATGGTCACTGCATTGAGTCGCTGCAACCAACACAGGATGGACACCACGCCGTACGCATCGACACGCTGTCTCGTTCATGTACACCCTTTAAACTGGATGTACCCAACGAGCCCTACTGTAATCTATACTAGTATCCGTAGTATAACTAGTAGTATTATTATTATACTCGTAAGTAATAGTACCAAAAGTGCTAGTAGAGAAATTGATAACTACACGCCGTCGACTGTGTATTTGTATTAGCACAAAAGTCCGCTTCTGCACATGTGGGACATGCCAGCAGTGGACTCGGGGGTTTCCAGGACCCCGAGAGAGATGGGTGAGATTTCATGACCGACTAGTACTAGCATATCATAATAGTACGAACACGTTGTCGATAGAGTAATACGACGTACGAGAACGGAGTCGCGGGGAAACTGGGACATTCGTTTTAGCACGTACGTACCTGTATTATTGTACTCTTCGTGCGCTTGCACGCGTACGTGTTTGACAGAGTCCGAGTACTACGGCGTGGACGAACTTGCTACTAGCAGTGGACCGTTCACTCTGTAGTGGTAGAAGTAATGGCAGAACTCGGACGGGCGGAGAAGATGTTACTTCCGGGCCCGAGGGCGATTATACAAGATGTAACGGGGTATCATACAACTATATATACACATAATACTCTGCAAGTACGGGTACTAGGGTCTCGAGAGGTTGCGACGAATGTTCATTCGGTAGAATACATTGGCGTCGAAGCAGCGAAATGTAATTCGCCGTGCATGGCCCTTAGCTATCAAAGACAGAGAAAGGAGGTTGCAGCACTTCGTATTACTTGCAGCGATAATAGCAGAATATTGAGTGTTGGCGCAGCGATACCAGTCATTGGTGCACACGTACCTGTATACTCAACTCCTAGGTCTTATTACCACTTATAACACGATACACTTATCCGCAATGCAACACCGTCAGTAATACTGCCGAATATCTGCAGTATTGCAGGTATTATACGGCGTACTGTAATATCATATCAGAGAACTCAGAGAACCCCGACTCCATCCGTATGGATCCGTACGGGCTGCACCAGGCGTAATGCCGTACTATCAGTCCATCGCATGTCCGAAACAGGCACTAGACCCTACGACGTAATCTTGCCACCAAACGGCAAACACCAAACAAATGCCGAACATCTCCTACAACGTAAATTGCCCTCTACAGCTCTGCCCCTGTTTCAACCCACAACACTTGCACACACACCTCTCCCCCGGTTCCTCCATGTCTCTCATGATCTGATACCGGCCCACAATGACAACGACGACGACAGCAAACCTTCCATTCTCACCGGCACTTATAGTCGTCGATTTTCAAGAGGACTTTTGTCCACCGGCAAGTTCCGCCACCACCATCATCATCTCTCTTCCTCCCTCCCTCTTCGCACCTCACCTCGTCACCTCCTCCTATGCCCCTCCCCTTGCTCCTCTCGGCCCCTCTCGGTTTCTTTCCCTCTCTCTCTCCCTCTCTCTCTCCCCGCCTCCCGTTCCCTTTTCAGCTACCCCACACCCTAGATGGGCACGCCACATTTAGGTTGTGGGCTCTCTCCACGTCCGCATCGACCGATGATTGACCAACTGGCCAGACCGACTGACACCCCGACATAACAGAACGGCTCTCTCGCCGTCCCCGGTGGCCGCGACATAGCCCCCGCCGTCAATCAGCTCCTCCGCCTGCCCTTTGTCATCAAGGTGGCCACCCGAGACTGGCATCCACAAGCCCACATATCCTTTGCCACGAACCACCACCGCCCCGCCGCCGACTCTCCACCGCCACAGCCATTCACGTCTTCGACCGACGTCGTCCACCCATCCGATGCATCCCGCTCATATACCACCACCCTCTGGCCGGTCCACTGCGTCGCCGGCACCCCGGGCGCACAGCTAGTACCCGAGCTCGAGCTCGAGCTTGACGGCGGCGACACCATCATCATAGATAAGGGTCGCGACCCCCGCGTGGAGATGTACTCGGCCTTTTACGACCCTTTCCGCCTCGAGGACTCGGGCCTGGCTGGCCTCCTCCGTGATCGCGGTGTCACGCACGTCTACGTCGTGGGGCTGGCGGCCGACTACTGCGTCAAGGCTACGGCCGAGCATGCCCTGCAGGAGGGGTTCGATACGTGCATTGTGGCTGATGGTACGCGGCCTGTTGCGCCCGATGCCTGGCCTTCGTGTCTCGACGGCATTGTCGCCAGCGGGGTGCGCGTCGTCGACCTTGATGGTGACGACGTCGCTAGGGTGAGGGCCCGGGCAAGCAGCTAGGAACACTGCGCTATGCCGCACTCGCTGCTGAGCAGACGAGAACAGCCAACGTCGTGGCTTCTACGACCGAAGATTAAACATGACCATGGGGAAGAAGGCATATCGGAAAAGTATATAGGCATGCTCGACTCTACCCAGCGGCCGTGCGTCGCTCCGATTATCTATGCGCCCCGAACCCCCGTCGATTACTATGGCCGACCGACTGACCCCATTCTGATCGAGTTAATCCACGCAATTATACGATGCCCTCTTGCTTCCTGTCTTGTCTCTTTTCTGCTCTCCATCGATCGCCTTTCCTCGTTTGACCTTGATGCAGTTGGCATATGCTTGATGCCCAGCATTCAAGGTTACGTCACAGGTGCGGGTAGTGCCCAAATACCACCGACGCATCTACAACAACGACAACACCCGAGGGAGAGAAGGAAGTGGAGGAGAGGATAGAGAGGATAAACCTATCAGTAAAATCGTGGCGGATACCGTAGTATGCAGTGCACCAGCTCACATATCCAGGTCAATTCCGGCCGCGGCATCCGCAGCTCCGGCTTTAGAGGTGGGAATATGGGGGACCCACAGCCCATCAGGTTTACCGTATCAATGACGGCTATGACGGAGTAGAATACACCAAAGCAGCAGGCCAGCTCAGCTGCGTAGCTGAGCCGCGGCATCGATAGACGGCTTCGGCGGGAGCGTAAAACGTCACTCCTGCTCTGCACTTACTTTACGTCGTATAGCACTTGCGCGATCGCAATCGGAACCTGCGTCTCTTCGTACTCTGAATCCCTCAGCCAACGTAACAATTATTTCTGTCCTTTTGTGTATCCCTTCCCCGCTTTCTCTACCAGTTTATAGTCATCTTCATCATCGTCATCTACTAGACTGCAAATATGGCCAAGGAAAACGAGCTTCCTACATTTACCTTGAGCGATTATGCCAAGTTTTTCGGTGCGGGGGCCCTGGCTGCGACGTCTACGCACGGAGTATGTTTACATCCCATCCCAGACTCTCTTTGGGGCAGCAGCGTCGTCGCTCCAAGGCAAGAAGAACACGATTGTACTGACGATTGTTTGATCGATAGGCGGCCACCCCAATCGATGTGGTCAAGACAAGAATCCAGGTAGACGACTCGCTCAGAGGCTACAACATGATCCGAGCGGGCCGCAGCATCGTGGCCAAGGAGGGTGCGTCGGCTCTGCTGACGGGCTTCGGCCCCACGGCGGTGGGGTATCTGGTGCAGGGCGGTGCCAAGTTCGCCGGGTACGAGTTCTTCAAGAAGGCCTTGATCGGCGCGGCGGGGGGACCAGACGCGGCCGTGTCGAGCCGGACGGCAATCTACCTCTCGTCCAGCGCGGCGGCCGAGTTCCTGGCCGACATCCTTCTGTGCCCGCTCGAGGCGACGCGCATCCGGCTCGTGTCGCAGCGGGGGTACGCTTCCGGCCTGGCGACGGGCTTCGCTCGCATGGCGCGCGAGGAGGGCTTCCGCGGCTTCTACTCAGGCTTCGTGCCCCTCCTGTTCAAGCAGGTGCCCTTCGCCGTCGGCCAGTTCTCCACCCACGAGGCCGTCAACGAGTTGATATACCGCACGATCGGGAACGAGCGCAAGGCTCGCCTGACCGGTCTCGAGTCGACCGCTGTCGAGCTCACCTCGGGTCTGGCCGCCGGTGCCGCCGCCGCCGTGCTGTCCCACCCGGCCGACACGCTCCTGTCCGCCGTCAACAAGGGCGCCGGCGACTCCTCCCAGGGCGCCACTAACCGCATGTTCCAGCTCGCGAGGGAGTTTGGCCCCCGGAGACTGCTGCTCACCGGCCTCGGCCCGCGTCTTGTCATGACCTGTGCTCTCGTCTCCGGTCAGTTCGTCATCTATGCGCAGTGCAAGACCCTCACCGGTGCGCCGCCCGGCATTGAGATTCACAAGGAGGCATCGCTATAGATTTTCTGCATCTTGCTGTCTGCTGGTCACTCGGCCGGTCGCTTTGCCAGTCTGTCCTCTCTGTTTCTCTCACCTGGCGACGCTGGCGTGTTCTTTCTGCTCCGGACAGGGTCATGGTCTCGTACCGTAGTAGGAGTATGCCGGTGATAATTAGACTTGTTTCTACAAATTGTTAGATAATACCGTCTTTGTCCGTTCTCTATATAACGAATATGAGTACGTATGTAGAGCAATTATGCCATTTTTTGTTTTTTTGCATAACGTAGTCTAACACATATATACTCGCTCGTATGGACTTGCCGATGCATGGATGAGCGAATGATTCCCTGATAACCTGGGCGGCTGCGCATGGTTCGTGCGTTCTATTGAACCCTCTCATGTCTGGCCTTTGTCTGATCTTGCACCGGAGTAGCAGGGTCGAGCCAGAGAGAGCGATACTGCATCCCCAGAACTTGTAGAAGATAGAGGACAGTACCTGTTTTAGCTGATGATGCTCATCGATGAAGACCTGGTCGCTGCGTGTGCTGTCATCACCTGCCTCCCGCAGGAACACCAATACATACCCTCAAGGATGGATGGCCTGTCCGTCTCTTATTAATGGGTGCCACCCTTCCTTACATCCCTACCTACACGGACCTGCAGCCTATAGTGGTTTGGCCTCGGAGGCAGATCAGTGGGTTCAGGGGGGATGTCCACTGTAGCAGGTGCGCTGTAACAAACTTACGTATCGTACATGCATGTGTACCTACCTGTACGATATATGTACACTGCGGCCTGGGCAACGCCCCTCGTACGGAGAGCCTAAGCCTCATCATGTGCACCGCCTTGTTAGCGGGGTACATTTTGAGTCACCTGGTTTATAGCAAATGATTATGTCACCCTACAACAACCGCCCTTTGTCTCCCCCCCCCTGGAAGAAAGACTTGATGTCTGCGTGGCCTCGGGGCGACTGTCTTTCTAACCGCATCATCAACCGAAGGGTTATTACTCCCCTAAGCAAAAAAACAAAACAAAAGAAAGACCTCCCTTTTGCATCAATCTATCTGCCCCCCTTGGACTTACTTGGAGCGCAATACTAGGCGCCTTGCTTTACGCCTTTGCTCTGTTTATCTCCCTTTCTCTCGCTCTATAGTAAGTCAGTTCCGTCTGTCTGGCCTTTGTCGATACATCCTTAGGCCGACAACATACGGCATATTACCCAACACCGATTTGTAACATCTCCATTGCCATCGCACGTAACCCACTGACGCGGCTATCCGACCAGGGCCACCTGTTACTCGCCTACCTTCGCCTCCAAGTCCCGGCACCCGCAAACTCTCGATTCGATGTATTGAATATCGGCTGTTTCCCCCTTCTCTCGTCCCAATCCTCTCGCCCTCTGCCATGAAGCATATCTCTCTCCTGGGCCTCCTGGCCTTGTCGACCCTGTCGCAGGCAGCACACGTGCGGAGAGACTATGCTGAAAACGACTACTACGTTATCCAGCTAGAGCAGGGCGTCGACCCGGACCTCATCGCTGAGCGGTTTGGTCTCGAGCATCATGGCCACCTGGGCGATATGACACAGCACCACGTGTTCCGCACGGCAAAGACAGACGACGACCATGTCCACACGATAATGACAGAGCATAGGCGGCGGAGGAAACGTGGCCTTTCATCCGGCCGCGATCTCCTGGACGGTGTGCTCCTGGCTGAGAAGCAGAAGCGCCGGCTTCGCAACCTGCACAAGCGCATCATCCCACCCGTCCCGGCCGCCCTGATCCGTGAGCGGCAGCTTCACGAGGAGCAGGCGAGGTCAGTGCACTCGCAGACAGTCGACTGGGCCGTCAAGAAGCGGGACGCCGTCATGAAGGACCTCGATATCAAGGACCCCATCTTCAAGGAGCAATGGCACCTGTTCAACACGGTCGAGACGGGCCACGACGTCAACGTGACGGACGTGTGGCGCGATGGCGTGACCGGCCAGAATGTCACCATTGCCATTGTCGACGACGGCCTCGACATGGACAGCAACGACCTGCGCGACAACTACTTTGCTGAGGGCTCCTATGACTTCAACGACCACGACCCTTCACCCAAGCCCGAACTGTCCGATGACAAGCACGGCACCCGCTGTGCCGGCGAGGTCAGCGCCGTCCGCAACGATGCCTGCGGCCTCGGTGTCGCCTACGACTCCAAGATTGCCGGTATCCGAATCCTCAGCGGCGAGCTGACCAACGCCGACGAGGCAGAGGCCCTCATATACAAGTCCCAGCACAACAACATATACTCTTGCTCCTGGGGCCCCCCTGACGATGGCCGCCACATGGAGGCCCCCAGCACGCTCATCCGCCAGGCTATACTCCAGGGCGTCCAGCAGGGCCGTGGCGGTAAGGGCTCCGTCTACGTCTTTGCCAGCGGGAACGGTGCCTCTTCGGGCGACAACTGCAACTTTGACGGATACACGAACTCCATCTACAGCATCACTGTCGGTGCTGTTGACCGCGCCGGACAGCACCCTTACTACTCGGAGATGTGCTCCGCCAACCTCGTCGTCACTTACAGTAGTGGTAGCGGTGATTCCATTGTACGTAGTCATTGGCCTAGCAGGACAAAAGCATCAACGTGATCATCTGTTCTCTGAACGTCTAGAGACTGACAAAATGGCAGCACACCACCGACGTCGGTACGAACACTTGCTACAGCGGCCACGGGGGAACATCTGCCGCAGCCCCCCTTGCCGCCGGCATATTTGCCTTGGCCCTCCAGGTCCGCCCGGAGCTCACCTGGCGCGACCTGCAGTACGTTGCCCTGCACTCGGCCGCCCACGTCGACTCGGCCGACGACTGGCAGGAGACGTCTATCGGCAAGCAGTTCAGCCACACTTTTGGCTACGGAAAAGTCGACTCGTACGCCCTCGTCAACCTGGCCCGGGAGTGGGAGCTGGTCAAGCCCCAAGCCTGGTACTTCTCGCCCTGGCAGCACGTCAAGAAGGCCATCCCCGAGGGTGAGGGCGACGACGCCAAGGGCCTCGAGGTGGAGTTTGAGGTCACAAAGGACATGCTCAAGGAAGCCAACCTCGAGCGCCTCGAACACGTCACCGTCACCATGAATGTTGAGCACACCCGCCGCGGCGACATAAGCGTCGACCTTGTCAGCCCGCATAATGTCGTCAGCCACATTGCTACGGCCCGCATGTACGACGAGGAGGCGGCGGGATATGACGATTGGACTTTTATGACGGTCGCTCACTGGTACGTCCTTTTCGTTCCTTTCCCCCTTTGAAACCAAACATTGTACTGACACGAAAGTAGGGGTGAATCGGGCGTTGGCAAGTGGAAGCTCATCATCAAGGACAACAAAGAGAACGAGCACCAGGGCACCTTCGTCGACTGGCACCTGAAGCTCTGGGGCGAGTCGATTGACGCCTCCAAGGCGACTCTCCTGCCCATGCCCCAGGATAGCGACGACGACAATCACGACCAGGATGAGGCTGAGCAGCCGCCCGTGTCCACGGCTACGGTCCCCACCCAGCCCGAACCCACTCAGGGAAAACCCACCCCCACGGAGACGGAACACACGCAGCGACCGACCAAGCCTGCCAGCGGTGGAGACGAGACGAAACCCCAGCCCACCGCCACCGAGGAGGAGGATGAGACAGCCAGCGCGAGCACCTCCGCGGTTGCCACACCGTCCCCCTCTTCATCTTGGATCTCGTGGCTCCCCACGCTAGGCGCATCGTCCGCGGCCCGTCCCTGGGTTTACGCGGCCATCGGGCTCATCGGGGCCTTCTGTATCGGCCTGGGTGTGTACTTCTGGATGGTGCGTCGGCGCCGCCTTCTCAACGACTCTACGGACACGTACGCCTTTGACGTGCTCAACAATGAGGAGGGCGAGGGCCTCAACGGCGGCGAGAAGACGTTTGCTTCCGGCGGAGGAGCAGGCGGCGCAGCCGGACGCTCCCGCCGTACGCGCGGTGGAGAACTGTACGATGCTTTTGCTGCTGCGTCAGAGGACGAGGACGAAGACGACGACTTTGACAGGTATACCGACCGCGAGGCTGGATTGCGGAACAAGCTGCCTGGCGAGAGGGATAGGGAGCAGTATGAGATTGGGGAGGACAGCGATGAGGATGAGGATGAGACTAGACGGTTGAGGTGATTCGGCATAGACTATACTCTTTTTTTTTCTTCTTTTTTTTCTTTTACGGTTGTTGTTTCTTGTCTTTTTTCTTGTTGTCCTGTCGGCTTGTACCTTTCTTCTCTTTCTTGCTCTTCAACGGCGTTTTTTTTCTTTTTCTTTTTCCCATCATCATTTCTCACGTTGGGCAAAATATTTACATGACACATTGATCTTTAACAGCATGATTGTATAAAACAAGAAAAGAATATGCTTCCACAAACACCCATTGCCGTAAGGGGAAAGGTTATTCCAGCGCCGGAGCCGTTGCCTCAAGGCCAATAACAACATCACGATCTCACCCTTTATACAGCCTGATGAGACATTAGATAGAACAAGACGAACAAAGATCATCACAAACGCTGCGGCCCTTCCATTGAGGGGGGCTAATGCACCTATGTGACCGTCTACTATCTACCCACGTTATTGAACGTAACCAACAGAACAAGAAGAAAGGATAAGAAAAAGCTTCATCCTCCGTAAACTGCATTTTCTCTCTCATCTTCTTCTCTTTTCATCTCTTCTCATCTACTCTGCCGACAAAAACAATGTCAGGCGTGTATTACCTTTTGTAGTAGTAGACCGTTTATAAATAGCAGTCAATGATGAGAAAACTATTCGAAACCCCCATTTGCCTACAACGCCTCAAAAAAAAAAAGTAATGATGAAAATAAAAACGCCGATGATACCACACGAGGAAAAAAGAGAAGAGGAACAGAGTTCAATGTCAAGCTTTTAAGTGACAGTTGCGTGAGACCCGCCTTCCATTTGCAGGATATACTTGGACCACAGGTCGACCAAGTCACCATAGAAGCCGATGTGGGCGTCAGCCAGTCCGCCGAGCTGAGTCTTGAACTCGATGCGCTTGATGCGTTCGAAATCGTCCACCTCGTGCACCACCTCCTCGTCAAAGAGGTCCGATGTGGCGCGGGCGCGCTCGACCTCGGCCGTCAGCTCGTCGACACGGAGCTCGAGCTTGCGGGCCCTCTCGCGACGGGACTGCTCGTGGTCTACGCCCCTCACGTCCTCGAACTTGTTGCGCAGGTAGCCGCCCGCGCCGCTGACGCCAGTGCCGGCGTAGCCGCCGTGGCCGGCGTGCTGAGCCTGGAGGGCGTCGCGCTCGGCCGTAGACTTGGCTAGGTACTCTGACAGCTGCTCGTGGTCGAGCTGCTTCTGCTCGCGGGCCTTGAGGAGCTGGCGCAGGCTGAGGGAGTAGGCCTGCATGTCGCGCAGGGAGCCGAGGTAGTCCTGGTCGGTGACGTCATGGAGCCGGCGGAGGCCTGAGGCGGCGTCCTCGACCGAGAAGGCGAAAGCGCGCACGGCCGGCTCCACGCCCGGCTCGAGGGCCATGAGCCGCTGGAACTGTTCGGCCAGGTCGCGCATGTCCGTCTCGAGGTCCGACTCGCGCCTGGCCACGCGCGACACCACCTTTTCGATGTGCGCCAGGTCCTCATCCAGCTTGTCGCTCTTGTCCTTGACGTCCAGGAACCGCCGGTCCGGCCGGTTGACCTTTGTGAATGCGTTGATGAAGGTGTCGGCGAAGTTATCGAAGACGCCAGAAGGGCCGCCACCCTGGCCGCCTCCCCCGCCGCCGCCCCCGCCGCCGCTCCCGACCCCCATGTCGCCCCCGCCGTTGCTGTGCCGGGCCAGCTGGCTGCGCATCGTGGCGTTCCAGTCCGGGCTCTCCAAGAAGCTGTGCAGGATGGGCGCGCGGCGCAGCGTGGGGTGCAGCGACAGCCGCGTCAGGAATCGCTGCAGCGAGTGAGCCCGCCGCGACGTGAAGTCGCTGCCGAACCGGTCGCCCCGCACGTACTCCATGCGCTGCTTGTCCGGGATCGGCGGCACCGCGGTCGCAGGGAAGTCGCGCGTCAGCTGCTTGTATAGGAAGACAAAGTCAGTGAAGCGGCGGCGGACCGATGTGTGCTCTCGCTGAAAGGACTGGAAGGTCGACTGTGAGGAGATCGCAACGCAAGTTAGCCTTGTTTTCTTTTTTTGTTGTTCTTTTTCTAATTACGCTTCCGGGTATGATGAAAGGGCGGGAAAAGAGGATCAGAGAAAAAGAAGAAGGCCATACGCTCGTGGTAATCAGGTACGACACAAAGGCGTCCTTGGTCCCGTCATTCTCCTTGATGGGCGTGTCGACCGTACACTCCAAACGCTCGCTCCCCAGGCGGTGCGTATCGGCCCCTGCCGTATTGGACTCGGCATTGAATCCAAGTCCTGCGTCGTCCGTGACGTGGCCGCCGCCGGCCGATTCGCCTTCCTGGGCGTGCTCGCTCCACGAGACGTTGGAGAAGTTGTCTTGATCTGAAGTCACCGCCATGATGACGTCGGAGACGGTCGATGGGACTGTCTGGGTCCTTCCTCTTGGTTTTCTCGTCTGGGAGGGCTTTCTTTCTCCTTCTATTCTTTCTTTTTTTGGTTTCCTGTCCTTCTATGTAGTTTTGTTCTTCGGCGGTAACCTTTTTCGTTGATGTATTCTCGTGCAAAGGTCGTCAGATATACGCTGGCAAACACTGTACTGTCGTCCGTGCTCTGATCAAGAGCTCCGTCTGAGGGGCAGGAGGAGGCTGGAGACAATACGTAAGGCCGAGGCGATGCTGACGTGGGGTCGTTGCCGTTTTCAGGTTAGCCTCGTTTGAGGTGCGACAGTCCCTGTGATGAGTCATGAAAGTCCCTGATTCATTCATTATGCCCTTCATATCATCATACCAGACCAAACGACTAGTAGAGTTAACAAAGGTGTAGTGTATTTTTCCTGCGTCTATTCCCATGGTCCTTTCTTTTTTAGTTCGGGTTTCTCTTTTCTTTTTTTTTTCTTTTTTTTTTTTTTTGCTGCTGTACATATAAACTAGGCCTCGCTTTTTCTTGATTTTCTTACATGCTACAGTATTATAACACCTGGCTTCCCCCTTTAAACACCACCCCTCTCCTCATAACAGCTGAGCGGTGTAAAAAAAAAAATAGTCAGACAAATGTTTTGAAGCGAATGAATGTGTTAGTTTGCAGAGACTAGGAAGACAGAAAAAGGGAACCCCCTCGTCTCTGCCCCCTTTAGTTCTTCTTCTCCTCCGACGCCGACTGCTGCTTCTGCTCACTGCCCTCCGTCGGGACAGCAGCCTTCTGCTCTTCGCGCTCGGCGGCAGCCATGTCCCTCTCAGCAGTCACCATCTCGCCAGCCTGACCCTTCTCAAGGGGCTCGGCAGCGGCAGCAGCCTCGCGCTCCTCGCGCTCCTCCTTCTCGTCAATGTCCTCGGTATCCCGGGGCGTGGCGAGACCGGTGTTCTGGCTCTCCTGGTTCTGCTCATTCTCGTCGTCAATGAGGCCCTCCTGCTCCCTGATGACCTCGAGACGCTGCTTGTTGGTGGCGGCGCCCTCAGCGTGATGGACCTCGAGCTCGATCTCGTGGTAGAGCTCCTCGGGGATGGAAGACAGGACTCCGATGAGGGCGTCGATCTGGCTGTGGCCCTCGCTGCCCTGGTCCTGGTTGTACATGTAGGCGTTGCTGAGCACGAGGAGCGTCGAGGGGACGTTGTCCTTGAGACGGAGGTTCAGCCACGTTTGCAGGTCTGCGCGCATGCGAGCGGGCGAGACGCTGTGGGTACGGATGCCGCGGGCGGCGCAGGCGGTCTGCAGCTCAGCGACCGTCAGGCTCTCGACGCCTTCGAAGCTGATGGCCTTGTCGTCACGCTTGATCTGGCGCATGCGATGGCGGATCTGGTAACGGAGCATCATGTCGGTGCCAAAAGTGTTGAGGTTCATGTAGCGGCACATGGACACGAGCTGAGGGCGCGAAAGGTTGTCGAGAGTCAGGTCGTCGCGGAACACCTTGCACACCTTGATGACATCCTGGGCCGTCGGGGCCTCGCCGGTCGAGCGGACCTTGCGGAAGAAGTTGGCAAACTCCTCCCTCTGGGCCGTGGTGGGACTGAGTGGCAGGCCGGTCTCCTTGAACGTCTCCCTCAGGAAGGTGCTGACTTCCTTGCGGGTGGAGCGGAGCAGCTTGGCCTTGGCGTCCTTGGACTTTTGAGCCTCAAACGTGCTGGGCAGCATGTTGGGGAAGAGCTTGAGGGCGAGGGGCAGTAGGGCCTCACCAAGGGGAACGATGATGAAGACTGAGAAGGGCACTAGACGACCCAGATCCTGGACAGTCCTGTGCAGCTGCTTGTTCTCCCTCCTCGTCAGCTCGTAACCGGCAGCCATCTTGAGTGCCAGGCGCCAGCTGATGCGTATCTCAGCGGCGAGCAGCTTGGTGCCATCCCAGTAATGGTGAGCCTCCTTCTTGACCTTTTGCCAGACTGTGAGCTTCTTCTCCTCCTTTTCCTTCTTGGTCACCTCTGACTTTTCAGCCACCACAATCTTCTTGGCTTCAAGCTCCGACATCTTAACCTCCTCTAGCGTGGTAGGACCGCGACCCGTCACGGCTGCATCCTTGATTATCGATGACGTTGCCGAATCATTGTGGGGAAGCGGCTTCTTAGCCTGCTCCGCGTTAAATCCGGGAGGCGGGAGCGACGAGCCATTAGAACGTTGCTGCTCGGTGCTCAGGTGACGGCGGGGGATCAAGAGTGCGAGGGCAGGCGACTGCGACTGGCGGCTGACATGGCGGGCTAGCAGGGCGGGAGACACCCCCCTGGAGAACTGACGGGCTGTAGGACGAGGTCAGAATCACGGCATTCAATCTTCGATTCGGTTCAGAAGATGCGCGAGGGCGAGGGGGAGGGGGGGAAGGAAGAGGAAGATGAGCATACCACTGCCGAGCAAGGGGTTGCGCAACGCAGCCCTTCTAGCAACCGTAGATGAGGCGCTCATGACACAGGAGAGACGGAAAACAGGAGTCGTTGACAGCGAGAGAAATCGGGTCGGTATGGGATTTGATGGCGGCAAAGGAGCGTTAGCGAGGTGAGTGGCGATTTGATGGAGGAAGAGAGGAAAAAGTCAGAAGAGCCGAGTTGAGGGAGCCGACGTCACGGAGTATCAGGGTGCCGTGGCTTTAGTTGCAGCATTAATCAGAATTGTCTGGAACTTGGCTTCGGCTCGGACGGCGGGTGGATCGTGGCGCGACCTGCGCCAGTCAGCCGAATTTGTTGGCACGGAACAGCGCACCGAAAACTCACAGTGGAGTCTGGACACTCTCCTCGAATCACCCCCAACGGAGATGTCCACTGCTAGTCCACTGCTAGGCTCTAGCCCGCTGCCAGCTTGTCGGCCCACCCACCCCCCCACGGAGGGCACGGAGATAAGGAGTAACGAATAATCCGAGAATGATGATGTGGTCAGCAGAAATGTTACTCAGCAGGAACAAGTTTTATGCATCACGTGAAAGTCTCGCAGGTACGTTCAAACACTAAACCGTTTCCGGTATGGAGGGGACCCCCCCTGCACCGCCGAACTTTTTTATATCACAGAAAAAATGTGTGGATGAGATTTACACGCCTCTTCTTCCACGGTTGGTTCAACCGTCGGAACAAGAGAGTCACCGCCATCATGAAGTACGTGCTAGTATCTGGAGGTGAGTACTTATCGATGCATCCTGCCCACATTGCAGACGACATGTAGTCTGCTGTCCCTCTTTGGGGGGAAACGAAGAAAAGTAAGAAGAAAAAAACCGAATGCATTCTCACACGACACGCAGGTGTCATTTCGGGCGTGGGCAAGGGCATCATTGCCTCGAGCACTGGCCTCCTGCTCAAGAGCATGGGGTACACCGTCACCATGCTCAAGATTGACCCGTACCTCAACATTGACGCCGGAACCATGAACCCCGTTGAGCACGGCGAGGTGTACGTGCTCGATGATGGCGGTGAGGTCGACCTGGACCTGGGCAACTACGAGCGATACCTGCTATCGACACTCACCAGGGAGAACAACATCACGACGGGAAAGATCTACCAAAAGGTCATTGAGAGTGAGCGTCGCGGTGACTATCTCGGCAAGACGGTCCAGGTCGTCCCTCACGTCACCAACGCCATCCAAGAGTGGGTTGAGCGTGTCGCCCGCATCCCTGTCGACAAGTCGCAGGCGCAACCCGACGTCTGTGTCATCGAGCTGGGTGAGTTTCCGTCCTTTGGGGGAAGGTGAACAGGCCTTGCCCCTCTAACCATTCTCTAGGCGGTACCGTCGGCGACATTGAGAGTGCGCCGTTCGTTCACGCCATGAGCCAGCTGCAGAGGCGGGCCGGCAAGGGCAATTTTCTACAGATTCACGTTTCCTATGTTCCCGTCATCCCGTAAGTTGTCTCCCGATCTGTTTCCCATGTCCTTCCCAATGGCTGTCTCTCTTCTCTCTTCCCCCTCTCCCTGCCCAGCAAGAGAAGGGAGGAGAGGAGAGAAGCACGGGGCAGAATCAGAAAGAGGACAGCAAGACTCATTCATCTAGTCCCGGGCCCAAGGGCGAGCAGAAGACGAAGCCGACGCAGAGGGCCGTGAGCGACGTTCGTAGTGCGGGTCTACACCCGGACCTGATTGCGTGCCGATGCGAGCGCCCGCTGGAGCCGGCAATCATCGACAAGGTGGCCAACATGTGCCAGGTGGAGAACAAGCAGGTGATTGCGGTGCACGACGTGTCGACGACATACCACGTCCCCCTCCTGCTAGAGCAGCAGGGCATGGCCAAGACGGTGGCGGACCTTCTCCAGCTCGAGGGGCTTCCCACGTCGGTCGAGCTCCGTAGCAAAGGCCAGTCGATGTGGAAGGAGTGGGTGGGCCTCGCGACGGGCCAGGACTTCATCTCGGAGACGGTGACGATCGCCCTGGTCGGCAAGTACACGACGCAGCCGGACGCGTACATAAGTGTGCAGAAGTCGCTGGAGCACGCGGCACTGCACTGCAAGAAGAAGCTCAACGTCATCTGGGTGGAGTCTGGCAACCTGGAGGACTCGACGCAGCAGGAGGACCCGGCCGAGTTCCACAAGGCGTGGCACGCCGTGTGCACGGCCGACGGCATCCTGGTCCCCGGCGGATTTGGGCTGCGCGGCACCGAGGGCATGATCAAGGCCATCACGTGGGCGCGCACCAAGAAGGTGCCCTTCCTGGGCGTCTGCCTGGGCATGCAGCTCGCCGTGGTCGAGTACGCGCGCAACGTGTGCGGCCTGTCGGGCGCGGGCAGCGAGGAGCTGCAGCCGCAGTGCGAGGACCTGGTCATCATCTACATGCCCGAGGTGGACAAGGGCAAGCTCGGCGGCACCATGCGGCTGGGCAAGCACCCGTCCGTCTTCCAGCCGGGGACCGAGTGGTCCAAGCTGCGCAAGCTGTACGGGTCGGCGTCGGAGATTTACGAGCGCCACCGTCACCGCTACGAGGTCAACCCGGCGCTCATCGGCCGGCTGGAGGAGGGCGGCCTCAACTTTGTCGGAAAGGACAGCAAGGGCGAGCGCATGGAGATTATCGAGATCGAAGACCACCCTTGGTTCGTCGGTGTCCAGTTCCACCCCGAATACCTCAGCCGCGTGCTCGACCCGAGCAGGACTTACCTCGGCTTCTTTGCCGCTGCTGCCAAGTGCCTTGACAAGATTACCGAGTACAGCGCTACTCTGAACTAAGGGTTTCTTGCTCTGTTTCTGATTTTTTTTTCTTTCTCTTTTTTTCTCTTTTTTTTCTCTCTTTTTTTTCTTTCACACTTGTCCCCCTCTTCTCTCCCCTCTCTGGCTGTATCATCCGCACAGGTAGAGAAGTCGATTGAACAAGGGGGGGGGCTAGAGTGTTTTTTTCCTGGATAGACAAGGGCATGGATTAAATTTTTTTGGAAAAAAAAATAAAAAGAAAAAAGGTCAAGGGTCAAGGATCATGGGGGTTGGGGAAGGGGGGGCGGGGGAGTATCAAGGAGAGAATTGTATTACTCGTAAATGGAGTTGCTTCTTTATAATGAAATGGCATATGCAATCGGACACGGACGTCGAGGTTTTATCATGATGGGATGTTGTTGAATCTCTCTTTTTTAAGGTATCATCTGTGTTGTGTGTATTCCCTCCTCCCTCCCTCTCTCTCTCTCTCATTCTTTCTCTCTCTATCTCTCTCTCTCTCTTTCTCTCTCACACACACACACACATTCTTGGCCCCTTCACCCGATGTAATGATACCTATACAATACAATAACCCCGGACCAAAGGATAATGGGGAGAAATAATAGCTATCCGTACATCATATAAAAGAGTATATATAGCCATTCATCAATCACGAATCACATGGCAGAATACTGTCTCACGTCTTCTTATTAGCGTCTACCCCCTCCTCAACACTCCCGTCTCGACTCTCAACAAGTTCCTGTGACCCGAACGAGGCCAGACAAAGGCACCAAGCCAACCCCGCCTTTTTGTGCATGTATCATGATGTATTCTCCTCTCTGTCATCTCCACTTTCTCGCAAAGCCGTTCCGGTCCCTTGCCTTGGTCCATCCATCTCTACGCTATTTACGGATTCACCACTAAGAGATACAATATTACCTATGAGGCTGTTACTACTGATGCAAGTAAATATGAGTAATACTATTTATTACTCCCCCGTAGATTCATGGGACAATTATTAATTGCGCCAGCTCCGCCCATTTTTCTATCGTTGACGTCTTCTCTCTCTCTTTCCTCTCCTCCTCCTCTTCCTCCTCCTCCTTCTCCATCAATTGACACGTGAAGCAAAGCCTCCCCTCCCTCGGCTCAACCTTGCTGACCTTGTCCATCTCCTACTATCAATAATATCGCCTTGTTCTTCCCTACGATCCTTGTATTAATTTCTCCATCACTTTTTCTTTTCTCTACGCATCTCCATCGACTCCCTTTTTCTTATAAAAAAATTATCATCATATGAGTATGATATGACATGATACCTAATCTACCAACTTGGAAAAAAAAAAGAAGAAAAAAGATTAGCTATCCGTTATCGGAAATCAAGCATAACAACAGAGGAAAAAGAAAAATCCTGCCCCTCCCCCCAACCCCTCCTCCCCCCTCTAGACTTCTAGACTCGAGGGAATACACACACCTACAACACACAACACACACATACACCTTGATAGAGAGACTCGATAGAGAGACGACACAGCAATGGAACTCTCGCGAGCTGCGCGCGTCATCCTCATCGGCGCCCCGGGCGTGGGCAAGGGAACCCAGACGGAACGACTCCTCCAACGCTTCCCGCAGCTATCCGCCATCAGCACGGGTGACCTTCTCCGGAGCAATGTCAAGCGCCGTACCCCGCTGGGCATCCAGGCCGAGGGCATCATCAAGAGCGGCGGGCTGGTGGCAGACGACATGATGCTGCGACTTCTGACCGACGAGCTGCGATCGCGCGGGTGGCTCTCGTCTGACCCTCACTCCCGCTCCCACTCCCATCCCCATTCCCTTCCCCCTCATCATCATCATCATCATTCATCTCCATCCTGCTCTTCTCTACGCAGCAGCAGCAGCAGCAGCAGTACCACCCGATCATTCTCATCGTCCCCGAACCTCTCCTCGACCGTACAGACCAGCAACTTCTCGTCGGGAGCAGCCTCATCGACGTCGGCGACCCTCTCGTCCGGCCCCTCATCCTCCTTCATCCTAGACGGCTACCCCCGCACCGCCACCCAGGCCTCCGCCCTCGACTCCATCATCCCCATCAACCTCGCCGTCTCTCTCAAGACCCCCGACTCCGTCATCCTCGAGCGCATCGCCGGACGCTGGGTCCACGAGCCCTCCGGCCGCGTCTACAACACGTCCTTCAACGCGCCCCGCGTCCCGGGCGTCGACGACGTCACCGGCGAGCCCCTCGTCCAGAGGGCCGACGACAGCCTGGACGTCTACGCCGCCCGCCTCGACAAGTTTCGTCAGACGAGCCTGCCCATCCTCGAGCACTACGACCGCAAGGGCGTCCTGCTAGAGGTCGACGGTCTTTCCAGTGACGACATCTCCCCCAAGCTGTTTGCCGCCTTTGAGAAGCGCTTCTGCTAATGTCCAACCCGTCCCTTTTTTTTCCCTCTCTCTCTCTTCTTCTTTTCTTCTTTCTCTTCTTTTTTCTCTATACTTGGAACATGTTATGATCATCGCTGTCTCTACAATATTTGACCGTTCCGCCTATATATGACTTCTTGGCGTTCTTTGGGATGGGAGGGATGTACGGCCATGGAGTTGGTCTGTTCGGGAGAGAAACTTGACTTTCATCGTTTCCTGTATCAACTGTACATATCATGTCGCATGGCAAATGTGAGAAACAGCATGTATAGTCGGCTGGGCTCTTTTTTTTTTTTTTTTGCTTTTACTATTGTTTATAAAGTCTGTCCGATATCCGCTTAAATCAAATTGTCCGTGGCACACATGTCCTCGCCTTCACTTGTTCCCCTAATTTCTGAATGATAATCGTGATAATTGTGTTTGCATACCTTGCTGCATCCATTCTCTAGCATCTTCACACATACACATCCTACATATGGCACCGGCTATCCTCTAATCGTCCCACTCGTTGTTGCGTACCCCGCTCGACGCAGCGGCATTCTGGTCGCGGTACCGGTCGCCGCTGTCGTCGTCGTCGTCTTCGTCAATCATGGCACGCGCCAGCTCATCCGGATCCTTCATGCGAGCGTCAGGGTCGACGGGACCGGTGATGCCCTCGCTCTGGTCCTCGTGCTCATGGTCAAGCACACCGTCGTCCGCGCTGATGGAGATGCCACGCGCACCCCATTTGGGGCGACTGCCGCCGCGGGCATGGCCGCCACCATTGCCCAGGGCAGGTCCGCTCTCCTCGTCGTCATCGCCGTGGAACTGCGGGGCGATACGGCCGAAGATGGGACGGAGGAACCAGCTGCGGCGCAGGTCGTCGGCGTCGACGACGCCGCCACCCCTGAGCTTGACACGCTGGCGAGTGTAGTAGACCCAGGCAAAGTCGACGTAGAGGGCCGTCTGGACGATGCCGAAGATGACAGACGTCTTGCTGAGGCCGTGATCGTCCTTGTCGAGGCCGCGGACGATCCAGTTGAGGCAGTAGAGGGCACGGTAGGAGCCCAGGGTGAGGAGGTAGAAGGAGTCGATCACGGTGGGGACCGTGGTCTGGCGCAGGAGAAGCAGCTGGGGCAGGACGCAGACGGATTCGAGTATCTCGGAAAACACCCAGAGCCACTGCAAGTTGCATGTTTTTGGTCGTTTTAGTTCCAGTCTCATCATCGATGGGCAGCGATAGTACTCACGTGGATGAAGCCCCAGTAAGCACGCTTCTCGAGAGCGAGCATGACGAAGGGTGACAGGACCAGGGAGCCGCCGAGAATGATGGCGCCCAGCTTCCATGCAAACTCACGCTCGCGTGTCCGGGGAAACAGCCACTGCATGGCACCGAGAATATAAAACGACGAGGTAATGTAGAAGACCTTGAAGATGATGTTCCATGTCGGCTCGTGCTTGCTGCTGTCAAACAGGTCGAGGTAGCGCGTACAGAAGACGCCGGCGTAGAGCATCTGCGTGATGAGGGACACGCCCTCGGCACTGCGATTGCGGTGGATCGACAGGATCAGGATGAGCTTGGAGAGGAAGTGGGAGATGTCTCCCGTGATTCGGAATATCTGCAAACATGTCGGTGAGCTTTTGGGAAGGGAGGGCTTGCCCTCAAACGAGAGAGGGGGGGGTATAAGGACGGCTTCCTAAAACGTACGTTCCACATGGTGGGCCGAGGAGGAGGCGAGATCAACACGCTCGCTCACTGTGACCAAGAATGAGAGAAAGACGACTGGAGGGGGTGGGGGAGAGGTTATCCCTAAGGAAGGGGTGATCCGGGGTCCCGAGATGCCGAGTGGCACTTTGCGATGGAGTCCTCCTCGGTCTAAAGTTGGAGGTCGATGAGGTTGTAAGGAGACAAGATCCGGGCCGAGATGCTGCCTCAGGTGGAATAAGGTGGTGGTGACGTGGATGGAACAGTAGCTTGCGTCAGTACCAGAGTCCACTAGGTCTGGGACTCTGGGCTCTGTCATATGGCACTGGGGTCTAGCCTCTACGAGTAGGCTCTAGGTCATCTAGCGTCCATCTCTTAGCGCCTGAGCGTCCGGCGTAGCAGCCTAGTAGCGGGCCAGTGTCGACTGTAGCCCGTACATGTTACCAATACTCCGTAGTCTGTGCCAAGCGGTTGGCGCAGACCGGGGTGACGAACCCCTTCCAGGTACGGCCCTACTAACTGATACAGTCAGTCTAATCTGTACAGGTATCATAATGCAGCTATAGCCTAAAGGCCCTGCTAGTATCATCATTACCCTACACGGGCAACTTTGTGCTTCCTGCCAGCGACAGCACACGATGACCCGTAGACGTGAAAGCAGTAGTCTCTGCCTACTGGGACGTCCTGGATCTATGAGCAAGTGTCCCGGTGCTTGCTTCTTCAGAAGAAGAGGAAATCTATCTACGAGGTTATCTACAGATGTGAATGTGGCAGCAGCAGCCAGAGGCTGCTTAGTCATGCATTCTTGGCTGCCACAACCTTCTACGGAGTGATACATGTAGTATAAGCGTCGTAGGTATACGATTACTCATTATCACACCCGTGAACACGCTTGAGTAAGATTCTGCTGGTAGTAGTAACTCGATAATACCCACTCGTCACTACCTCAGGAGATGAAATACTATGATCGTTGTGCTGATCTCTGATAGAATTACGCAGAGGTATCCACTACGATGCTTCTGCACTGTTCCCTAGACTAGTAATAATACTTCATGCTTGTTATAGCAAACATGAAAGCTTCCTCCATATGAGTATACTCAGACAGAAGACCTTCTATCGTCAAGGACCTACTATTCGCTCCTCTTGTGAGGGGCCTCTATTGTACCGACCATCCACCCTTCAACACTGACAGCCTCCTCCTCGGTAGCCTCGTCCTCGACAGCCTTATCCTTAACTCTAACTTCCTCAACGTTCCTCTTGCGGAGGTCTCTACCGTACCAGTCATTCCACCCATGGAGGCGAGAGCCATGACTAGGGGCACAGTGTATTGGGAACACATGTTGGCGAGCAATAAGAAAAAAGTAGATTGTGGATTGCAGATTGGCGTCTGGAGGAAAATACTCGAGTGGCAGGATGATTTGTACAGATTACTTGGTTCAGATTTGACACGCCAACCTCATCCGACTCTCTTCTCTCTCTTCTTTGGCAATGAAATTTTCTGTAATGGGTATCACACGGGTTTCCCGTTGAGGTATCATCTGTGAGTTCCACGTGCCATTGCTCTCTGTACACACACAGCCCCCTTTGTTAGATGGAAAACCTCCCATGTTGCGTTCCCGTCTTGCTACCTAACACGTTCTGCATCCCCTCGACACCCTTTCCCAAGCTCTGACCCTTTCTCATGACAATGCTTGGAACGCAAAGCAGAGAGGCCTCCGAATGTAAGCTTCCCATTGGCGGTGCTCTGTGGACAGCAGCAAGCAATATTTCCCATACAGCCGTATAAGCAGGTGGTCAAGACAAGTACCTATGAGAGACTCTTAGAAGAACAAGGGTTGCCGGACTCTCTAGAGATCAGAGAAGCGTAGATATTGTTAAACTTAGACGTGGGTATTCTGGAATGACTGCGACGCTTGACCGTCTCTCTCACACAGTCTTGTCCACGGCGTCTCTGTGCTTCTTGATCCTGACATTGGTTTGGTCCCGCACGTAGACGGCGGCACCACTCTCCGACGTATTTCCTTCTCCTGTAAGCAGTGTGGTTTCCTCCGAATCGCAAGCCATCTCTTTGGGTAAGCACCTTTCCACCGTCGTGAGGGCCCATCCGGACTGGAACGTCCCGTCCGATGCCCTGATGGACTGGCAGGATGAGCACTGCGTGCAATCCATCAACAGCTACATGTGGCGCGTCCTGCACGTTTCTGACGGGACTGTCCCTGGGCCGTCGCCCGTGCTGTATGAGAAGGTGCAAGGGGGGGGGGACGGATTGCTTTAAGGGGTGTACCGCGTAGGGATTTAGCAAATCACAAGTCCGGCTTTTCAACTGGTAGGCAATCTTCAAATCAGAAGTCAAGGGAGCATTAAATAAAGAAGAACCGTCGTTGCCAAGGGTATCTAAGTCTAACTCATCATGGATGGTGGAAGATTTCCAATCCAAAATATCAAAAAGCAAAGAGAGAGATGATGAAGAATGAAAAGACAAAGAGGGTTTTTGGAGAAGAAAAAGAGAGAGAGAAATCTTCCTCTCTCCTTAAAAGAGCACAATGGCACCGACAGCCAAAGCAGCGGCAGGCCACACGCCAATGGCCGAGGCCAGTCTGGCAGCCGCATTGGTGAGGTACTCCTCGTAGTCGTCCTCGTCGTCGGACTTGAGGGTGGTACCGTTGGGCAGAGTGCCGTTTACGACGATGATGTCCTTTCCGTCGCGCTTGGTGACGTTGACGAGCGTCTTGTTGAGCTTGGAGTAGTCACCGTCGCCGACGAGCTCGTCCCAGAACTCGTCGTCGTCGATCTCGTCGCACATGCACACGCTGTACTGGGCGCACGAGCACTCGATCTGGCGGTCCTCGTCGCGGTTCGAGGTCCGGTTGTGGTACCCGTAGTGGTAGCCATAGGGCCCGTAGACGAAGACCGGGGTCAGCCAGAGACCGGGCCAGTAGGTCATGCCGGCAGGGGACACGGGACCGCGGGGCTGCACGCCGCTCGGCGTCGCCTTGCCGGCCGTGTATGGCACCTTGGCGCCTCCGCCGTAGTAGGCGCCGCCCAGGAAGGTCGGCTGCGGCCCGCTGCCGGGTCGCGAGTACCCCCCTGCGTTGGACGTGCTCTTGGTGTTGTAGTAGTTGCTGCCTGTCGTGTTAGCCCAGCCGCGCCTACCGTCGAGCGACGCTTCACTCCGGCTCGCTGCCATGGCCAAGTTATGGCCGGCGCCATCGTCCGTCTTCGAAGGGGATCGATGTGGTCGACGTTACCTGACACTGTTGGAGCGGCTGCTGCCGCTGCCGCTCTTGCTGCTGCTGCTGCTGCCGCTCTTGCTGCTACTGCTGCCGCCGCGGGAGCCGCTACCGCCTCCACCGCGACGCTTCCATACTCTGTCGGACTGGTCGTCTTCGGACTGCTGCCCGGCATCGTCGAGCTGTGTGTCGTGGTCCAGTTTGGCGGCACGTGTGTGTATCGGTATGGGTATGTTGACATCGGCAGCCCGCATGATTTCTCGCAATGTGGGGTCGATGTCGTTGCGAGCAGCTGGGCGGATGGCGCTGGCCGATACGCCCCCCAGGAGGAGAGACGCGGCGAGCGCTGGTCCGAATCTCATGATAAAAGAAACTCTTTTGTATATGTGTGCTGTTGTTGCTTGTCCTTGTTGCCCGATGCCAAGTCTGTGCGTTGTGGTTGTGGGGCGGATCTAAGAGGTGGGTTGTGGGAGAAGTGCGCAGCTTCCTTTGCTTTTTTTTCCTCTTGCTCAATCGACAATGAGACCCCAAAATCTGTCACTTTGAGCATTTAAGCAGGGATTTGAGGGGAATGAATGATGTAGTGGAGAAAAGTTGAGGAGAGGGATGCCGGCCATTTAATAAGAGTGCATGTTAAAAGGACGTCAGGTTTAATATTGGGTTATTGTTCAATCAAGCTCTGACTTTTCGACAGGGGGGGGTAAGAGGGCGCGCTTTATGGGAGCATCAATACTCGTATTACGCCGTAGTATTTCTGCATGATAATGACATTTCCCGCGTACAAGTGGCACATGTAATACAGATAGTAATAAAGTACTGCTAGTATTTGTCTAGGCAGGTGGCTCTCGTACACAAGATAAAGGAACTGAATTCAGTTGTCCCATCCTGTCAGTCGCCGAGATCGGCATCAACAATTCCTTTCATGTCTTCATAGTGCTTTCGACTTTGCCGAACAAGTTACGTCACAGCCATATGATATCATGACTGTCTACTCCAATATTTTATTGGACTGTGGCGGCACAGGAAGTGGCTGATCAGCCGTTCCTATTCTTCTCCTCCTTGAATGTGGGATAATCTAGGGAACTCGGTAGACTGATAATACTAGATGAACAAGTCCCCGTCGATCCCTTCGGTGAGCACTTGGCACGGAAATGAGCTCGTACCGCTTATCACGCTCCGGTTCTCTCACCTATCCCCAGCCGCACCTAGCGCTTATGCATCCCGCTGCTCCCACCCATGATCAGATGACTGGTCGCCACGTTACGGCCTTGGTCGAGGCCCTATTGGGTTGATAATCTGTCAATAAGATTATGGTGAGAGCACGCCTCTCACCACGGGAAGTGGCGGTACATTCGAACTTTTGCGGATGTGCCTAGCGGTGAACCTTGGGCCTTGACAGACCCATGACTCTTCTGGAATAACAGAGCCTGCAGATACAGATATAATTATTATTATATTCCATCCGGCGGTTGGGCACCGTGTGATGATACCTGGGGACTTGGCCGCCGTCCCGGTCTGTCGGCCTTGGAGTACGCCCAGTGGGGGGCGGGGGGAGAGGAACCTGATTAGACCTGGCTCGGTTAGCATACGCTCGGATCATCGGACCGATATTGACAGGTAAAGTCCCTGCATCTCTTCTCTTCATAGACGCCAAATGTGAGAATCAGTGTGATGTGGGGATGGTAATACCTACGTAAATATTTGCCTATGCGACGGGACGATGAATGAAGCTGGCCATGATGACTCGTGATCAATGTAGAGGTGGAAGGAATGGTTCTATAATCGAGATGCCCGCTGTAATATATGCCCCCTAAACCAGAGGCTCCCAGGGGCACTTTACAGCGACATCCACACTGCGGGGAACATGCCCGCCAAGAACGCGACTTCTGGTGACGGGGGGGCGGATGGACCTCATTGATTCTCGAGGTTGGACATTCAACACAGCATCAACCGCATCCTTCTCCTGATTCATTAACAGATGAATCTCCATCATGCCGAACGAGATCGACAAATCCATCCTCGACCGCCTACAGGCCCTCCGGAGTGGCAGTCCATCTGCTTCCCCCCCTCCGACAAGGTACGTCATTTTCTCACCATTCATGGTATGAATTCATGCTACTGTACGAAAGACTACTGGACACTCACATTGGGAAATGGAGAGTCAACATTGACCTCATCCAACGAAATAAGACCCCGACCAGAGAAGACAGCCTAGCTGCACGGCTCAAGTCGCTCCGGATCCAAGACGAGGAAGCCTCCGCGGCATCACCCTCATCCACCAGAGCCCAGCTATCAACGCCCCAGTCTAGTCCAGCGCCAGCATCGGAAATAACCTACGACAAGGATGGCGATGACGTCGATGCCGCATTCCAGACGGATGACCAAACCCTCGAGGAGCTGCTAGGCGACATCGGCGACGGATATGACTTTACCGCGCCCGACGATGACGACAAGGTCAGGGCTCTCCTCGACGAACTGGAGGACTCGATACCCCACGACGACGCGGACAAGGAAAAACATGGCTCCGAATCTGACGACTCTGACGAGGATATCATGAAGCGTGAGATAGACGACGTCATTGCCCGTCTCCGCGACGAGCTACAGGTTCAAGGTGACGATGACCCTCAAGAGCAAGACGCGAACATCACACCATCAGACTCGGCGCTTGACCTACCCTCTGTCCCCGACGCCGCGGCTTCACCGGGCCCCACGTCCATGGACGACATGGCAGCCCGCTTGTCAGCTCTGCGTACATCGTCCCCGCTGGGCGGGGACATGCAGCTCCCCTCTGTGCCCACATCCAGACCGATCAAGGAGCCGAAGCGGCTGAAGTCGCGCAAGGGCTATACAGACGACGACGTCGATTCTTGGTGTACCGTATGTCTGGACGATGCTACGCTGCTGTGTCTGGGCTGTGAGAACGAGGACGAGACCAAAGACGGCGATCCCTATTGTGCCCGGTGCTGGCGCGAGATGCACGTCGGTCCGGCTTCCACCTTCGACGACAGGTCTCATCGTGCTGTTCAGATCAACAGGGCGCGGAAGAAGGATAAGGAGAGGGTGGCACTTAGTGCTTCATAATAATGATGGCAATACCAGTAGCTTTCATTCTCTGTTTAAAAACATTCTTATTGGAGATAACCTTGATTTTCCGTCGTGTACTATTTTCCTAGCCCGACAGAAGGAAAAATAATTCGATGAAAAAAAACAAAAATAACAGACACTGCCGTGCCAGAAACATGCATCTGTCGACAAATGAAAAGACCCCGTGAAAGTTTACCTTTTTTATTATCATAATAAAAATACACAGATGTTAAGTTAAACATCGCTCGATCTCTCGCCACTACCTCGGCTCCCTCGGACGTCTTGCCACGTAGCGCCGAATCGACGTCCTGTCGCCGCAAGAAGGCTTTCTTGCTCGTTCGTCTCAGCATCCTCGTCAATCTCGGCTAGATTGAGTTTGGGCGTGCGGATGACGGCCGTCACGAGAACAATAAAGAATATACCCAAAAAGGCAAATTGCGCCCAAAAGTCAATTACCCCAAACAGAGGCCACGTAACAGTGATGCGGTTGAGGAACGTCGACATGACCGACGGGGTGCACACGTCCTTGGCGGCCGGATGCTTGAGCGCCTCGGAGCAAGGGAGGACCATGTCTTTGTTGTTGGAGCAGTCAGGTTGCGCGCCCGGGTACGCCGGGCCGTTGGTGCAGAAGGTCTGGGTACCGTACATGGCATACTGCGGCGCCATCATGGTGGCCACGGCATAGTTGATGCCCAGAATCATGAGGGCCAGCATAACCGTGGCCATGAGGAGCGCCTGCGGTGCCGTGCGTCCACGGCGCATCTGGAAGACGGTGACCCATAGGAAACGGACGCCCACCGTCGCCACGCCTGCGATCGACCCGCCAAAGAGGAGCAGCACCAGCAGCGCCATGAGGACGTAATCGATAGGAAATGCCTTAGCTGACTGCAGGAAGATCCAGTTGAGCGGCTGGAAGACGTGAAGCTTGCCCAGAATGTACCCGCACTTGTGCTTGCACACCGAGTTGGTCGCCTTGTCGATTCCAGTGATGAGCATCGATACCCAGATGAGGACCGAGAGCAGCACCAACAAAATCCCGCCCAGCAATTTGATGGGCCGAAACACGGCGCACACTTTGAGCCAGCTACGGTGCAACTTGCTGTGTCCCTCTCCCTGCGCCTCGGAAGCCAGTCGTTCCCTTCGGACTAGCGTTTGCTCCTCTCTGACGAGAGCATCCAGCTCCCGGCGCTCCTTGCGAGGCAAGTCACCCTGGCGACCTGCATTGCGCATCTCGATCTGGCGCTGCCTTTCGCGGTTCTGCTCCAGTTGCGACGATGTCGTCTCCTGAAACTTGGGGGCAGAGATAGACGGGGCTGATTTGATAAAGGAGATGGGCAGGAGGGCAAGCCCGGCTGCTGTGTAGAGAGAGTATAGCAGCGTGCCCAGGGTGATGAGCAGGCCCAGCCCGAACGCGAGAGCCTTCTCGCCATGATTCTGGGCGATGAGCTTCCTGTAGTAGTCCAGGTCCCAGTGCCCGTTGTCGGAGTCACCACCAGCGGCCGGGACGAAGAAACCGAGGAGGAAGAGCACGACGACTAGGGCGACAAAGAAGAGGGTGTACTTGGCTGCGGACCAGAGTCTGCTGACCCACGACCGGCCCTCTTCCTCAATCTCGATCTCGTCGTACTCCTCATACCAGAAGTAGGTGAACGGAATGACTATTAGGCAGAGGAGAGCGTCAAACGTGTACAGACAGTAGTATATTATCTTGAGCGTTAGTAGAATGTGGTCGACACGCTCGGGCGTAGCCCAGTCCTTTTTGGCTCCCAGCGTTGAAGAAGCTGTAGCTGATACCAATGCAATATCAACAGGCAGGAGAAGGACTGTTGCGAGGAGAGCTGTCAGACTGAGCGTGGCGACGAAGCTGACGATAGCTGAGCGTTCCCGAGGCGTTTGCCAAGTAAAAGTGGTGATGGTGGCGGCAACGAGACAGAGCGCGGCCGCAACGGCGTACGTCACCCATATGAGACTGGTATGGACGAGCCCGGCATCGGCCATGATGGATGTCGTAGGAGGAGATGCTATGAGAATTGTATTATCTCTAACCCGTTATATGTTATGAAGAGATGAATCGATAGTTTCTTCTGTTGTTAAGGGAAGAAAGTGGATGACGGAGCTTGGCCAAGCGTGTCTGACGCAATACAATTCACAGCTGTTGACGCCTAACCAGTTTCGGTACTAGTTTACTGTGTTAAATATAAGACAATTGGTACAGGGCGAGCAAAATTAGTACACCCCTACTCTCAGCCAAACGCTAGCACCAAGCTCGCGTCTTGCTTTTTGACAGGCCCTCCATTCATCTGCCCATAGCTCTCTTATTCAACAACTTTTTTTTGCAGCCACATACGGAGAACTATTTCTTTAGTCTCGTATTATACGGTGGGATAATGGTCCTGCTGCTGCGATGCAGGCCTACACCGAACTTGCGGCGCCCACTGCCGTCACCCACTCCTTGACGCTGCCTCTGACGTCTGCGATGGCCAACAATCTTGTAGTAGCCAAGGGTTCACTGCTCCAGATATTCACGACCAAGACGATCCCGGCCGAGATTGACACGCAAAGCGACAATGCGACGTCCGGGGACTCTTCGAGTGCCACCAAGACGGGCGACTCGTCCTTTGACCCCCGCGCGAACGATGACGAGGGCCTCGAGTCGTCGTTTCTAGGCGGCGGCGATTCCATGCTGATCGCGCGCGCCGACTGCTCCCCGCATACAAAGCTCGTCCTCGTCGCCGAGATCCCTCTGGCAGGAACAGTCATTGGTCTCGCCCGCATAAAGATTCGCAACACTGCCTCTGGCGGCGACGCCCTGCTATTGGCGTACAAGGCGGCCAAGATGTGCCTGACCGAGTGGGACGCCGAGAAGAAGACACTCGAGACGCTCTCGCTCCACTACTATGAAAAAGACGAGACTGACGTGGCCCCGTGGGAGCTGCCAATCGGCGAATATGTCAATCACCTCGAGGCCGACCCGGGTAGCCGCTGCGCAGCTCTGAAGTTCGGCCCTCGTAGCCTCGCCATCCTCCCGTTCAGGCAGTCCGAGGAGGATCTAGAGATGGACGACTGGGACGAGGACCTCGATGGGCCTAGACCTGTCAAGGAGAACGGAACGGCCGGGGAGAGTGGAGAAGACGGAGGTAGTGTAGGACCTGCTCACGCACCATCATTTGTTGTCTCTCTCCCCATGCTCGACCCCAGTCTGCTTCACCCCGTACATCTTGCCTTTCTGCATGAATACCGGGAACCCACCTTCGGCATTCTGTCTGCCAGTAGACCTCCCTCGGCTACCCTCAACGCGACAGATTACCTTACCTACAAAGTGTTCACCTTGGACCTACAGCAAAGGGCCTCGACAACAATCCTGTCCGTCACCGATCTACCCAGGGACCTGTTCAAGGTTCTCCCCCTGCCGGCCCCATTAGGAGGCGCTCTTCTTGTAGGAGAGAATGAGCTCATCCATTTTGACCAGTCTGGCAAGCCCAACGGCGTCGCTGTTAACCCCATGACGAAGCAGGTCACTTCGTTTAACCTGGTTGACCAGTCCGACCTCGAGCTGCGCCTGGAAGGCTGCACTATTGAGCCTCTGTGCGTCGAGACGGGCGAGTTCCTCATCATCCTTAACGATGGCCGCCTCGCATTGTGCCTATTCCACATTGACGGACGCACAGTAACGGGTATCAGCATCAAGATGGTGGCGGCTGACTGCGGTGGCCATCTGGTCAGAAGCAGTGCGTCGTGCGCATCCAAACTGCCTGGCGACGCCGTGTTCATCGGCAGCGAGTCAAACGACGGCATTGTGCTCGGCTGGACAAGGAATCGGTCGCAGGAGAAGCGCAAGAAGTCACGTATCATCGATAACGACCTAGCCGCGCTAGGCGTCGATGACGCGGACCTAGACGATGTAGAAGAGGATGATGACTTGTACGGCAACGACTCAGGCACTTCCAAACCGTCGGCGCAGGATGCTCATGGGAACCATAAGTCGGGAGACCTGACGTTCCGCATCCATGACACGCTGCTCAGCTTGGCCCCCATATATGACGCAGCATGCGGCAAGCCGGCCTTTGTCCCGGACAGCGAGGAGGCGAAACTCTCGGAAGGCGTCACAGCCAACCTCGAGCTCACATGTGCTGTCGGCTCGGGCAGGGCGGGATCGCTCGCTATCGTGAACCGCGAGATCCAGCCGAAGGTGATTGGTCGGTTCGACTTCCCCGAGGCCAGGGGCTTCTGGACCATGTGCGTCAAGAGGCCTGGCCCTAAGTCTATGGCTGCCAATGTGCCCGCCATCAATGATTATGACAGCACCGATCCTTTCGACAGATATATGATCGTGGCTAAGGTAGATCTGGATGGGTACGAGACATCGGACGTGTATGCCCTTACAGCAGCCGGGTTCGAGAGTATCAAGGATACCGAGTTTGAGCCTGCAGCCGGGTTCACGGTGGAGGCAGGCGTCATGGGCAATCAGATGAGGATCATCCAAGTTCTCAAGTCGGAAACTCGGTGCTATGACGGAGGTGGGGAGACAAATCTATACGTGACGCAGTAGAGATGCGATTGACTAACTGGAAACCTTAGACCTTGGCCTGGCTCAGATCCTCCCCATGCTCGACGAAGAGACAGGCGCCGAGCCTAGGGTTCTCAGCGCCAGCATCGTTGACCCTTACCTGCTACTGGTTCGAGATGACGGCAGCGCTTTCGTTGCACAGATGGACAGCGCAAATGAGCTCGAAGAGGTTGAGAAGACAGCAGAAGCCGAGATTCTAACCTCAAATAAGTGGACGACTGGATGTCTGTACAAGGACACTACCGGCCTGTTTCAGGAGACCCAGGGTGCTGTTGGTGAGAAAGTTGTCATGTTTCTGGTCAACTCGGCTGGCGCACTCTATGTATACGCCCTGCCCGACTTATCCAGGCCCATCTACGTGGCTGAGGGCCTGTCGTGTACGCCTTCGCATCTGTCTGCCGACTATGCCGTGCGCAAAGGCACGCCTCGCGAGATACTGTCACAGATTGTGGTGGCTGATCTTGGCGACAAGGTCTCGCAGACGCCGCATCTCATTGTAAGTCACACTGTCCACCGATACTGTTCCTATCTTGCTCACTCCTTTCTAGCTCCGCCACACCACTGATGACCTGACGATATACGAGCCTGTCCGCTACCAGGCCGACGGGTCGGACTCGACGCTCTCGTCAACCCTGCGCTTCAACAAGTGCCCCAATCCGGCCGTGGCCAAGAGCCCCCCAGACGAGACGGATCAGGACGACTGGCAGAAGCCGCGGTTCGTGCCGCTCCGCGTTTGCCCCAACGTGGGCGGGTACAGCACCGTTTTCCTGCCGGGCCCGTCGCCAAGCTTCGTCATCAAGTCCAGCAAGAGCCTCCCACGGGTGGTGGGTGTACAGGGGCAAGGGGTCCGAGGCATGAGCCCGTTCCACACCCAGGGTTGCGACAGGGGCTTCATCTATGCCGACGCAGAGGGCATGGCGCGCGTGACGCAGCTGGCAGCCGACACGGACTACGCACAGCTGGGACTCTCGGTGAAGAAGGTGGCCATGGACACGGAGGTGCGATACGTGGCGTATCACGGACCCAGCGAGTCATACGCGATCGGATGCCTGAAATACGAACCGTTTGAGCTGCCTCGCGATGACGACTACCACAAGGAGTGGTCGCGCGAGACGCTAGCCATGGCACCTCTCGCGGCGCGCGGCGAGATCCGACTGGTCAACCCGACGACGTGGACGGCCATCAACACGGTAGAAATGGAGCCGTGCGAGACGATTGAGTCGATGCGCGCCCTGCTTCTAGAAGTGTCAGAGGAGACACGGGAGCGGCGCATGCTCATCGTCATCGGGTCAGCCACGTCACGCGGCGAGGACCTGCCCACCAAGGGCAGCATCCGCGTCCTCGACATCGTCGCCGTCATCCCCGAGCCAGGCCACCCAGAGACGAACCGTCGACTGAAGCCCGTGGCCCAGGAGGACCTACCGCGCGGAGGCGTCACGGCCCTCGGCGAGATCGGCACCCAGGGCCTCATGCTTGCCACGCAGGGACAAAAGACCATGGTGCGCGGCCTCAAGGAGGACGGATCCCTACTCCCCGTCGCATTCCTCGACATGAACTGCCACGTCGCCAGCGCGCGCGTCCTGGCGCGTCCGGGCCTGTGCCTCCTCGCCGACGCGTTCAAGGGCGTCTGGTTCGCAGGCTATACCGAGGAGCCGTATACCTTCAAAGTCATGGGCAAGACGGGCACTCACCTGCCTGCACTGGTGGCGGATTTCCTCCCCCAGGGAGACGACCTGTCCATTGTTGTGGCCGATGCCCAGGGCGAGATGCACATTTTTGAATTCAACCCAGAGCGTATGTTTTTTTCCTTTTCTTCTTCTTCTCTTCTTTTGCTCGCGTTCTACTCCATTTCTTCTCCATCTTTTTTATTTCTTTTCGTCTCCATTGTTATTTTTCTTCTTTGAAAGAAAGAACAGAGAAATTACTACCTCGACTAACCATGCATCCAGACCCTCAATCCCTTCAAGGCAGCCTCCTCCTGCACCGCACGACATTTTCCGTCGCCCCCAACACACCGACATCATCCATTCTCCTCCCGCGCACCTCGTCATCACCAGCGTTCTCGTCCGATCCGTCACCGCACATCCTCCTCCTCACCTCCCCGACAGGCCACCTCTCCGCTGTCACGACCCTGTCGGAACCCTCCCACCGACGCCTCATGTCCCTGTCCAACCAGCTCGTCTCGGCGCTCCCCGCACACGGCGGTCTCAACCTGAAGGCATACAGGCTGCCTGGGACTAACGTTGCCAGGGAAGGGCCCGTCGGCGTCGATGCTGCTGCCGGTAGAAGTGCGACGGTCGTTGACGCGGGTATCCTGGCCAGGTGGGCCGACCTCGCGGCTGCCAAGAAGGCCGAGCTGGCGTCGCGTAGCGGTTATGATGGTGTCGCTGAGGCGAGGGCCGAGTTGGCCGGTATCATAGGTTGGAGTGGGTTGGAGTATTTCTAGACATGGCGTACATGGTACCACTATGGACGCAATGGATGAAACTCGCAATATCAACCTGGTTGGCAACGAGAGTGTCTAATCGAACCAGTTTTGGCCCCATGAAACTATCTTAGGTGCGCACTAGAAGCATGGAAATATAGCTAGCCCCCTCTCAAGAGTACAATATCATTATACGGAAGAGGGAAAGAAAGAGAAAGAAGAGAAAGGGGAAGCAAAAGTCTTGTTTCATATAAACTGTATGAACTCCTTAACTATATATCACATCCAGCCGTCTAAGAAAAAAATATGCATTCCCCCGTGAATAAATCCAAATGTCAAACAAGAAGAGAAGAAGATAAGACAGATGAAGCGACATCAAGATAGCCCCGTGACATCTTCATTTGTTGTCGTCCTTCTTGCGCAGACTGCCAAAGCGACGTTTGAGCCCACTGCCCAGTCCACCGTGCGTCTGCTTCCCGTGACCACTCAGACCGGACGAGCGGGCGTCGTAGGCGCCGCTACTGACACTGCGCATGCGGCCCTGCATCTCGTAGCTTTCGGCGCTTTCAGGGCTCAGGAGACCCTTACCCTTCTTCTGGGCGGTGAGCCGATCATATGTGTAGGACGGTTCACCCTTGCCCTTGAGATCATCGGGATGATAATCCTGTCAGGCCTTATTAGAGAAGAGACATCTTTTGAATGTGGTTTCTAAGGAAAATTATGTCTACTTACCATGAAGTCCCATCGCTTGTAGGCGCCGCCTCCCGCGGAAGCCTCACGCATCAGGTCCGCACCCTCCTCATAGTCCATAAGCTTGCCGCCAATGTCGTAAAAGCCGCTGGGCACAGTAGAAGTCCCTTGGAGGGGGACGTGGCGCTCGAGGCTGTCTCTAATGTAGGCTTCAGGGGTGGCGCGGAGAGCTGCCATGTTGGACTCGCGCACAGCGTCGACGGGGGCGTACTTCTTGTTGATGTTGCGCGATGCCAGGGTAGCCTCGTAGGGACCGTCGTGGTGGTAAGCCCCGCCAATGGTGTCAAGGGCGTCAATGGCGTCGGGCAGAGATATGCCACGACGGTGGCGCGAGGAGCGGGGGACCGAATGTGAGTGGCGGTGACGTCTATCGCCGCCTGCTTCGTGTGGCCTGGAAGATGGAGACATTCTGCTGCTGCGGTGGTGGTGGTTCGACAAAGGCGAAGCCATGCTGCGGCTCGCTGACGAGGATGGCGTTCCCGGCGTGAGAGGTGTTCTGGCCGACGGCGAGGCGCTGCTGCTGCTGCCGGAGTGGTGGCCAGGCGCAGGGACAGAGCGGTAAGACGGAGGTCTAGAGCTGGCCGCGGAGGGCGTCCTGTTGAGCGTCTGCTGCATCTTGTCGATCACCAACTCGGGAATTGGACGTCGAGGAATTTCTTTGCGAGAAGGGGGCTTGCTGCTGCTGCTGCTCGTGGTACGATTGATGGTGGCGGTTGAGGCAGCAAGAGCTTCGTATAGATCGGAGGTGTACTTCTGAGACTGTTTGAATATGGGACGAGTAAGTGCGTGAATTATGTGATGGTCGTTGTGTGAATACGATATAGAATGAAATAGAAGATCAGAGGAAGAAGGAAGGAAATCAGAAGATTGATTCTTGCATGATTTAAGTCATTGAGTAACGTCAAGATCCGTGTAGTGATGTAGTGGAGTGATGTGGGAAGACAGGCTAGAACAAGCTTTTTAGGTGACGCTGACGCAACCGGCCGCAGATGCCGTCACAAGCCACAGAAGTTGTGGGTTCGGCAGCGTCGGAGGGGTCGGAGGGGTCGGGGTGTGGGGGGGGGGCCCAAAAGAGTCAAGAATTGGCCCCAGGGCTAATGATAGCATGGACAGGATAATACGTGTAATCATTTTTTGCTTCTCGGATTGATGCGCTTTGAATTGTGTCGACAACGTGCATGAGAGGGGGTGGATGCGGCTGCCTTACCCATTCTTGGTCTTGCTGGTCTTTGATCATTTTGTCGCTGCTGGCGATGCTGGTCTTGCTGGACATGTTGATGGCAATAAAGACGGCGGCCAGGGTTTTCTTCTTCTCCTCCTTGCTCCTTCGTTTCTCCTCTTTGTATGCGTGGACGATACTCAATAATACACAAGATTTTAATCAGTCGATGTTGTATATGAAAGAGTCATGCAATGCGGGTTATGACTGGACCCGGTAATATATGGTATTATGGTGTAGACTGGGGTAGACGGTTTGATAATGGTGGTAATGCTGTTGAGTCGTCGACATGGAAGGAATAAGGGACACACAAATGAGCAAGAGGATATGTGTCCTTCTTATGGCCAGTGAGGATAAAGAGAAAAGGAAAAAAAGGTTCAAACGCACCAGTGAAATACTCAGTACGAGTAACATGCATGCCACCTTTAACGACGTAGCGAGAGTATCCCGTACCAGCACACACACACACACATCTCATTCTCATTCGCAAATGCTAACAACCGCCGCTCTGGTGGTGCCTTTGCAGCAGAGCTGGAGGGCGATCTGGACCCTTGGGCGACCTCAGGGCTGTCGCATGATGGATGGGTGGAGATGGTCGGTGGGGAAAGCGTGCGTGTCGCTTGCCGGACTTGTGACGAGGCAAGGCGGTACAGGTGGAGGCCATGGACAGAATGATCAATGAGAGAGCATCTATTGATCGATGCACTCTGCTGCGCCATCCCATTTGGTCTGGATATATTATGTCGCAACCTGTGTTAAGACTAGTTGGAGAAAAAAGTTCCGTCCATGTCGCTGTGTACGTGTACTTGAGGGCTGTGCACCCAGAGAGTATAATGTTTCTTTTGACCCCTGCGAATGTGTTTGGTTCCTGTCCTCTTACCCCGACCAGATAAGAGATAGAGATGGAGAGAGAGGAATAGAAGTTAGCACAAGCTTTGCCCGTGAAAAACGTAACTCACGCCATATAAATCAGGCACGTTCGTGTGCTGTCCTTTTCTATCCATGACGCCGTTCGGTCGTACCATTTACGTTGAGAACCGTCATAATAGTAGTTGAGACGGTATACGCCATGCCTGACAGAAGTTGTAGCGGCCCGACTGCGATGTGTGTGCTTGGAGTGATTAGTATCTTACAGGAGGCCGACAGAGGAGGAACCAGCAAAGTATATTGACCGCCTTGGTGGATGGCGATGATGGATGAAGGACGATGAATGAAAGATGATGGGGTCGCTCATGTACCTGCTCACATCAATTCTCCTTCTCTTTGTCTCTTAACAGCTTCTATCATGTCAAAAATGGCAAGAGCATCCATGACACCTCTTGCCTCATTCTCGTTATTTCTGGCCGAGACTTACCCGGTAGTACAGACGGAGTCCGGGGCCACACAACACCGCGTAAGGCCGATCGACGTCATCGTCGATCTCGTCCCTTCTTACTAAGAAATCCGTCTCACCAAGCACAGACCTGATTCTTGGACCTCCAAAGCTCACCCCACAGTGTACTTGGACTCCTACTATGCGTTGACCACTCGCTAGAACAGAACGACATAGGACATCATGCCGATGCTATAACGACTCACCCATCTTCCATCCCCTCCTTCCCCCTTCTTTGCTTCTCGATATGGGCCTCGTCGATTACTCGTCAGATAGCTCTACTGATGAAGAACCACCGGGCAAGCGCATCAAGGCGACAACGGATGTTTCCTCTAGCAAGAATCAGGCAGGTGACAAGTTCAGAAACTCCAGCAACAGTGCCGAGGCACCGGCAAAGCTACCCCCGCTACCAGACTCGTTCCGCGATCTCTACGCCTCGACGGTGCGTCAGAGCGTGTCGGACGACCCGAGCCTTCACCAGGGCCGCAAGCGTGTGCATCCTCATGTGCCGGGCAATTGGCCGTCGCACGTCTACGTTGAATGTATGTGATATCCATCGGCGTACATGCCGCACCACCCAGAGCTTTTGCTAAGCCAATGCTTCCCCCTCAGGGCACCCGACAACTGAGCAGCATGATGTACTTACGCGATTGTTCAAGAGCGTCGAGGACGAGCTCCGCGGCGAGGTGAAACTGCACAGTCTACTGATCAACGACCTGGGTGTCCCTCTGCCCTTGCACATCAGTCTCTCGCGTCCCTTGAGCCTCCGTACGGCTGAAAAGAACGAGTTTTTCGACCGCATCACATCGACGGTGCGCTCTAGTCGTGTGAGGCCCTTCCACGTTCTTCCTTGTGACCTTGCGTGGTGGACGTCGCCCGACTCGGACCGGTCGTTTCTAATACTTCGAGTCACGACACCGGGCGACAGGAGTCAAATTGACGTTGACTTTGATGGAGACAAAGATGAAGCGGAAATTGCCGCTGGTACTGCTGCACCGCAAAACGCCCAACTCCTCGACATCTTGACACGTTGCAATATGACGGCCTCGCATTTTGGCCACACGCCACTCTACCAGAGGAAACATAATGAGCCTGTCGGTGCAGCCTTCCACCTCTCGATCGGCTGGTCATTTGGCAGGCCAAGCGGCGAGATGTGCCTGCGCTCGTTAAGGGTCCTCAAGGATAAGCAGTTTGCAGAGGTGAGGACGTGGCAGGTTCCCGTGGCAGGGGTGAAAGTCAAGATCGGCAATGCCGTTCACAATGTCAACCTGCCAGGTGGACAGCAGGAGACGAGGCGCAGACGGGTGCCATAGATGATGGTGCACGTAAGGAAACCATCAGACGGTTTATTCATTTCTTCACATATCGTACGACTACTACTACTACTACTACCACTATTACAAATGATGATGAAATGAGGAATGAAAAGCCAGATGAGCTAGAGACTGTATCCCGAGATGTCTTGAATGCTTGTCTGATTACGGATGTCGTGTCCGTAGTTGGTCGAGAATGCATGTGACCGCTGTCACACTGCCACTTAGTGTATCATGTATCGTATAATACATGTACGCGGAAGGCGGCAGATGGAAACGTGCATGGTGCGAGAGACCATGGAGACCACCCAGAACCATGGAGACGCGTCGAGAGACGCAGAGTGTGACGCATAAGATTGATGAATGTCAGCGTGGGGCTCACCCGAAGGGCCGAAACAAGCTCCCAGTGACCATTTTGGCTCCAATCGAGATGGTGTTTACTTTCTGCAACATTCTCTACTAATACTCTTAGTAGTTAGAGTATACGTGGAAGAAGCCTAGTAGCACTGCTGTTATCCTGTTACTAGTAGCTCCCCACGCGTCGTCGCGATCCCATGTACCTTTTGCCCTGTGTTTCCCCCCGCCTCTATCAAAACGAAACGACAGGATATCAATTTTTCGACGTCGTCATCTCCTTCTCTGTCTTGCCACCCAATTGAAATAGAAAGGGGGGGAGGAGTCAAGAGAAGAGAGAAGGACAGAAGAAGAAGGGAGAGGAAAAAAGAAGAAAACAACTCGTGTATATTTCAACTTCCAGCCTCCAGACCGTTCTCGTGGACCGTGGGCTGTATTGGTGCCCCACCGTCGTGCGTCTGGGCTGCTTCCCTCTTCGGTTCCCACCGTAATGCTTTGCCCCGCGGTGTGTGTGTCTCTTTTCCAACAAACCACACTCCACAACAAATCCTCCCATCCCCATCTCTTCCTCGCTTTCCTTCTCCAGGGGAACAACGCATATTGCGACGATACACACGAAGAAGAAGAAGACGACGACGACAAATTAGACGAACACCCCCCCGATCCTCTCGGCAAGGGAGAGAGAGAGCGCGCTTGCGTAGACGCGGCGCAGGATTGTTTTTTTTTCTCTAAATATTATATCAACCGGCGGACACCCCCCCTCCCAGCCACGAGACCGACTCTTGAATAGCAAACCTCCTCCCCCCTTCCCTCCGAAATCGCAACCATGGACATCGACACCACCCGCCGCAACAGGACGCCCAGGCCACTTTCCGACTCAGAACGTGCCCGTCTAGAAGAATACATCGACTCTATCCACTATTCATCTCGGTTAGTCCCCGTCCTGTGCTGCGGCGCCAGCCGCCGTAGCAGCAACGTCAACAGCCTCGAGCAAGCGAGCAAAAAGCAGCCTCTGACTGTCAGTGCAGGTACAGCGACGACCAGTACGAGTACCGCCACGTCCAGCTTCCCAAGGCTATGCTCCGTGCTATCCCTAGGGAGTACCACGATTCGTCCAAGGGAACGCTCAAGCTGTTGTGGGAAGAGGAATGGCGCGCCCTAGGTATCACGCAGAGCTTGGGATGGGAGCATTACGAGGTGCATGAGCCGGAGCCGCACATTCTTCTCTTCAAGTCGGTCCCCCCAATTTCTCCTCACTGGTGTTCCCCTACCAAACTTCTCCTCCACCTGTTTCGAGTTGCTGCTGACTTATGCGACCTGCTAGGCGCCCTCTCAACTACGTACCCCCTCAGTGATGGGACCCATACCTTAATATGAATAACAGAAATGAGAAGAAAAAAACGAGCAAAAAGAGTCAATGCTCGGATGGATCAATGAGTGGTAGGGGAAAGAAGAAGAGAGAAGTCCGAGGCAGCCATTACCAGACAACAAGAAGCTTGTTTTCACGCTTTAGGGGACTTTGATGATAATGGAGACGGCGTTCGAATCTTGGGTTCCTGCTTCGGTCTTCCCCCCCGCCCAACGTTGCTACACCTTTTTCCTCTCGTTCTTCTGGACGAGTCGACCGTTTAGTCGGGACTAAAGGACCGGGAATGTGGGAATTATTCATGTAGCTAGCGAGGGTCGTTTGAACAGATGTTGTTGACTTGTTAATCCTCCCCCTCCCCTGCTCCTCTTCACCGTGTTGTTAGCTGGTCCCGTGCGCGTGTCGTACTTGACTCGTACTTTTTTTTTCGCCTTTGTTATTAGTCCTAGCACATTTGCCGCTAAACAACTTGTCGCTGTGCATCCCATTGTGGCCGCTTGTTGCCCCACATGCTATGACGACGAAATAAGGCGAAACAGCGGTGATAGGGAAGTGCGGGCCAGGGCTCCAGGGGGGGGGGGTTGATGGGGAATGCTCCGTGTGCATTGGAGATCTGACGAGAGTACGAAGGCTAGAGTAGAGACGAATATCAGTATAGACGGGCGGACAATGTGAGTGTGTTCTTTTGCATGAACATGATATGCTTACAAGGATATATACAACTATCCGTTCGTGTGAAGGTGGGTAAGGTTGGCCCATACCCGAATATGAGACTAACCATGAGTCATCCTGAGTACGGAGTAGTGGTGCCATTTGTCGCCCCAGAAGGCCCCCCACAAAAAGGAGCAACACGAAAAAAGAAGGATGGAAAGTACGAGTATGGTCCACGGTCTAAATCCTCGTACATGTAGGCATAAGGCCACCTTTCCCAATCAGGCCATCAATTGTCGCCTCTTCTGGCATCCACCTTGTCAAGACGCCGACTCGCCAGCGTGGCATCTTTTTTTCTTTCTTTCTCCTTGTTGGAATAAAAGTCCCTGACCCCTTTGCTACAAGGCTCTGCATTCTCTTCCGGCTCCAGTGTTTCTTCCGGCTTCCATTTTTCGTATACTGCTCACTTTCTTGTTCTGTTCATCCACCATCACCAGTACATTCTCTGGGCGTGCATCCCGTCCGCCACCATGAAATCGGCCACCAGGCTCTTTTACCTGGCCATCTTTACTGCCTGGGCCCCACCTGCTGTATGCGATAGCAGTGACAGTTGTGGCGTATGTTTCTAAGCATGTATCGGGAGTGCTCGCACTGAGTCTATCACTGACATTGACGGAATCAGTTCTCTTCTGGAACCATCGTCGAAGATGCCTGCGCTTCCTACGCCACCCTCGACCAGGTCAATGCGCAGATCAAACCCTCGCTCGACGACCTCACACGAACTACCGACTTCTTCTCCCACTACCGACTGAACCTGTTCAACAAACAGTGCCCCTTTTGGGACGACGATGGAGGTATATGCGGAAACATTGGATGCGCTGTCGAGACGCTCGACAACGAAGACGACGTGCCCGAAGTCTGGCGCGCCAGCGAGCTTAGTAAGCTGGAGGGCCCGCTGGCCAAGCACCCGGGCCAGTCGGGACGCAAGAAGAAGCACGGCAAGCCGCTCCAAGGCGGCCTGGGCGAAGGCGTCGGCGAGAGCTGCGTCTTCGAATACGACGATGAGTATGACGATCGCGACTACTGTGTTCCCGAGGACGAGAGCGCCGGTGGCGACTACGTCAGCCTCCTGCGCAACCCCGAGCGCTTCACCGGCTACGGCGGCGAGGGCTCCCACGACGTCTGGGACGCCATCTACCGCGAGAACTGCTTTCAACGCAGCTCTTTCCCCACCTCGGCCAACGTCGGTTCCTCGTCGGAGCTGGGCCCTGCCGAGCACGACTTCCGCCAGGTTCTCGATTCCGTGTCACAGCTGCAGCGCCTGAGCAAGCCGAACGACGCCAAAGATTCCGGCACCGACCTTCTCGAACCCTCGGCTGACCAGTGCCTGGAGAAGCGCGTCTTCTACCGCGTCATCTCGGGCATGCACGCCAGCATCAGTGCCCACCTGTGCTGGGACTTCCTCAACCAGACAACAGGCGAGTGGCAGCCCAACCAGGCGTGCTACGAGTGGCGTCTACACAAGCACCCGGACCGCGTCAGCAACCTGTACTTCAACTACGCCCTCGTCACCAGGGCCGTCGCCAAGCTGGGTCCCCACCTAAAGTCGCCGGCCTACTACACTTTCTGCAACGACGATGCCTCCAAGGACCAATCGACGCGCGCCAAGGCCCTCGACGTGGCTAGACGCGCTGCCGAGGCTCCCCAGCTATTTAACGAGGGCCTCATGTTCGTCAATGGCGAAGGGCCTTCTCTGAAGGAGGACTTCCGCAACCGCTTCCGCAACGTCAGCCGTCTGATGGACTGTGTCGGCTGCGACAAGTGCCGGCTCTGGGGTAAAGTTCAGACGGCTGGCTATGGCACTGCCCTCAAAGTCCTCTTCGAGTTTGACGAGAAGAACAATGCCGGCGGGGATGTGCCTCCGCTCAAGCGCACCGAGCTTGTCGCCCTCTTCAACACGTACGCCCGCCTCAGCGAGTCCCTCAGCTCGCTAGCCAAGTTCCGCACCATGCTCGAAGCCGATGAGGAGGCCGTCATCAACTCAGACGAGAGAGTTGCCAGGGTCGGAGGGATCGAGCAGGAGGAGGAGGAGCCCCTCGAGGACTTTATCAAGCCCCAGCTCAAAAGACGCACTCGCTTACCAGCTGATGCACCCATTGCCGATGTCTTCGACCAGGAATTCGGTATGATGATCCGTGCGTTCAAGCTTGTTGTCGGAGCTTGGATACGCTTCCCAATCACTCTGTAAGTTACACCCTCCTCTACACCCTCTTCCTTCTGATTCTGCTTCACATTCCTCCCCCCCCTTGTCGCAGTCCGCATTTGCTGACAGAACATGCAGGTACCACATTATCCTGTCCGAGTCGATAAGGCTGTACCAGTTCTGGCTAGGTCTCCCAGTCAGCCCGCGACAATGGAGATTCGAGCTACCTAAAGTGGACCGGGATGAATTGTAGGTTATTGTACATTTCAGGATTTACGAAAAGAAAAGGGGGGTGAAATCTCTTCCCGTCTCCGGCGACGGTTTGTATCTGTATTCTCCTCATTCCCGGCGTTGGGGTATTGGTTGTCTTGTTTCTTTCACTGTTATTACCAAGTTGTGCATACAGCGGTTGATCACATTGTGTCATATTATTGAATTACATGACCTCGGGATTCTTACACCTGACAAGTGGTTTTTTATTGGCGTCATTGCCATTGCTCTCTCGCATGTGCCAGACGATTCAACACAGTCCGTGTCAGATATGATGCTCGTATTGGCAGGTCGCCTACCAAGAATGACACAATTTAACATCAAATACCGAACGACTCCGCTCCCGCTGCCACATGCGGGGAAGCAAACAAATGCGCTCGGGTCAAGATCCCACCGGGACAAATATAAAGGGCAAATGGATATGACTGGCGCGGAAGACAAGATGATGATACGACGTGGTGCGCCTTGGACCAATTGCCCAATAAAGATGTGTCTGCCGAACCGTCGTCCCCGCATACTTTACGTCGTGCTTGGTCATGGGGGGAGGGAGGCCTTGCGCGGCATCTTTTGTGTCTCGTTTCTTTTTCACTCTGTGCTTGCTGGTTGCTTGCCATTGCCTTAGGTGCGATGTTATACTCTACCAATGCAACAACGAAAAGGTCGTATTCAGATCTATCCGAGCCAGTAGGGAATGAATGTTGTAGACAGGGGATGGGGGATGACGCCCGATGTTGGTGCGTATAAGTCGTAAGATCTCCCCTCTTCTCTTCTCCTCTCTCAGGCTTTTCAACCCCCCCCTTCTCTCTCTTTCCCCCCCAGACAAGTCTCATACAGACAGATTGTACAAACAGAGACAGAAATGATCCTGTCCAAGTCAGTACTCTACGCTCTGGGTCTTGGCCTCGGCCTCTGCACTCAGGCCCGGGCCCGGACCGTACTGAACACCCGACAGCAAGACATCGTGACATGGGACGACCACAGCCTGCTGATCAACGGCGAACGCGTCATGATCTTCAGCGCCGAGATCCATCCCTTCCGGCTTCCCGTGCCGGGACTGTGGCCTGACGTGCTCCAGAAAATCAAGGCAGCGGGATACAACTGCGTATCCATCTACATCGACTGGCAGCTCCTGGAGGGCGAGCGCGGCACGTTCCTGGCCGAGGGCATCTTCTCACAGGAGAACTTCTTTGCGGCAGCCAAGGCGGCGGGACTGTACGTCGTCGTCCGTCCGGGCCCCTACGTCAACGCCGAGGTGTCCGGTGGCGGGTTCCCGGGGTGGCTGAGCCGGGTCGAAGGGACGCTCCGCACCAACGGGACGGACTACCTGGCCGCCACGGAGCTGTACATGCGCGAGATCAATGCCAAGGTGGCGGACGCGCAGATCACCAATGGAGGGCCCGTCATCCTCGTGCAGATCGAGAACGAGTACACCGACTTCGCCGAGGGGTACCAGCTGCCCAGCTACGACTACTGGGACAAGGTGAAGAAGCAGTATACCGACGCCGGCATCGTCGTGCCCCTCTTCAACAACGAGGCCAGCATGAAGGGGTACATCACCACCAGCACCCCCGCCGACGTAGACATTTACGGCTTCGACTCGTACCCCGTCGGCTTCGACTGCGAGAACCCTACCGCCTGGCCGAGCGGCGGTATCGACGAGGGCTGGCTGGCCTTTAACAATGAGCTCGCGCCGGATTCCCCGTTGACTATACCGGAGGTAATGTCCTTGCTGGCATAGTGCAGGCCCGGCTCTTGGAAAGATGTGCTGACACGGACGTTGTATCGCTTAGTTCCAAGGTGGTGGTTTCCAGGCTTGGGGATCTACGGCTGGCTTCGAGAGCTGCGCTGCCCTCGTCAACATGGAGTTTGAGCGCGTCTTCTACAAGAATAACTATGCCGTCGGAGCTACCATCTTCAACATCTACATGGTCTGTCATCGGCCCAGGCTCTCCTGATCCCTGAATGATGATATAGAATGTACCTGACTTGTTCGACAGACGTACGGCGGCACCAACTGGGGCAACCTCGGCCACTCGGATGGCTTCACCTCGTACGACTACGGCGCTCAGATTACAGAGGACAGACTCGTCTGGCGCGAAAAGTACAGCGAGGTCAAGATCCAGGCCAACTTTTTCCACGTGTCTCCTGGGTATCTCGAAGCCGACCGCTTCAACCCGTCGCTCGAGTATACTGATACTGAGGACATTACTGTCACGCCCGCGACGACGAACACGACCAAGTTTTACATCACAAGGTGAGTGGGTTTCTAGAAGACAGGAAATTCTAGGATCCAGTTTCTTTTTTTTTTCTTTTTTTTTTGCTGAGACATCGAGAAAAGACATACGACCTATGACTCTGTCGACTCTACACCATACAAGTTGACCGTCAAGACGGTGGACTACGGTGACATCCAGATCCCCCAGCTGGGGAATGACACCTTGGTTCTCAACGGCCGCGACTCCAAGATTCATCTCAGTGACTATCCTGTTGGGGATGACAAGCTCGTCTACTCCTCTGCCGAGGTCTTCACATGGTGAGAGGTCTGTTTCAGGCTCGTCCACAGTGCGCCTGACTGACTGCTTCGTCTAGGAAGAAATACGACGACAAGACTGTTCTCGTGCTTTACGGTGGACCCAACGAGCACCATGAGATTGCCGTCGAGGATGACGGAAAGAGCGACTACTCTATCCTCCAGGGGGACAGAGTCAGCGTGGAGCGATCAGATGATGACTACATCATCATCTCTCTCGACATCTCAGATGATGTGACCGACCGTAAGGTCGTGAAGATGCGCGACGGTTTATACATTTACATCCTGAGTAGGCTCACCTTCTGTTCGCCAACGGCTTGGTAGAGAAGCTGACATTCGACACTCCCTGCAGACAGGAACGAAGCTTACGACTTCTGGGTCCCGTCTACCGGTGTCGATGGCGACTACGGAACATCCGACATCATCCTCAAGGCAGGCTACCTCGTGCGCAGCGCCCAGGCCGACGGCGACACGCTCAACATAGTGGGTGACGTCAACGCAACCACAACGATTGAGGTCATCGGCGGCGTGCCCGCGGACCTGAAGGCGCTCAGCTTCAACGGCAACACCCTCGACTTCACGCGCGTCAACGGTACCGACGCCGTCAAGGCGACCGTGGACTTCACCAAGCCGGAAATCAGCCTCCCCAGCCTGGAGAGCCTGTCTTGGAAGAAGATCGATTCCCTCCCCGAAGTGTCAGACGGCTACGACGATAGTGCCTGGGTGGACGCCAACCTGACCACGTCGCCCAACGACTTTGGCGCGATCGACACGCCCGTGTCCCTCCGCGCAGGCGACTATGGGTTCCAGGCCGGCTCGGTCCTCTTCAGGGGCCACTTCACTGCCAACGGGAACGAGTCGAAGCTGGATATCTCTGCACAGGGCGGGTTGGCGTCCGGGTCGTCTGTGTGGCTGGACTCGACGTTCCTGGGGTCGTGGACGGGCACGGCTGCAGACTCGGTGGGCAACTCGACCTTCGACGTGAACAGCCTGTCGGAGGGTACGGAGCACGTCATCACCGTCGTCGTCGACCTTACGGGCATCAACGAGAACTACGTCATTGGTGAGGACTCCATGAAGGAGCCCCGTGGAATCATCAAGTACGACCTCGCCTCGCACGACGCCGCAGATATAACGTGGAAGGTCCAGGGGACTCTGGGAGGGGAGAGCTACCCTGACAAGACGCGTGGTCCCCTCAACGAGGGAGGGCTGTTTGCTGAGCGTAAGGGGTACCATCTCCCCTCTCCGCCGTCGAGCGACTGGGAAGGCGGGTCCCCCACAGACGCCTCGTCCGCCGCCGGCATCACGCTTTACTCTGCTGCCTTCGACCTCGACCTGCCCGATGGGTACGACATCCCACTCTCGGTCGAATTTGACAGTGATGTATCAGGGGGTAGCTACCGCGTCCAGATCTTTGTCAACGGCTACCAGTATGGCAAGTTTGTCCCGCACATCGGCCCTCAGAAGAGCTATCCCATCCCCGAGGGTATTGTCAACCATCACGGCACCAATACTATCGCTATCACGGTGTGGTCTATGGAGGAGAAGGGTGCGCAGATCAAGGGGCTGGGTTGGACGGTCGGCATGGTCTCCAAGTCTGGCTTCGGGGACGTCGAGTCGGCTCCTGCTCCTGAGTGGAAGGAGAGGGCCGGGTCTTACTAGCTCTGTGCTGTCCTCGTGTCTCGATTCCGGTCATCACAAGTGTTGGCCATTGTAAGGGAAAAACCTCTGTCACCTCCATAGCGACTAAATCTCTTCGGGTACGTTCTCAGATTGCGAACCTCGTCATCCTCTGTTGACTTCAGCACAAGCTCAGACAACTAGACGAAAATAATACCCTCTTCAGCCGACGTGTGGATGTTTTCCATCGACTTCCTCTAGACGTTCGAGATATATATATATAAAAGAAACCAATTTCTCCGATGAATACGCATGTAAACAATGCGTGATCTATAAAACGTGATGGACATCAAGGACTTTGAGAACAGTATCAATCTTCCAGGATGATGTGTGAATAGGAGCACACATCCAGCAAACCAAACAGGATACGTGTCAAGCGATCAAAAAGTGGTCAATATGCTTAGACGGTTTGACATCATGCTGAGAGTCACGAAGAGTTGCCGTATGGTTCGACCATGATCCGATTCCGTCCGTCACTGTCCATGAAACGTGAGAATATAGTGGTGATGTGGCTCAGCTGGCGAACAAACAAGAGTGAACTGGCCTAGGCCTCACAAACAGAGAGCCGATTCCCTTGATTCCTGTCACTGTCTTCTTTCCGTCCTCGGATGGCCTCTGTGACCGACGATGGCTGTGTAAGAGGACGTTTTCCCAGAGCAGTGAATCCCTGGTGCAGCCGGTCCGGGTATCTATAGTAACTACGCATCTTTATGAAAGGAGGAGAGCACTCCATCACTGCCGTTGGGTTCATATTCATCGACATGATGGATAGGGATATCCAATCGCTTCTGTTGGCTCCGGACGGCAAAGAATGTCTTCGATGCGGACATTCGACAGGATATAAAGAGATGAACACCCATCGACGATGAGAGCCGGCGACTCACCCCACCCTCAGCTCTACTCATCTCCCCAGAATCACATTCTCTCCTGTCGTTAACACCGCGCTCTCCAGGGGCTTGACTTGAGAGGGGAATCCTTCATTATTCTTCTCGACTCGACGCACGAGAGAATCCCACAGCGTCATCCGATCCGTCTTCAGAAGACAATGCCTCTGCTACCGAGGCTCGTCGAGAGGTTCGCCAGTACTGAGCAGGATCTGTCCGAGTCAAACGAGCTCAGGGCTATATACGCCTACGAGAAGATAGTCGGCGTCTTGGTTGCGGCCTTCCCCCACCGGGACATCACTCGCTACATGAAGGTACTGATCCAGGGGGCACTGAACTTTTACGAGGACCCTTCAGTCGGAATCGACATCGGAGAAGTGCTGTTTCACATGTTTCACGATCTGCACCATTCTCTGAAATTATGTATGTGGGCTGGCTATATACTATTACCCATCCCCCCCCTTTTTTCTCCTCCTCCTCCTTCTACTCTGTTCACAATAACAATAACGGCCAACAATCAAGTTGAGGCCGCTTATATGAAGGAAGCTAAACTTCCTTCTGCTTGTAGGCATGCATCCCCGTCCGGAACCGAACACTTTGCCTACGATGACGGGTATCATCATCTGGAGGACTACTCTGGAAGGGTTCCTGGTGGAGCTGGATCGCTGGGACTTCGGCCCCGTCTACAAGTTCTACAGCTTCCTATGCATGGTCAACAATGTGAACCTGGCCGGTACCACTTACTATCTGCCCTACGTTCCCGCCAAAGAGAGGGGGACGACGTGCCCAGATGCTGCCAAACGTGGAGCACAGTGCTTTGAACTGGTGGACAGCCCCGCTTCCGCGGCCTTCACGGGCGCATAAGAGAGTGGTCTTCGCCATCGGCAACACTCCTTTTCCAGAAGAGCGTGATGGGTATGGGCAGAGATGTGGTATGATGACAGCTGGGGCTTGGGGACTGGTGTTTCGGGGATAGCTATGGCAAGGATGGCCGGATGGTCGAATGCACTCGGATGTCAAACCAGATATCCGGGGGCTTGTCTCTGCTCATCACACGCTTCAACATGTATCCATTCTGCTGTTCTTCTTCTCAACGAATGGTTAATTCTGCTCTTCATCATCGGAGCCCCTCCGTGATCTGCACGCACGAGTATCTAGAAGATGCAATCTACAAATAAAGGCAAACAAGATAAGAAGAAAATAGAGAAACTGCCATGTGTCCAAGCTGCCGCACGTAGTACCGGATCTATCGACATATCGATCCACCGTACGCATGAACAATCGAGCTGGCAGCCGACTCATAGGTAGACGCCGATGCCTCCTCGTCAGGATGCGATTCTTTTAAGGGTATGCCGTTTGGGTTCAGCTCTGAGCTACAGGGTAGTGTTACAGCCCGTTATGCGACCTTCACGTGCACCCCACATTTTTTCTTATTTATCAACACCCTCACTTACACGCGATTATACCGATTTAACGATAATCGCCGTGAATCACCTTAAGGGAGCGATTAATACGATTACTAGTTAATCGCATTAATCGCTATAACCGATTAACACTATAACCCTAACATCCTAGATCCGCGCATTTTGATATCAAAATGGTTTTTTTCCTATATAAACTCTCAACCCATATATCTAGATAGGGGGATCAAAATGGCTATATTAAAATAATCTATAACTTATAAGAAAAATGCGTAAAAACTTTAAGATATATTAATTATAGTAAAAAAATAAGTATTTCTATGTTTTTAAGCTATATATCTAGAATTAGCTATTAAAGTTACTAGCGCTAAGAAATAGCAATCGTGATAACTAATAAGATAATAGGTCATTAAGTAAGGGTAATAGGATATATA